GCGCATGACACATGTTGAGTGCCGTACCTGGGTACACAGTTGTTAGCCTTGGGGTATGGTCATATGCAGGCAAATATAGGATAGGCCAGCACCAGCAGCAACCAGAGGGTGGTTCCAAATTGCAGAAGCAGATGAGGTAAGACAACGCGGGCCGGGGAGCAACAAGGAGTTGGGTGTGTGTGCAGAGGGCGGAGGGCAGCAGGCCTAGCAGCGCGGCAGGACAGCACGCGAGGAGGGCGATCGGGGGCGGTGTAGGTGGTCAGGGGGGTAATCAGTAACTGTGCGGACTGGATGGGGTGGCGGCACGTGAACGATGTTGCAACGTGTATTCGTAGGTATGATTGATTGCAATGGGACGGCTTTGTGGATGGTGCGTCCTTGTCCTGGGAAATTTGCAATGGGCATGGGCTCTAGCGGAGTCCGCACCGGATATGACACTAGCTAGCTTACGAACAATGTGTGTCCGCCTGCATGTAAGCAAAACAGCTGGGACAATGTTTTCGGCATGCGTGCATCCTCGTTATGTGGCAATCTTCGGTGCTTAACATCTAGCCAGCTAGAGCTTCCATGCACACTAAATGGCATTCCTTGTGTCAACCGTTCGCCACGCTTATACGTATTTTTTTATTGGTCATCATTTCATTGCCGTAACCTTCCATTAGAATGCGAAAGTTACAAGGGGGACCGGAGTGCCTCCCGGTTTTGGGCCTACGGCGCTACTGCGCTTGGGATACGGCAGCCAAAGTCCCGTCATAAAAACTTGCGATGCCATGCTCTATCGCATAACCGCTACTACCACACAATAAGTTCATTTATATCTATTGGCAATCTCGCTTATGGCTTGGGTTCAAGGCATTTCAGAGATGTGAAGGTCACAAGTGTCAGTCTCCAAGAATCCGACGTAAAGCGAGCGCCAGTTTTGAAGGGAAGTTACCCTATAAGCTATTGCAAGGTGTACGCTGACACCATCTACAGTTGGGTTGTAACTGCGGCCTTTTTGTATAGGTTGGGGACGCTGAGCTTTGGCGCATACTTCCCGACTTTCTTCACGATCCACAGGTCTGCCTACAATCTACTACCTTTCGTAAATAGAGTAAGTGAGTACAGTAAATAGCTAGGACGGTCTGGGCGACGCTCATCGTCCGCAGTTTTAAGCCTTAACCATGACTCTTTTTACACCGCACTAATTAGTTGCATCTATAGGAAAAGGAGTTTTTTATACAGCTCGAACGGTCTATAGTGGCGCGTCAGGCACCCGCTGATTCACAATCTCATGGCTCTGGCTCATGGCGTTGTCCTCTAATAAGCTGCGCAGCTTTCCTTCGACCCTTTTAACATAGTGAAACCGCTTTACTTGTTCATGGATAACCAGCATATCCCTGTGCCACAGGCTTGTGACAATATTTGGGACACCTGGCACATTGGCGTCGTGCGTGCATCGCCGAGGCATCACACGACCGCAGCTTCACGTTCCAACCAAGGAGACCAAAGCGTGCGGATGAGCCAACAACTGGAGGTGGATTCCAACCCACGTCCATGCTAGAGCGTGCCGCGTTCCAAGAGCCCTGTAGGGGTAAGTCGCATTGGTCTTCCTGTGGGCTGTTCGCGCCCTTTAATCTACCGTACCTTCACGATACCGTACCTTCACGATATCATCGCGCAAAAATAAATAATTATTTCGGAAAATGTGCAGTTTCGCGCAAAATTAAATAATTGCTGAGAGGGGTGCGCGAAACTGGGGAAACCCCTCGGGACCCTTCCCCGCACCCCCAACATGCCCCAGCACCCCGTCAGCTCCGCTGCCCAGCCCCGGGCTGCATCCTAGTATGCCCCATGGAACACATAGCGGTATTTGTATAGCTGTCTTGGCGATCTGGGCTTACATGGATGGGTTCTTACAGTCAAATGCATAGTGGACATGAGCTGCGCGAAAAATAATTCCTGACACCCCTGCGCGAGCTTGAAAAATAATTCCATCTAATGGGGCTGCGCGATGATCACCCGAAGGTACGGTATTAGGGTGGCAGGGGTTCCCTAAAGCCCGCGGGCTGTGGGCTTGCCTTGGGTTCGGGGTTGGATGGAAGCCCGAGCATACCGGTACGCTGCGTGGCTAGGAGTAGATAGACATGCATGCACGGCAAGAGCCGTGTACATATAATAGGCCCGGTACCCATCGGAATTTGCGGAATGGTCGTCTCTAGGAGTGCAGCCGTTCATGTGGTGTTGATGTCCACCACATCCCACCCCTCCTTCTCACCATCACCCCCTCCCTTTCTCCCTCCCCCTTCGCATGCCTTGGGTTGAGGCCCCTCCGCCGCCACCACAGCTTTTGTGGACCTGGCGTAGTAGCGGACCTGGCGTACCCTTAACATAACGGCACCCCCACCTTCAATAAATACCACGCCAAGCCCGCCTCCGCTTCCTCCACCATTCACCACGTTGCCGCCGGCCCCTCAAGACCGACGCCGCCTACGTCACCAGCCCGTTTCCACTGCCTAACCGCCATACAGCGATTATCCTTAAGGGGTCACACGTAAGTTGGCTTGGTGGCACAGTTGTCACTCTATATGCGTGGGCAAGCTCGGGGCCTGTTGTAAGCGCTTCCGAGCGGTTTGTGGTTGTTGGGTAGTGTGCGCGCCAGTGTTGTGCCTAGCTGCGGCTGTCTGGTTGGCGGTGGATTTGGGGTAGGTGGCGCATGCAGCGGTTTCTAGTGTCGCTGCTGGGCTTGTCTTGCTGCATGCTGCTGGGTTGATGTTGGGTTGATGGCATTTGCGTTTGGCGTTTGGGTATCTCTGGTGCGGACATTGTTACCACTTCATGTTGGCGACGGATTTGGGATTAGACGAGATTAGCTGTCCACCAGGCGATATGATGACGCTGGCGGACGCTGGGGCAGACACTAGGTAGACGGTTCCTTGGGTTTGACTGTTGGGGGTTTGACGGTTCCTTGGGTTTGACTGTTGTGGGTTTGACTGTTGAGTTACTGCTGAGAAGACAGGAGGTGGGGGAATGCGGGCGTTGCACACCTTTATGCTTTGTCCTATCGCGTGTCATGCTGCGTAGAGGATTGTCGTTTAGCGGTGGCACCGCTCAAGGGGTTTCATGGAAATGCGGTGGGCTTGCTGTGTTGTGAGCTTGACAGGCGGTGAGCTATGTTGGTTGATTGCGTATCCTGCTGTGTTGCGCCTCATGTCACCAAGGCCGGCAGACCCCTCTGCAGCGGCCAGCAGCTCCCAGCTAGCTAGCTCGCAGCCCAGCACCTGATGTACAACACGGCTTGGGGGCGGACGGGGTGGGTCGGCCGCATGCGCCTCAGCGACCCACCCCAGTCAGGCCAGATGTATCCCGTTTCGTAGTGCCTACACAGCACAGCATACACAGCTACAGCTACAGGACGCAACGACACCCTCACCAGCAGCCAGCTAGTGCGCCGATTGTGCTAGGGGCAGCCAGCTTGTATGGTGACAGTCTTATCGGCAGCCTTAAGTGAAAATGGGGCCCCGTAACAGGTTAACACGAACAGCTATAGCCCTTTTAACGCAGCCTATGCCATACGTAAGGGGGTCACTACTATAGCGAGAAAGGAAAGAAGGAATTGGAAAGCCACAGGTAAAGATGCGAAGGGGATACAAATGAGGGGATGAGGTAGATGGGGGTGGAAGGCGGGATAAGGTAGGTGGAGGAGCGGGTGTGGGAAGGAGGGTAGGTGGGGGCGGGTGTGGGAAGAAGGGTAGGCGCGGTACCATGAGGCGGGTGGTGTAGGTGGGGCGGGTGAGGGAAGGAGGGGTAGGTAGGGAGGAGGGTGGGGCGGGTGAGGGGCTGGTGGGGGTTGGGCTGGGAGGGTATGGGACGTAGAGGTAGGTAGGGGGCGGGTGCAGGGGGTGGGGGCGGGTGTGGGGGGATGCGGGTAGGTGGGTGGGGGCGGGACGGAGGGCTAGGGTAGGGGGCGGATGCGGGGTAGGTGGGGGCGGGAGGGATAGGGGCGCGAGTTGAAGGGCTATCACAACCTCCTGCGTGTTGTGAAACGGTCTACTGAGGCCTGCGCACGGGCCAATCTGGCTGAGTACGCTTTGTCGTACAGCACATGCTCGGGGTTGCCTGGGGATGTCCATGCCTCAGGTTCACATCAGTCGACTTCCAACAGACTTCTTCTAGCGTCCCTAACGACCGACGCGAAATAGGGGCGTGGCAAGCACTGTGCAGCCCTCGAGCATGTGCTGTACGACAAACCATGCTCAGCCATGTTCGGCAATGCTAAAGCCCGGTTGGGGCGTTTCCTGAAATGGGATAGGACAGGATACATACCTAACCATGTTCGCCTAGCTTCGCACTGAAAGAGCACCCAAGACAAGATGTTGACGAGGCGAAGAATAAGTATTGCTGGTTTGCCATATACGTTCCCAGAGGTTGTTAGCAATGCGTGTGATACATATCATGTTAATGGTAAAACATTTAGGTTGACCCTTGCCTTTTCACTATCCGCCATGGCCAACATGATAACATCGGCGACAGGTCGATAACCAAAGAATCCACCAATAATTCAGCTGTTTCTAACAATTGTCTCAGCTCTAAACTGCATACATACAAGGCTTGAGCACTGGCCAATGTACCTGCGCATGCATGTCGTACGACCCATGCTCAGGGTTTCCTGGACTCAGGTTCACGTCAGACGACCTCCAATGGACTTCCCTTAGCGTGTGGTGTTAGGTCAGTTAGTGCCATGGGGTCACTGGAGCGCATGCCCAGTCTATCCAGTCATCATCATATTCAGAGGCTCCGCCCTTTTCCAGCTTAGAGGAAGCTGAGCCCCGTGTCTTCCTATAAGTGGCAAGTCAACAATGCAGATAAACGATTAGGTTGGGTATGTAGCGCTCATATCCAACCGGGTAGCTATATGCGATCGCCATCTCGCCGGCTGATGTCGCTGACTTTGAAAGCCCGTACGACGCTGTTTCCGAATGACCATAGTTTCCTATAAGCTTCGCCAGTACCTTGTCAGCAATCTAGTACTGTTTGCATTCTGGCTTTCTTTGCCTTTGCATCGGCTTGGTGTCCACGCATGCTCGAGCTTTCAACAAATTAACAGTTAACATTGCAACGTTAACAATCGTAGCAGTTCACACAGACGAGATTAGATTATACAAGTTAAGGTTCCATGGTAGAATTAGAAGTGGCGTTACGCCGGTTGAGCAATATGACTGCCTAAATTCGTGACAGGCTTGCAGACCGCAGTAACCGTCTTGTTTCATTTGGAGCGCTTTTTCTCTATGCGCGTTACATTACGTAGCTGGCGGATAGCAGACCGCGTTGGAATGTACCGGTGAAGACTGCTGAACACAGCTGAACATCAAGACGCGTTAGCTATCTACAAGGGAACATGCAGCGGACGGTTAATGTTAGCAGGTCTGCTGATCACTCCAAGCGGGGAGCTGTCCGTGACCAACTGTGCGTTTGGTTTCTGCTCTCTATATCATGGCTTGGACAAGCGATGGCTCAGATCTGGGTCCCCATTGATCGCCAAGTATGCTGGGCTGAGAGGAGTCGTCAGCTTGCGCAACAGCAAGTCCACGACCAGGAGCAGTGCCTCTGCAGCATCCCTGAATACGCGTACTTCTACAGCCGTGCGTTTGGACGCAGCTCCTGCAATGTGACTTTCAACCGGAGGAGCCTGGCGTACCTTCCTGCTTCGACGCAACCGCAGCACAGCCGACAGTTGCAGCCGAGCACCTTGGGCATGGACAACCGAATCCTTGCCAGCAGCTCTTGTCCGGACCCAGTCCAACATACGGACAAACCTCCACCCTCTACAACTACAAGCAGCAGCAGCAGCACCACCCATATCAGTCCAAACGGCCCTGCTTCCATGGCAAACACCGATAATGCCAAGGATGCACACCAACTTCTCGACAGCAACCAGCAGCGTCTAATCGTCCGCTTTAAGCAGTATGCCCCAGCAGATTCCCATCACACCTTCCTTCGCGACCTCCTCGGTCCCGAAGGTCCGGATGCCTGGTCCTGGCTGCCGCGTTCAAACGCAGCGTCACGCTTCCCAACCGACTTCGGTCTCCTTGCCACCTCTCCAGCAGTGGAACCCTTCCTTCGAGGGAGGCTGCAGGCAGCTGCGGGGGTGCGGGACGTGCACTTCGACAAGCGCTACACGGGGAAGCTGGCCTGGGTGCCCGAGGGACGGCTGCGGGAGTTGGTGCTATCCGACCAGGCGAATCCAGTGATGGAAGCTGTGGGCGGGAGAAGATCTGGTTCCGGAGCCGGAATCCGGGGATCTGGGTCGGAGCCGGGAACTGAGGCTTTTCGATCTGGGTCAGGGGCAGGGTCAGCAGAAACCGCAGCCGCAGGAGGTCGCAGTGCTGGCAGCAAGGGCAGTGGCAGCAGCACTGCTGGCGACCTAGCCGAGCAGGGCGCTGGCAGGACCAGGAGGGGGCCGCATGCAGCGGAGCAGACGACGGCTGATGCAAGTGCAGGAGGAGCAGGGGTGGGGGGTGGGAGGGATGCCGGCGGCGGCGGTGCAGGCAGAGGTTCTGAAGGCGGTGGTGGTGGAGATGGAGGTGGAAGTGGAGGTGGGGAGGATGTGTTCTCTGTGGTGCGGCGGCCGGGTCGCATGGTGACTCGCTTCTCAGCGGAGGACTTGGAAGGAGCGGAGGATGTGGAGGCGGAGGAGCGGGGCAGGGAGGCGGAGCAGCGACAGCAGTGGAGGGAGCGGGAGCGGGAAAGCGGTCCCGCTGTCCATCGGGGGAGGGAGCGGGAACAGCAGCCTCAGCAGCAGCGGCAGCGAGCGGCGACGGCAGAGGAGGAGGAGGAGGTGGGGCGGGAGGCGCATCCGCATACCGGGCGCATGGGCGCCTACCACTTCGGTTCCCCACAAGACGGGGACGGTGGCGGCAACGGTGGCAGCGTTGCCAGTAGTAGCAGTAGCAGCAGCGGTAGCGGCCTTGACGCGGAGTGGGAGCGGCGGCGGCTGCTGCTGTCCGCCCCCTCCGGCACGGTCCCTGTGATGCTGGAGGCGGACAAGCTGTGGAAGCTGGGCTTCACGGGGAAGGGAGTGCGGGTGGGTGTGGGGTGGAGGAGTTGAGTGGAGGAATGGGAATGGGGTGTCAGTGTGGAGGAGTGAAGGAGGGGGCGGTACGGAGGGAGCAGGGCCTGGGTGGGCGGATCAGGGTTGCAGGGCGCGGGGGGGTAGGCGGGTGCTGCCTAGCGGGGAGGAGGAGGAACGCCGCCGGTGGGAGGGGCACGGGTCATGCCGCCGACTGGGGGTGGGGTGGTGGGTGGGTGGGGTGGTCGCGAGCCCTCCTGGCGTGTGGAGCATCTTTCACAGCACGGAAGCAGACACCCACATGCTGCCTGGCCCCCTGCCGTTTCCCTGACTGTGACCCATGGGTCGCGCCCACGACCCCTTCCCTGCCCCCCCTCCGTCCCCCCGCTATCCCTAGTATATCCCGATGCTCAGTGCGGTGGAATGGACACATACCCTCCATGCCCGCTACTGCTCAGTGCGGTTGACACACCCTCCATTGCCCTCTACTGCCCTCCCCTGCCCACCACGGCCTTCTATTCCCCCCCCTTTCCCCCTCCCCCCGAGCCCAGGTGGGTATCTTCGACACCGGCATCCGCCCCGACCACCCGCACATCCGCCACATCACGGAGCGCACCAACTGGACGCACCAGGACTCCCTCAGCGACGGACTGGGGCACGGCTCATTCGTGGCGGGTGAGGGGGGGAGGGGAGGGGAGGGGAGGGGAGGGGAGGGGAGGGGAGGGGAGGGGAGGGGAGGGGAGGGGAGGGGAGGGGAGGGGAGGGGAGGGGAGGGGAGGGGAGGGGAGGGGAGGGGAGGGGAGGGGAGGGGAGGGGAGGGGAGGGGAGGGGAGGGGAGGGGAGGGGAGGGGAGGGGAGGGGAGGGGAGGGGAGGGGAGGGGAGGGGAGGGGAGGGGTAGCGGCCACTAACCCTCTTTTGTGCCGTGACACACTGCTCTGCCCTCTGTCCCCACTGCCATGTTCGATCAGTGGTTTTGGTAAATTGGTGGTGGTGGTGGTTGTTTTCCCCCGACTCCGTTGCTTCACTTTTCATTTATCCCCCCCCCGCCCGTTTCCCCCCCCCCCCCTCCAGGTGTTGTGGGCGGCCAGGACCCGCAGTGCCCCGGCTTCGCTCCCGACGTGTCGCTGCTCACCTTCAAGGTGTTCACGGACGACCAGGTGTCGTACACCAGCTGGTTCCTGGATGCGTTTAATTACGCTATCATGGTCAAGGTGGGGTTTGGGGGGGGAGAAGAATACCCCACGTGCTTGGGGGGAGGGGGCGAGGATGTCGGGGTTGTCTGGTTTGGGAGGATGTGGGTTGGAGCGTGCCCCGTAGTGTCACACAACTGTCACAACTGCAACAGTCCCAGATCGTGACGATGAACCGCACGCCCTCTTCTCTCCCCTCCTTCCCTCTCCCCCAAAGGTCCACGTCATCAACCTGTCCATAGGCGGTCCCGACTTCCTGGACCAGCCCTTCGTGGATAAGGTGGGTGTTAAGAAAGCTGGCCGCGAGTAGGGGTGTGTGTGTGTGTCATCAGAGGTGTCCACACCAGCCAATCAGCAAGGAGACTTGCAATGGACGCAAAGACTCAACTGGTCACCTTTTGTGATTCGATCGGCAACCCCGGCCGCCCACCTCCCGCCCCCTCCCTCTCCCACACCTCTCTCCTCCATCTTCACAGGGAGCTTGTAGCCTTGTCGCCATGCTCATTCAACGCACTGGATATTCTTCTTTTCCCCCTCCCCCTCTCCCCCACCTCCCACCCCCGCCCCCCCTCCCGCCCAGGTTCTGGAGGTCACCAGCAACGGTATTCTGTTGGTCAGCGCCATCGGCAACGACGGGCCGCTGTACGGCACCCTCAACAACCCCGCCGACCAGAATGACGTCATCGGGGTGGGCGGCATCGACAACTGGGACAACATTGCGGGGTTCAGCAGCAGGTGAGGCGGAGGGGGGCTTGCTGGGGTGCTAGGGAGGGAGGAGGGGCTTACTGGGATAGTGCTAGGGAAGTGGGAAGGAGTGGCGCTTGGGAGGCGAGGACAGTAAGGAAGGAGGGGAAGGGAAAGCTAGGGAAGGGAAGAAGCCATGTTTGGGCATGGAAACCGGCGCTAAGCAAGCAAGCTGTGCATGAGGGGGTTGCAAGTGAATGAAACGTGCGGTGGGGTAGGGCACAGGACGGCAGTGTTGTGGCATTGGAGCCCAGTGGGCGCATTGGAGTCTCTCCTCCGCGTCCTGGAGAGGTGTTCTATGAGCGCATAGGGTTGGTCGTCCGGACCTGTCCGGGTGTCCGTTTGCCTGAAACCCCCCCCTCCCCCCTACCTCCCATTGGGTGTTCTTTGTTTTCCCCCCAGGGGCATGAGCACCTGGGAGCTGCCCCGCGGCACGGGGCGAGTGAAGCCCGATGTGATGGCGTACGCCAAGGACGTCATGGGGTCCAAGATCCAGAGCGGCTGCAGGGCGCTGTCGGGTGGGTGGAGCAGGAGGGAGGGTACATGAATTAGGGCAAAGCCTAATGCAATTTCCTATGGCACGGCATGGTCTTTGCCCCCCTCAACATGTATCCCTGTTTACCCCCCCCCCCCAACCGCACCATGCAGGCACCAGTGTTGCCTCCCCGGTGGTGGCGGGCGCCGTGTGTCTGCTGGCCAGCACCGTGCTGCCGGAGGAGGGGCGCTGGCGGCTGCTCAACCCGGCCTCCATGAAGCAGGCGCTGGTGGAGGGGGCGGTGCGGCTGCCGGGGCTGAACCTGTACGAACAGGTGGGGTGGAGGGGGAGGGGTGGAGGGGGAGGTACGGCAGGTGGTGTGGAGGGGGGAGGTACGGCAGGTGGGGTGAGAGGGGGTTGGAAACAGGTAATGGAAGGGATACCCTAATTGCGAGCCAACCCATCTCTACGTAAGGGCCCTCTGCCGGCCCAACAGCTCTACCTTTCCTTACACCGCTCCTAACCGTCCCTGGCTCCCCAACCCGCCGCCCGCCACCCCCCCTGCTCAGGGCAACGGGCGCATCAACCTGCCCAACAGCATGGTCATACTGCAGGTGGGGGGGGTGCAGGGGGGTGCCTGGGGACGCAGGGGGAGCAGGGGGGTGCCTGCGAGCGCTGGCCGGTTGGTGGTGTGCTGCTGGCCAACTGGGATGCGACGAGGGCCAGGACAGCAGCACAGGGGCGCTGCTGGGTCGTCCGGAACCGGGTTAAAACCCGCACTTTCCCTTATACAATACCGGCCTCCCAGCTGCAATTCTCGGTTAATTCCCACCTCTTCACCCCCCACCCCCCTTGCAGTCCTACCGCCCGCGCGCCTCCGTCATCCCCTCCCAGCTGGACCTCACCGACTGCCCCTACATGTGGCCCTTCTGCAGGCAGCACCTGTACGCAGGTGGGGGTGGGCTGGGGAGGGGGGCACCCAATGTGATGGGGGGGGGGCAGGGACAAGGGGGGAAGGGGTAGGGGGTGCCCATGCACGGTCGCATGCATGCTAGGGTCGTAGAAGGGGGTTGGGCACATCCCTATCGCCTGCTAGGCGCCGTACATGTGCCGGGATGCCCGGGAGCACACATGATTGTAAGGTTCTGCTCTGCTGCCTGCCCCCTCTCACCCTCCCTGCCTCCGGACCACCTCCCAGCCGCACACACCCTCCCTGCCTCCTCCCCTCCCCCCCCCCTAACCTGGGATAGAGACTCCGTTGCCTCACTTTTCATCCCCACCCCCCACCTCGATGCAGGCGCCCTGCCCGTCATGTTCAACGCCACGCTGCTCAACGGGCAGGGTGTGGTGGGCCGCCTGGAGCGCCCCCCCACCTGGCTGCCGGCGGACGAGGGCGGCCGGCTGCTGCACCTCTTCTTCGAGTGGAGCGACACACTGTGGCCCTGGTCGGGCTACCTGGCGCTGTACATACGTGTACGGCAGGAGGGGGCGTCGTACGAGGGGGAGGCGAATGGGGTGGTGGAGGTGGTGGTGGTGTCGCCGCCGGAGCCGGGGGAGGAGGCGCCCAGGAGGTCGGTGGTCCGGCTGCCCCTGCGCGCGCGCATCGCCCCTCCGCCCCCCCGCTCCCGCCGCATTCTGTGGGACCAGTTCCACTCGCTCAAGTACCCGCCCGCCTACCTGCCGCGGGACAATCTGGACATCAAGAACGACATCCTGGACTGGCACGGCGACCACCCGCACACCAACTTCCACGGGATGTTCAACATGCTGCGAGACAAGGGGTATTTCCTGGAGATCCTGGGCTCGCCGGCGACGTGTTTTGACCCGACGCAGTACGGGGCGTTGTTGGTTGTGGATTCGGGTGAGTGTGGCGGTTGGGCTTTTTTGGGGTGCCGAAGGTCATTCACGTCCTAGCGTTCATTCCAAGTGACCCACGGGTCTAAATCCTCCCACACACCTCCTCTCCTCCTCCGCCTCCCGTGTTCTACCTGCCCCAATCCTGCTCTCACCTGCTCCTCCATCTCGCCTTGCCCTATCGTTCGTGGTTTCAGTTGGTTTGGTTCCTCCCTGACCCCCCTTGCTCCTCCCGCCCCCCCTGTGGTTTCCTATGGTATGGACCGTATGGTCTATTGGCCCCCCCAGAGGAGGAATGGTACCCCGAGGAGGTGTCAGCGCTGGAGGCGGCTGTGCGGCTGCACGGACTGAGCCTGCTGGTGTTCGCGGACTGGTACAACGTGCCATCCATGGAGCAGGTGGGTGGTGGTGGGGGAATGGAGGTTGGGGGGGGGATCGTGGGAGAGCTGGAGGACATGTGTTTGGAAGGGGCATGGGCGTCTGTGTGTTTTCCTAAGACCCTCCCCCTCCCCCTCCCCCTTGCCCGCTCTCCCCCTTTTGTCCCCCCCTTTCCTCTCCCCCGCCCCTCCAGATGCGTTTCTTCGATGACAACACCCGCAGCTGGTGGACTCCCGCCACGGGAGGGGCCAACGTACCCGCTCTCAACGACCTGTTAGCGCCGTACGGCATTGAGCTGGGGGATGCCGTACTGCATGGTACGGCGACCGTAGCAGGTAAGGGGAGGGGGGCGGAAAGGAAAGGAGAGGCCAGCATGGGGTGGATTACACTCATGTATTGGGGGACAGGTTCAGGGGGCTGGCGAGTACGAGAGCTTCGTGCTGCACCTAGCCTCCTCCCGCAACTGTCCACGGGTGCTGACTGCTGAGCAAAACCCTCCCTCCCCCTTCCTCTTCCTCCCCCTTCCTCCTCCCCCCTCCTCCTCCTCCCCTCCAGGCGGGCGAGTGGACATCAGCCACGGAGCTGACATCGCCCGCATGCCCGCAGGCGGCTGGCTGCACAAGGTAGGTAGGGGGCGGCCCGCACGCGGCACTAACCCCCCGCATGAAGGGCGTAGGCAGGGCGACGTAGTAAATCTGCATACCGGTACTTCTCCACATGTATGGCCCATTACCGTACTCCTTTCCATGCATAAGCCAACCCTCCTGGAAACTGTTTCTCTCCTAGTACCCTTCACCGACATGCAACCACCGGCATTCACTGCACCCAATCCCCTCCCCCGTGTCCTCCCCCGCACACCCACAGGCGCCCCTAGGCGACGCAGCACGCAAGGGCCCCCCCTCGTCGCAGCAACACGGTTTCCTGGGCGAAGTGACCCACGGGTCGGCCGGGGGCCACGTGGTTGTGTTTTCCGACAGTAACTGCCTGGACCGCTCTCACATGAGCCACAACTGCTACGACCTGCTGCTGCGGCTGCTGGGGCGGGTGGCGGAGGGGCAGCGGGGGGTGCTGGGGGATGCGGTGAGGGGGCAAGGGTGGGGTGAGGGTGAGGTGAGAGACATACCAGAACCACAGGTTAGGGCAAAGCAACGGTTGAGGGTGGGGTGGAGTGGGGCCGGGGGGAGGGGAAGACCACACACCCACTCCGACTCGCATGTTTGGCCTGTAGCGACAAAGCTTCGGACTGCTTCACGCTTTCTTTTATACCCTAAACGTGCCGTTGGCATTTTAACCCACTATACCCCCCTCCCACCTGCCCCCGCCAAACTACTCCTCACATGCACCCCGCTCCGCAGGTCAAGCTGTCCGCCCCCTACCTGACCCCCGCCTACAACTACAGCCGCCCCGCCCGGCGCCCCCCCTCCGAGTACAACTTCACACGCGTGTCGTACGTGCTGAGTCACCCGGGGCCGCCCACCTGCTTCCCCAACGCGGCGTGCGAGAAGCAGCCGGGCGACCCAGCGTGCCAGGTGCGGAGGCGGGTGCGGGGGGGTTGTATGGGGGTACAAATAAGGAGACTGCGGGGGGGGAGGGCGGTGGGCATGGGGTATGGGGGGGGGAGAGGAAGAGTAACTAACTGACTGTATAATAAGGCTTCACCATGAGTTGAGGTGGGAGGGTCGAGGAGGAGGAGGAGAAGGAGGTGGTCGAAGTGGATGTGGATGAAGGGGGGTCACGGGAGGGACAACCCATCAGGCCGACTGAATTGATTCGTTAGGCCGGCACTGGGGTTCGTCAGGATACGGGGGGTCAAGGGACCACAGGAAGCCACTGGTTATAGGGCAAAGCAAAGGGGATCGGAGACGGCAGGAGGGGGGTTGCGTAATTGAGCACGCGACTTCACCTGCCCAACCGCCTCCCCACCCTGACGCTTTCACCAACTGCCCACTACCGGGACTCCTCCTCTTCCCTCTTCGTTCCTCCGCAGGCCCTACTAGCGGACGATGCGAGGGCCAGAGCAGCAGCAGCCAATGCCTCAAAACGAGGATCCATCCTCCTGAACAGTGGAAATCTCAATAACAATGGCAGCAGCAGTGTTGGCAACGGCGGCGTGGGTCAGGTGTTGCTTGTCCACCCAGACGGTTCCGGAATCGGAGGGGCAGTACCCGGATCCCGACCGCTAACGGTAACGGTAACTCCCATGCGATTGAGTTTGGGATCCGTTGTGCTCGGTTTCTTGGTCGTACTGAGTTTGTTATTGCCGGTTGCGTTGTGGGTGACGTTGCGGGTACGAGCGGGGCGGGGCGGTGGGGGTGGGGGAGCTGGGGGAGGAGGGGCGGGTAGTGGGGGTGTAGGGGGAGGAGGTGGGGTTGGAGGTGGGGTTGGAGGTGGGGTTGGAGGGGGAGGGGGGTCAGGGACGGGAATGATGGTTGCTATGGGGCGGAGAGGCGGCTGGGGCCAGGGTAGCAGTCGGTTGCGAGGAGGGAGCGATGTGTAAGTTTGCAGTTGTGCGTTTTCCTTGGCAATAGTAGTACAGCCATAGCAGCTGCGGTGGTATGATGGCAACCGCACAGCAACCGCAAACCCATGCAAGCAGAGATGAAAGCATGCCCAGCTTCGTTAGACGCTCAAACAGTGTGCCCGGTGCACAAGGCATCCCAGTAGGTCAAGAGCATGCACCATGCTATGACCGCGGACTGTTGCTTCAGTCAGCATTGTGATGTGTTGTTTTGCTATGTTGCTGTGTTTCAATTCTGTTTTCATGGGGGGGTTCACACCTTCGCAGTGAAGGCATGGGACACAGATACACCGGGCTTCCTTGTGTTCACAAATGAAGACCCATAGCCTTGTGTACATATGTCGCTTTGCAATTTGCTTTACCTGAACATTTTTACCTGCCGGTGGCATCGCTCTAGGTGTGCCGTACAATCCATAGCCTTGTGCGGCTGTGGTTCGAATGTATGATCCGTGGAAAGGGGGGCTGTGAGGTGCACGCGGCCGTGTCCCCGCCGGCGCCTGTGTTGCTACAGCAGGGTATTCGTTGGCACGAGTCGGTGTTGGGCTTTGCGTTGGGTTGGGGTTGGGGCTGCGGGTTTGGGATTCCGGACCTCGTCATTCTTTATGTCGCATGCAATTTCCGTATAATGGTTGGCGGGATGAGGCCCACCAAAGGTGGCGGGGATCACTGCACGTGAACTTGTTGGGTAAACCACACCTTGACGACGACTGCTCGTTGACCCTGAGAACTGCTGTTGACAAGGACACAGGCTATTCCCTCTCGCCGGGGCCGAGCCGGTTAAAAGAGCACAAGGCTAGGGCGGTTGTACCATTCCGCACGGATCCGCATGGGAATGGTTAATAGCCGAACGGGTGCATAACCTCGTCGCGACAAAGGACGTTCAAAGTCAGCGGGGTGGGCGGTCAACGGCCACCTAAGAACTAAGCTATCCGTTCGCGGTAAAGTGTTTTGATGCGTTCATATGGGTGACTACCCGAGGCTGGACTTGGGAAGGCGTTGAGGAGTAAATGCCTTGAGCATGTCGCCGGAGCAATCTTCACAAGGTAGGTTTGTCTTCCGGAGGTTGCTGCAGCTAAACTCTCGCTGAGGGTCGCGTGGCATAGGTAATAGCGTGGTAACGCTTAGGCTGCTGGAACAAACCGTAGAGACAGCACCACAACGGGCCAACAAGATGGGATGCATAGCCCTAAAAGAAACCCCAAGAGGGTAGAAGCCAAAAAAGGGCCCCTCAGCAAACCTCGACAAACCTCATCTAGGGCATAAGACAACCCAAACCGGAAGCCACGAACACACCACCCCAAAGACATCAGGGCCAAAACAGGACGCTCAACGGCACACAGAAAACCGCCCGCCAACAATACGTAAGAAAGGATGAGAAGGGCCAACCCCAGCCCATCCCCGACGGGGAACACCCAAACAAGCAAAACCCCGAAGCTGACCCCAGAACCAGGAAACAGCAGACAGGGCCACCATATCAGCAAGCCCAGATACAACACCCGCAGAACCGGACTCACGTACACGAGCCCTTAACAACCGCCGACCCACCTCCATAGCGGACAAAGCAGCCAAAACAACAACATCCCAAACGCACTGCTGCACGCCCGAAGGAGGCAACGCCAACCACAAGGCAGCCCGAGGAACCGCAACACCCAGCGTTACCTCAAGCTGCTCAACCACAGCACGAGCAACAGGACAAGCCCAGAAAAAATGCAACCGCGGAGACACCCCCAAGTCAACGGACCCACAACCACAACATTCCGGACGAGCCCTAGACATATGAGAATATTCCCCAGCAAGGGAACCCCATCAATAGAAAGACGCCAAAACGCTTCCTTGAAACCATTCTCCCAACGAATCGACCAAAGACGCTGGAAAGAATCACGAAGGCCATCCAAGACACCCTCAGGAAGCTGCTGGGTAGCAGGTAACCCCAGGGCCTCCCGAATAAAAGCCGCATGCAACACAGCACGTTCCTCAAACACACCCCCAAGCTGAAGAACGGTAGCCATCCGAACCGACAGATTCCTCAAAGGAACGGCGCCAACATGAGGCAACTGCCACCCCAAACGTGGAACCAAAACCTGCCAAGCATCAACCTCAGAAGCCGGCGGAGGTTGGGGCGGCAAGGCATCAACAAGAAAAGTCTCAGCAGCCTCCACCCAAGCCACAGGCACCGCACCCAACAACGACTCAAGAGAGGTCAAAAGATCACGACACCTAGGCAACGAACAAAGAGCACAGGCATCCGGGGACGCCGGGTCCAAAAACCGACGTACAAGAGCGGACCAGCACCTCTCCATCACCCTGCCCTCAGCAACCCCCGACACACCGTTCAACAACGCTGAATCCCACGTGTCCTCAAAACAACGAAGTCGAGCCAGGGCAGCCACACACATACTCAACTGCTTGCTCTTGTCCTACTCAACTACACATACCCAATGAACGCAGGGCATGGCAATGAACGAGCACCGGATAGTGGTGTTCCAAACCCAACACACCAGGTTGGCCCGGCAGCCCAACCGGCAAGAAAGGGTTACCCCACAACGGAACACCCCAACACCAGCTACCCGGTACCAAAGGCTCCGACCCAATGTCAGTAACTGGCGGTAAAATTGCCATAGAAGTCACAACCCGACGAATATCCTCAGGCAAACCATCCACACCCAGCCAAGGCCCCCTCCTGGACGCTGTCAACAACGATAGGGGACCAAAAGCCGGATGCAACCGCCGAAGGTACAGAAGCAAAGCACGCTGCCAGGGATGTAAGGAATCCCTTGGCATCACGGCGAAACAAACTAAACGGGCACCCCAATAAGCAAAACGGGCCCGAATATGCTCAATCAAAGGCAAGGCATCAAAACCCCCTGCCCTGGGGTGACCTGCTAACAGCCTACCCGGAACACCCGTGGCACGACGCTCCCTATCCTGCGGACCCTGGTGCCGATCAATAAACTTAGCCACCAACCTCCCCAGGGTGTCCAACTGATCACCCGGAGGCAAACCGGAATGCTCCATGTGCCAAGTAGGGTGCAGTACCTCCTCCGAAGCACACAGCTCCGATTAATACACAGCTTTAATGCAACCAGGTCGAAGAAGAAGGATTCCCTCGCTCCAAATCTCCGGTGACATTCCCGTAAGAACCTTACCAATGTTACCAAGCCCTTTACTCTCCTCCTCTCTCCTCTCCACCCCTCCCCTATTTCCTCCCCATCCAGGGACGACGCCTCCGGCGCCTCCGACACCGCCCTCATACCCATTGCCATCGAGCTCGCCCACCGCTTCACGCACACCGCCACACCCAACCTGCCCCGCACCGCGGGCCTCGTCTACTCGCGTGCCGCCCTGGCTGCCCGGCCGTCCACGCTGGCCGTCTGGCGACTTGCCAAGGCGGTGTTCCGCTCCCTGGACTCGGCCTTCCATCAGCTGGTCAGCCACTGGCATGCGGCCCTGGAGCCGTTTTTGATCGCCATGCGGAGAAACATCAGCGAGATGCATCCGGTGAGGGGGTGTTGGGTCAAAATAGACCAAACCATAGGAAACCACGAATGCGGCGCGGGGGGAGACGGAGGAAATGAGGAGCTGGGAGAGGTGTTGGGAAAGACGTTTGTTGCCGTATTCATCAAGCTTCCCTGGACCTCTCCTCTCAGCTTTATCCTTGTGTGGGAAGGGCGGCGGTACGAGCTTTGCGGCTTTCCTTTAACACAGCGCAAAGGTATTATACTTACCGCCCCTGTCACTTGTACCACCTTTTGGGACCTTGGTCACCTTGCTGATGCCGTACTCTTAACCACATGCAACCCTCCCCTCCCTCCCCCCTCCCTCCTCTGTTGTTTCCACCAGGGATTGTTAGCAACTTGTATCATTATCACACCACACTTTGGAATTTCTTTTTCCCCCCTCCCTCCGTAGGTCCACAAGCTGCTGCTGCCGCACTTCCGCTACACGCTGTACATCAACCGCACCCTCGCTCATCAACGCGGGCGGGGTCATTGAGAAGTCATTCAGTGCGGTTCCCTACGCGTTGCGACTGTCGACGGTGGTGTACGGCAAGCACTGGACCTTTGCCAGCCAGGCGCTTCCAGCGGATTTGAAAGCCAGGTGGGGGAGGCAGGCGTGTGTGCCTGTTTACCAGACGCGAGGGTGTTGGTTCTTCCAAAACCGACTGTTGCTGGCAATAGGTTTTACCATTTCCTTGACCTCACCTCGAAACTTACCCAAGGCGCCCTCTGAACCCCTCCTTGCTTTGGACAGCAATCCCACCTCAGCCCTCATACTTCCTGCCCCGAACCACCTTTGCTTCCCCCTCATTACTACAATATGCCTTCGTTAGTTTCCTCTTTGCCCCCCCCCCGCCTCCATGCTGGACCCCTCGGGCCGCCCATGGCTGGACTACCCCTACGCGGAGGACGGCTTGTCACTGTGGGCTGAGCTGCGGCGCTACGTTGGCGCCTACCTGCGCCTGCACTACAGCGGCGGGGACGCGGAGGTGCTCGCGGACGGGGAGCTGCAGGCGTGGTGGCAGGAGGTCAAGGCGTGTGTGTGTGTGTGAGGGCTGGGCGGGGGCCCTACCCATGGGTGTAGTTGCTGACCCATGGGTCATTGAAGGGGTTCTGCCACCGTGCAACAACAATCCACTTCCTTATTTTATTCATTCATGTAATCTTATCATACCAACTACCATCACCGTTCCCAACTGCATGCTCTTCCCTGCTGCTTGCCCATCTTTCAGCGACCACTTCCTTTCCGCGACCACTTCCTTTCCACACACAGACCGAGGGCCACCCCGACCTGGTCGCCTTCGGGCTGCGAACCGAGGCCGAGCTGTGGGGCTTCTCGGGCCCCCTCCCCTCCCTGGACTGCCTCACGCGGGTCCTCACCACCATTGCCTGGCTCGCCTCGGGGCACCACGCGGCCGTGAACTTCGGCCAGTACGACTACACCTCGCTGCTGCTCAACGCCTCGTCGCTGGTACGACGACCCATGCCGGCTCCGGGGGACAAGGCGTATGAGGTATGTGAGGCGGTGTGGATACGTACGGCAGGATTGTGTCCTGGTATGTAGATAGATTGGCAGCAAGGGCAGCAAGGGTTGAAGGGCATGGCGGCAGCTTTAAACCGGAATGGTCCCTGATTTGCGTGTCTACTTGTACGGCCACACGGTTAATCGCGGATGGTTCGGTGCTGCTGGTCATCATGGCTAACAGGCAACCATGGCAAGGCAAACAACGTTGAACTCGTGGTTGAAGTACATGTGCTGTTTGCAACCCGTGCCCAACGCGAAACACTTTGCTTTTTTGCAGAGGCTAATCCAAGCTGTGCCGGGATCTTCGAAGCTGGAGGGGGAGATCCTGTCGTACCTCGCAGATCCCCTGTCGTCCTTGCAGGTTTGTGTGTTTGTGTGAATGAAGGGTTTCCCTAAAAGAGAAAACGGGTGTGCCGTATACGGCGCATGGGTGGGCATTAGTAAACACTGGCGGGGTCCCATTTGCGGTTGCCAGGCAAGACCTTTTGCAAACACGAAACGAACGGCACACATCACGCCGCGTGTCCAATGCGTTCCTGACCAAACTGGCTGAGCTCCATCAGGACGGGATGACTGCTGCATCAGCGGCTCACCTCACACCTGCCTTGCTGCCTTGCTGCCTTGCTGCCTTGCTGCTGCTGTCACCGCTGCTGCAGGTCATGAGCACCGTGCTGCTGCTGTCGGGCCATGCGGACGACGAACACACGCTGGACGAGCCCAACGAATACCTGCCGGTGAGGTGGTTGGCGGTTGGTTTGGGCATTCCGGGTGAGGAGTAGGTACGGTGATACCGGCCGACGATACGTGCGCTGGAGCGTAGGAGAGTGTTTTGAGGTCTCTAGGGAGGACATGGAGGACAGCAGCATGTTACCGCGGGCAACACGACATGGCTCGTACCGCCTCCGTGCTCCATGGGCGCCGCAAGTTGCCCTTACCAGCAGCCTAGCAGTGATGCCTCTAGCTGCATCCTGTTGGCTTGTTCACTGCCGCTGCTGCGCACCTGCTGCTGCTTGCACCCCTGCACCCATACCCGCCCTCAGCTCACTAACCCCTTCCTACCCCCCCCCTTCCTTCTCTCTGATATGGGATTGGGACTCGTTGTTTCATTTATATAATTTCCCCCCCTCCCTTCCTATCCTCCCTCCCCCCCGCCCTCGGGCCCAGCAGGACGGCCCCGCTCGCGCCCTCAACGCCGCCTTCATCGCCTCCATGCAGCGCCTGCAGGATACCATTGACATGCGCAACGCCGACCCGCGGCGCTGGGCGAGGTACGGACTGGCGGGCGGATCCAAGGCAGCCCTGCCGTACACCCTGTTCATGCCTGGATCCGGACCGGGGGTCACAATCCAGGGGTGCCGTACTCGGTTTCGATCTAGGTAGGATACGAACGCAACCAGAGCGAGCATAGGGGGATGCGTGAGTTATTAGTTTGCAGCATGCATGTGGTACCGGTAGTTAGAGAGTGGTATACTTACTGGCATCCAAGGTTGCCGACATGCGTGTTAACTGTTAAGCAATGTGTCGCACGTACGTGGATGGGACATGTGTGGGATGGTGTTGGGCAGTATTAATTATGTACGGCGAGTGCCGTCCATTCAGCGGGGGTGGCGTAACGGCTGGACTGGTGCATGTTATTTGTGTGCATGTTTTTTGTGCATGTAAGCGCGCCTAAGGAGCGCGCCGTACGACAGTGCATTGCAGCGATGATGTTTTCGGTGATGATACCTCTTTAGTTATAATGACCGCAGGGTGATCCTGTAGTTGGTGTACGACCGCAGGGCAATCATCTTCTAATGATTGACAGCAGGCTGGCACGACGTATGTTCTTATGATGCTCGTTGTCGACCTTTTGTTGTTGTTTGGTATGCGTGCTTGTGTCCGGGCAACCAGTGGGGTCCCGGCCCGGATTCGGGGCCCTGCGCATGCTGGCAACCCCAAGCATGTGTTGTACGACAAAGCAGGCTTTCTGTGTGGCTGCAGAACCTGAGGGAGGCTCGTGCGTGCGCATGTGTAGCTTTAGAGCAAGTGCGCTGGGCACTGGTCGGCGTTAAAACACCGGTTACACGTGCGGAGTTGTTGATTACCGGTACCCTCCCAAACACACGCATTCTGTTCGCCAGTTGTTTGGTACACGCTGTTCGCACAACCATTTATAACACGGTTCAGACAAGTAACCGTTTTCACTGGAGGTCCCACTTCCCGAAGCGAGGACATTGTTACTAAAGCTCAAGACGGAACAACTGACATGCAGATTCTACCCGCCAAACAAACCACACCTTCTGGGAAACGAGATAAACCACCACAGACAAAACTCAATGTAGCTGCTCGTTATTGGGTACAATACACTAACCTTGAGTTGACAGCCACAAATAGGACATGCGTGGCCGTAAATACCCCGAATACGGCGAATCCTCCATCCAACATGCTACAGCCGAAACTACGAGATGTAAACCGCTTATGACAATGTGTTGCTTCATCATATGCCTTGTGAGCATGGCGCAATGTGCACCCCATGCTATCGCACAAACAAACATACCAAGAAACCAAAAATACCAAACCAACATGCCGAACAAACATACCGTTGCAGCCAACGACCGTACTGCACCATCCGACGAGCATCTGATAATACAATATAACCCATACATCTTCTGCTGAAACAAGAAAAGTGCCTATGTACGTCTTTGGTATGCATGGCTGGAGGGCGGGCCGTGACCGAAATATTACTCTCCCCGAAATATTCCAACACCCGTTGGGTGTTGCCATACTTACCTGTGCATACAAGCCCCCTTAAATTCACTGCGGGGCAATAATGCAACGCCCGCTATGCTAACATTCTCTCCAAAGGTATAGCCCACAGCCTTCACTTCGGACGGAACCGCTTGCTTAATGGTGCAGGCAAGCATGCCATCCGACACGACTGCGGCCTGTCAATGGCGGTCCTCAGCCACTGCCATGCACGCACAACATGCACTGCTGCTGCGGGTGACTAGGCAACCAACCCCACGGACTCTCACGCTAGCAGCTTGACGACAGCAAGCTGCCTACCGACAGCCCGACGTTATCCTTGGATGCCAACGTCGCACACCCCTCCCCGCCGTACATACGTTACCCCCCAGCCGATTACAAAGCATGGCTAGGAACCCTTCCACCCACACAAATCCACCCTCCAAGAGTGCAAGGATTAAGACGACTAAGCACAAGGCCAAGACTGAAGACATCCGACATACCAGTCATTGCTGACTAGGCGGCAAAGCGCTAGCTAGCTGGCCAGAACTTGTCCGGAAAGATGGGGGTGCACACACTGGGACCGCCCCTACCTCACACGTCCTCCACTTCCACCTCCGCCTCCGCCCATCACTCCGTGGGGCATGCGTCCTCGTACTCCCCATCCGGCCCGCCACCCTCCTCGCCGGGCTGACCAGCGCACCTGCGGACGAACACACGGCAGGTGTCGAAGAGCACACGGGTTCAGAGGTGCACCATGTGAGCTACCGTAGTGGCTAACACCCTTCACTCCTTCTAGAAGAGCCGGAGGGCGCCTCATGGGCGACATCTAACCACCCGGTGCGTCCGAAACCGCGTTGCCTAGAGCCAGGTACGAGCCAGCAGGCACACGCCATGTCAAGAAATGCCTGACCAACCCAACCACGGCGGCCTGGTAACACGCATTGCACCCGGTCTCATTCACGCCTCATTCCCCACAATTCCCATAATCGTCAACCCCTTTGTCTTGCCCTCACTTGTTGGGTTCGGTCCCAATCCTTTGGCCCAAACCGTCGGTACACAGCAGCCCCACTTACTGCCGCCAGTGGTCTTGCGCCAGGTGCGGGAAGCGCAGCCCCGTGCCGCCACACAGCTCACACAGCAGCCGCCCGCTGCCCCGACAGCGCGGGCAGCGGTTGGTGCGCACCCACTCGCTGGTGGCATACGGCACCTCATGCGGCGTGAGGCCAACTGCCATACGAAAGCGACGTACGGCGTTCCGTAGAAGCGAGGCACGCTCCACAGCCACCTCGCCTAGCCGGCCGGTGGCCTGAGGGAAAGCAATCGGGAGAAATGGAACACATTTAACAAGGTACTGAGCAGGTGGTGAATGCATGTGCCAACGAAGCAACCAATGGCACATTAGACTGGTCACCGGGAAGGGGGAACTGCAAATGTGCACCCCATGTTCCACATTAATGGAGCTTTGCTTTATGGATTCCAAATCTGCATTCTTAACTTGAGCGACATGAGCGAGCGCTGTGCCGGGTCTCAGGTATGCGGGTATGGCGCCGGGGGTAGTGGTCGAGGGTGTGGCGTGACAGGGGGAAGAGGACTGGAAGTGCTCATTCATCTGTGTGCGTGTCTTCCGAGGGGTTCCGTGCATATAAGCCATTCATCAAGCGTAGCCTTGCCGATGGATGGGTGAACCCGAGGTCTATCCCATCAGACGCATATGTCAGGCTTGAAATTCAACTGGGAGGGTGCACGGCTACGGCGGTAGTGAAAGGCCGCAACCATGCTGGTGGGTCGGGAGCGCAAGCGCACCCATTGACCGCACCCCCTGAAAAAATTGAAGTTAATCGCAGGTCCTCAATGAGGACCATGTAAGCGATTAGACTTACAAGAACAGATACTACACATGATCTGAGCCAAAAGGCCGAGAAAGGTATGATTTAATAGTGGTGTCGCTAAGTATATAAGAGGCAGCATACCATGGTGCTTGCAACATAGCGGCGATGGTGGGTAGCCATTAGGATTGCCCAGCCAAACCCTGGGTTCGCAGGAAACGCAAAGCCTACGTTCCCGCCACACGATAATCCAATAACTGCACAATGCTGCTTATCTGCTCCCATACCTGCGCAGCCAGCCAGCCACGGACAAGGATACTCCCTGCCTACCTTGCAATGTGGGCATTCCACAGTTCCTCCCCCCCGGCAGCTTAGGCAAGTGCACGGTCCGCGCTCAAGGGAAGACGCAGCCTGAAGCAGTGCAACGTGAACGGCGACTAGGGGTTTGGCGCGCATTTTTTGGGTGGTTGGCAGGAGAATGTTGCGGAAATAGGCATGCCTGGACGCGCGATGGGCACGCTGGGGCGCTCATCGGAAGGTGGCGCGTACCGATAAACACAAATGCAACTGTTGCTATCAGGTATCAGGAAAGCGGACCCCGAATGCCGCGCCATGAACGACTAATGCCTCACTTACGCGGTTCAACAAGACGTCAACCGTTTGCTTAAAACTGTTTGTGCTCCTGTCAGTAACAACAGGCGTCCTAGAATTCTTCCGTTGTGGGCTCTGGGGTCTCTCGGGCGAAGTCTGCGATAAGTGTCGAACAGATTGCAACACGACATCCGTCAAATATTGACAATATTCAAACCTATTCCGAGTACATGTAGCTACGGAGGCATTGTTAACGTTTGCTGTTTCAGATGACGAGTGGCTCCGGCTAGTCGACGTCAGTCAAGGATAGAAGACACCGAACAAGCGCCAAGCACGATCCGACATCTAGGCTTGGGGTGCATGCTCCTAGCTATATTCCAAAGAACTAGGCGAGAGGCGTCCACAGAATTTGCAACTACCGATAGTTGCAACCCATGGATACACCGGCTTACTTTGAAGCTCATGACGATAGGCAAGTTCCTGCTAAGTAGGAAACGTTCCCTGCAGGGAATTCGCTGCCGACGTGTGCAGCAACAAGGGGGTGCATGGCGTTGAAGCATGCCGACTAGTCTTGCTCCACTTGAGCTCAGCCTGCAGTTGCTAATCTGCTTTGCAGCACTCAGCTATATTGCTAATGGGTAAAGACCAATAGTGTGTCGCTATACAGGTGTCCGACGTTGCGACGGATGTCGGAAGAGGCAGATATGGACTGAGTTGGAACGTTAACAAGAAACAGCTTTCAGAACTAGTCGATGTGCTCCATGTCACTGCGTGCAGTTCGGTGCCCGAGGGCTTGGTTGCTGCCTCTGATGTCGTCCAATTCGCGCTCAGTGCTGTACAGATACAGTATCCGGAAGCGATCCTCCGATGTTTTCTATCGTCGAACTATGCCAGCAATGCTTGGATCGGTGCAAGTGAAAGCGTAGAATGAAGTTCTGTGCGACACCTCGCTCACAATTTTGCATGCCTGCAACACCTCCAAGTAGGTGGTAGATTGCGCAGATCCTTGGCGTAAAACAACGCTACAACGCAAAACCCTTCATAGTATTTTGCATTTTAGTTGAAGCGCCGGTGCGACAAGTGAAATTCTCAGGTACCGGTACCTGGACATCGTTTGCCGGTTCGCTCGAGTTCGCAATTACTACGTCAAGCACTGGAACCTACGTGTCAGACGATGCACTGGAATCGCTATTTGACATCGTGAAATTAGGTAAGCCCAACTCTGCTGCCGAACGAGGGCATCCAGGAGGGGATGCAGCCTGCGTCGACGGCAGATAAGTTGAAATCCCCCATATGTGTATTGGGCGTGCGTCTTAATACCGGTGTCTCGAGGTATTGATGGACCTATGACTGATGGCTACTTGCACCTGTTAAGCAAGTGCGCCTCGTCACTGTCTAGCCCCTGCACAATGGGACCACCTATTGCCGAAAACCTGTTAATCAATGTCTCACTTCCTTTTTGACGACTTCTTCATCAGCATCTTCAGGCCAGCTACAACGCAGTAGCTGCACGGGGAGAGTAACAAAACGTGTACCGTTATGAGCGCTTCTTCTCCCATCCTGACCAACACCACTGCTGGCAAGCCGGGCCGTACCAGCGCCCTGGGGCCCAACTGCATGCCAGGCGCCATCGGCAGCGGACGAGGAGGCTGTGGAAACTCCTTTTTCCGTACAACCACGGCTCTCAGTTCACTGAGAGCTGCGTACAGTGCCGCGTCGACATCGGCGCAGCCGCCGCCAGTACGGCAGCTGCGAATGCTGGTGCCGCTGCCGTCGGCATCTTCCGGGTCACATCCCACCTCCGTCGCCGCCACCGCCGTCATCCCCAGAGGAACACTAGGCCGTGGAGCACTGCACAGGTCACGGGCACTTCCGGGATCGTCACCCTTATGCAAACGCGGCAGGAACGTTGCCGTACGATTCTTTCGTGACGGTGCTGCCGCTGCGGAGGGACCGGGAGATCGCCGTACATCGCCGACTTCGCCTTCGGGTGCAGATGCCGCCGCGGCCGCGGGCGCCTCCCGTCGCGGCGTCAACGACCCGGCGTCGCCACCGGAACAACGGCAAGCGAGCGACGGAGGAAGCGAGGGAAAAGAAGAGGTGGCGACGGCGCAACCGCCAACGGACAATGCTGCCGCGCTTCCTTTCGTCGCGTCAACCCGCCTCCGCCACCACTACTTGCACGAGCAGCCATACCACGGCGTCCCTCCCAGCGGCGCCGACAGCGGCGACAATGTCGCCAACCGCGCTGACGCCGCCGCCGCCGCCGGCTCATTGGATGCGAGTGCGGCGACCGGCAGGTCTCCGGAGGCATTCACGACAGGTGGTGGCGGCCCCCTGCAGGAGGCGTCAAGGGCGCGGACGAGGCGTCGGTCGCATCGAACCCACCAGCAGCACCGGGAGGACCGACTGTTTGAGGAGGCTGAGGAGCGGGTGAGCTTGGTGGCATGCGGTGGTGGGGATGCTGTTTGCGGCGCGCTTGCTGAATAGACCTTGGCCTGACGTCCTTATGCGTCTGGGTCCGGGGGGGGGGGTAGTCAGAGACCATACCAGACCATAGGGGGTGGGGGAGACTGGGGTTCATCAGCCATGTGGACTTGGATGCAAGCCTAAGCCTTGGGATCATCAGCCGTTTGCTACTCCCACTTGCTCCCCGACATCCTTCTAGAGGAGGCATCGTACAGAACCGGCCTACCATAACTTCCACTCCTCTTCACGTCATCGACCCAGCCTCCCAACCTCCTTTTCTTCCGTTCCTTTACCACCCCTGCTCATCCACCGCAGGCCGTAGCGCTGCACCCCGACATCCTCCTAGAGGACTTGGTCGCAGAAGCCTCCGTACCCTTCGATGCGGCCGGCGGCTACGAAGGCGGCGGCGCCGGCGCTGACCTGGACCTCGACCTGGCCTCCAGTGACGCTGCTGCTGCTGCTGGCGGCGGCGGCGGCGGCGGTGACGTGGACGATGCCGGAGAGGCTGCCGTACGTCCGAGTGGCGGCGCGGGGCCGCATGCTGGCTTGGCGATTGAGGACGTGGATCCAAGATCTGGTGGATTCATGGCAAGTCGGCCGCTTGTGGATTCAGCGTACGACGATGTTGGACGAGCGATTCGTGCTGAGCAAGGTATGGAAAGGGAGGAGAAGAAGCCGGTAAGTAAGCAAGATGGTGTGAATGGCTGTTACGTATGGGCGCTTGGGTCGCGTGGTCGCGTAAACCTAGGGATGACGCTTGTTAGGGGCTTGTGTTTCTTTGCATACTGGTTTGGTGTCTCCCTGACCCACCCACACCCCAACCCCCATGTTCGCCTGCATGCCTCCTGCCACGTGCTGCCGCTGCTGCAGGCCGCCACGTCCACCACTCCTCCGCCTCCGCTGAGAGTGTGGAGGCGGCGGAGGCGGCAGCCCGCAAGGCAGCCACCGCTGACGACCAGCGGGAGCGGCTGCTGGATGCGGCTCCGGAGCTGCAGGTGGGGGGCGGGAGGGAGGGGGGTGCAGCGGGAGGAGGTGGTTGCTTGCGCATGTTTGTTACGTCTGGTAGCGTGTGATAAGCTGATGATGGGCGGTATACTGACGGGTGGTTGTCCTGAACGGTGATCAACGATTGCCCACTCTCCAGTCGCCTGTTGAAGTTGTAGGTACGCACGTGGTTCAGCAGGGCAGAAGAGGGGGATGGGAGCTGCGTAGATGGCTAGCCCGCCTTGGGTGCTGCCGCCTTGCTGCGCTTTGGCCTTCTCTTGCTCCATGCACTGCTACCGGTACTGCTTGCAGCAGCCAGCTCTAGCTTCGCCTCTTACCTTGTGACACCCGTCACCCGTTGCTGGCCCCGTTGAACCGCCGCGGCGTCCGCCCATCCTTCACCTCTGCCTGTTCTGCCGCCCGTAGGAGACGTACGGCGTGTACGGCGGGTTTGGTAGCGAGGAGGGCGGCGCATTGGTGGGCGGAGAAGGCCGACTTGAGGAGCTGCTGGGTGGGTCAGTGCGTGCGTCGGTACTAGGACGTCGTAGTGCGCGGGTACGACTCGCACTCCGGGTGAAACAGGAGGCGAAGGGTGCCAGGGACACCAAACCGACGGCCGCTGACATGAGGCCTAGCTGGCTACACCGGGCTCTGGAGCGCATGGGTTTATGTCCTATGCACTCTCCTCCTCAATCCCCTTATATACCTTCTCAGCCCCCTTCTATGCCTCTTTAACCGCATTCTATACCTTCTCAACTCAACCCTTCGCAGAGACGGCCCCGTTCGGAGAAGACGAGGGAGTTATGGTGGACCTAGGGGGTGGCGGCGGCGGCGGTGAGGCAGCAGCGGCGGCGGAGGCGGCGGCGGAGGCGACGTCACCCCTGGCGGATCCGCTGCGGCAGCTGGCGGGCGGCGGCGGCAGCGGCGCGCGGGACCCGCTGACGGCCCTAGATGCACTGGCGGTGAGAGCATGAGGGTGTGTACTGCACTGGGTGTGGGGGTGGGTGTGTCGGCAGCAGCTGCGGAGGGGTGAAGGGGCAGCTGGGGTATATGCCCGAGGGCTCAAAAGGCTCTTGAGCGCACCTGCTGCTCATGGCATGTTCCCAGGTGCGGCCTGCACGGCCTGGCTTTTGAGTACCGGTACCGCTATTCAAAGCGTTGCGTTTTCCGTTGCGTTGCCCACCCACCTGCCCGAGCAGCATCAGGAGGCGCTGGAGCTGCTCCAGGAGGGCGCCGCGGATGAGGACAGCGGCAGCAGCAGCAGCAGCAGCAGCAACAACAGCATGGCTGCCGGGGAGGCCGACGTGGCCGACGTCATGCCGGCGCCGCCGATACTGCGAGCCATGCGGGGCGCCCCGCCCACCGCTGCCGCTGCCGTCAGCAACGGCGGAGGCGCAGGGAGGGCTGGCAGCAGCACGGATTCCACCAGCAATGACAAGGCTACGGCCGGCCAGCAGCAGCAGCAGGTGCAACAGGTGCAGCACAACCAGCCAAGGGTAGGACGGAGGCTGCAGTTGAATGTTGACAGCGGCAGCGGCCCACGCCTGCACCTCCGCCGCCAACAGCAACACCACCAGCACCACCAGCAGGCGCATGCACCCAACCGCCCCGGAGGCAGCGAACCAGCGGAGAAGGACGCGGCACCCATGCCGCCGCCGGTTGCACAGACGCTGCCGCCGCCGTTCTTCCGTACAAGCCCTGACGTTCCGGATGAGGACCTGGAGCACCCGCCGCCAGCAGCGGCAGCGCACGTGCCGCCAGCGGTGCCGCGCGGTGGCGGCGGCGGCGGCGGTGGTGGTGAGCAAACCAAGGGTGTTGCCGCCACCCCAGCGGTGGCCCCCGGTGGGGCGCATGCTTCAACCGCTGCCCCCGGTCGTCTAAACAACAACCCAGATGTGGCGGATGAGGATGTGGAGCGCCGCGACGGCAACGCAGCGCCGTTGGCGGCGGAGGCGGATACGAGCGACTCAATCGCTCCTGGCGACGTCGACGTCGACAGTGGCGGTGGTGGAGGCGGCGGAGGCGGTGGCTTGGTGCATGGTGCCTCGCCGCTACCGCCGCCGGGAGTACAAGGGCACGTGGGGCATCAGCCAGCACCGCAGGCGGGGGCGTTGAGGGGCGGCTGGGTTGGCGGCGACAGCAGCAGCATCGGCAAGGGAGCGGAGGCGCTGCGGAAGCTGCGGTCCTTTGGGGACATCGACCGGCAGTTTATTGGACTGGAGTCCTCGGGCGGCAGTTGGGACGAGCGCGGAGAGGAGGGCGCACTTCGTAGGGCTGCCGAGCAACAGCGGGCTGAAGCTCTGGCAGGCCCCAGCAGCGCGGACTTGCAGGATACCGGCGGACCTAGCGCAGCCACCAGCAGCAGAAGCAGTGGCAGAAGCAGCGGCAGCGGAGGAGATGCCGGTGCTGCCGACCGCGCGGCTCCTGCCTCTCCTCCTCGGGAGCCAAACGCAAACAACAAGGGCAGCAGCAGCGGCAGCAGCGGCAATGCCAGCGTACGAACGCTGTCGCCTGGAGCCCGCGGTGCCAGCAGCTCCCTGCAGACGCAGACCATCGGCATTCATGGTCATCACGATAACGCAGCTGCCGGAGCTTCAGGCGAAGCTGAGGCTGTGTCGCCTTCCTCTGCCCCCGCGTCTGTTACCCCTGCCGCCGCTGGCTTCGGCGGTGGCGGCGGCGGCTTCACTGTCCTGCGCGTCGAGAGCGTGCCTTCGCAAACGTACGGCGGCGTTCGTACTGCCGCTGTTCTGGCGGCGAATGGCAAGCTCACGCTGCTGGCAAGACCCACGGGTCCGTCACGCGAGCGTGTCCGCGCGGCGATCAAGCTGCTACACATGGCGCCGGATAGCCGAGAGTTTCGCAGTACTTACGCCGCTGCGGCAGAAGAGGCCTGCTACAACGACGAGCGAGTAGCCGCGGCCGATGCGGCAGCGGCGGCGGCAGTCGTCGCGGCGGCGGCCATGGCTGGTTCCATCGGCACTGCTGGCATGGAGTTGGAGGTGATGCACCGCTCTACGCCCGTGTCCTCCGTGGATGTAGACCAAGTGGTCCAGGAGCAGCCGGGGCTGGTGCTGGGGCAGGTGGGGGTTGGGGGGTTGGGAGGTGGGGTTGGGCTGGCTTGCGGTGGTTTTGAGGTGTGCGGGTTGGGTACCGGTAGGGTGAGGGGGGGCATACGGGTATGGATGCGCGGTTCGGGGTGCGCGGGGGACTGGAGGCCTGAGAAGGAATGGTTGTTGGAGTGCCGTAATGACGGGGTTCTCGGGCGTGGCCGTGGCCTGATGTGCTTTGGCGAATTGACGTTATGCCAATTCATGACTGGGGAGCACTACTTGCGGCTCTTATATGTATGTTACTTAACTTCCATACGGCATGAACGTCGCATCAATGCTCGAAGGTCCGGTCATTGCTTGGGTGTTACGGTGAGGGTGACGCTAACGGACACACGTAACTCCTGAACCCGTCCCTTTCCCCTTTCTGGCCACGCAGTCGGAGGTCGATCCCGCCACCTTTCCAGCTGGTGGGTTGAAAGGCGTTTTGGATTAGCTTTGGTTGGTGACTTAGGGTTGTTTGTGCAGGGTTATATTTGTGTACTGTATGCCTGAATCTACCTAACACAACACCTTACGCACGTGCTCAACTTCTGCTGTTGCCTTGCAGAACCGCTCTTCCCCGTGGAGTCTGATTGGCATGAGCGGCACCTCCCACACGATCCTCATGACCCACACGGAACATCAAGCATGATGGACGCGGAGGCCCGGATGCTTGCGCAGGAGCACGCCGTGCACGAGGATTACGACGAGGTGATGGGCCAAATCGAGGATGCTCAGCGCTCGGGATGGGCCGAAGATGCCGTTGTCCGGGCCTCGTATGACAGCGACGTATACTAGTTGTTTACTTCTTTATGTACACATAACTGACAGACGACATTTCGTGGACGACTTGCTTAGAATCCTGTAGCCCTGGGCTACTTGTGTAGGGCCGTCAAGGGCAGTTGCAGTTTGGCGCCATTTCGCATAATACGGCTGTTGTTTTTGCTGTTGCGTTGTTTTGTATATTATAGTCGCATGTACGTAAAATGGTAAGTAGCGTAGACGATACGGCATCGGCCATGAAGGTGTGTCGTGCATGTAGACATGGGACTGATAAATGACAGCCTTTCAAATTGTCACTTACATGAGACGGCTTTGTTGTGCACAATCAAAAGTTATATATAGCTGTTGGACAGCTTCAGAGCCGCGCTGTAAAGCTTTACAACAGTGCACACTTGCTCTCGCGCCACACCAAATTAAGATGACGAACAGGAAGGTCATTGCTTTGTTCGATGTCGACGGCACCCTGACAGCGCCTCGCAAGGTAGCATATTGGGTTTACAATGCAGTAGATGATCGGACGGACAATTTTCGATGGATGGCCTAACAGGCCAAGACTTGTCATATCGCAGACAGCGACGAAAGAGATGCTGGAGTTCATGCAAGAACTGCGAAAGGTATCCGGTTAGAACAGGTCATAATGCAGGCACGTGACCCATCATAATACTTTTGGTGTTGACTGCCCGTCTTGCAGAAAGTCAAAGTTGGCATCGTGGGTGGCTCGGACCTACACAAGATTGCAGAGCAGCTCGGAGAAGGGCGTAAGTAGGAGTGGCGGTTGCGTTTTTCACATGTTGCCCATCTTGTTCCTTGCCTCTCCCAAGCCAACGCCTCCGGCACCCTACACACAAGGAATTCGCACAGCACCCGGGTAGAACCTTGCTTTGTTCTATCCCTGACATTTGCTGACTGCTATCCACGATAGGCTTCGGCGATCACGTTGGTCCTGTGGTCTCCTACATGTGCCTCATGGCCCCATCTTGTTACCAGCCGTCTCGTTTTCAGTACGTGCGGCTTACCGTTGCTTACATCCCATCTGGGTCAGGCCATTAACCTCCTTTCATGGCTTCCTGACTCCACATTCGCCCGCTTGACCCCCGCAGTCCTCACCTCCTACGACTACGTCTTTGCCGAGAACGGCCTAGTGGCGCACAAGGACGGCGCCAAGCTTGCCATACAGAGCCTCAAGGCGTTCCTGGGGGAAGACAAGCTGAAGGTACGACAGTATGCCCTAGTTAGCAAACCTTCGTACGGCATCATCCCGACCTTCTTGCAGTGTTTTTTCTCTGGAGTGGAGGGCTCATAATCACTCTATATTCACTGTCCTATATATATGCCCACATCCTTCTTAGCCCGCCACGCGTCTCTCTCGTACAACTCCATCGACTTCTGCAGGAGTTCATCAACTTCTGCCTGCACTACATTGCCGACCTGGACATCCCCATCAAGCGCGGCACCTTCATCGAGTTCCGCAACGGCATGCTCAACGTGTCGCCCATCGGCCGCAACTGCAGTCAGGAGGAGCGGGACGAGTTTGAGAAGTATGACGAGAAGGCCGGCGTCAGGTGGGTGCGCACTTGCGTGTGTGGAAAGAACTGGCCGCGTGCGGCGGCGGCGAAGTGGAATAGGTGGCCCTGCAACCGGGTTGATGTGGTTTGAGGCAGGGTTGATGTGGGTCGGACGATGTGATGAGCCTAGCCATTTCCAAGCTGCCAGTTGCGGATCGCCTTACCTGTTCCAACCGCCGCTACTTTTCTTTACCTGCTACAGGAAGGCGTTTGTCGCCGCGCTGAAGGAGAAGTTTGCGCACCTGAACCTCACCTACAGCATTGGCGGCCAAATCAGCTTTGACGTCTTCCCCCAGGTGAGGCCTCTGTTTGCTGCCCTTTAAGCAGAAGAAGGGTGCCCGAGTCTGCACAATACCCTTTTTTGCACCCCTCTTGGGACGGGAGATAAGTGCAACGCAACCCGTGTTCCTCCTAGCTCCGTTGTGCACCATGTTTAACAAGCTGTATCTCGTACCCCCTACCTCGCACCCCTCAGGGCTGGGACAAGACGTACTGCCTGCAGTTCCTGGAGGAGTTTGACGAGATCCACTTCTTCGGGGACAAGACCTACCAGGTGGGACATAGCCTTGCATGTATGCCCTCCCGCTTTTCCATGCCGGTACTTATTCCACCAGTCCCATCAGACAAACATAGCATGCGGCATTCCAACCGCACAGCCCTGTGCGTTGCGCAGTGATGCCTAGATGTCGTCACTTAGTGGCCTGCGCATGTACCCACTACATGGATGTCTTCCTCTCAACGCTGCCCCACCTCCCATACCCCTATTGTTGCTGATCCCCAGGGCGGCAACGACTACGAGATCTTCACGAGCGACCGAACCGTGGGTCACACCGTCACCAGCCCCGACGACACCCGCAAGCAGTGCACCGAGATCTTCCTGACCGCCGCGTGAGGAGGGAGGAGAAGGCTGGCCCTTCGGCCTCGGAGGAGCGACGGTGGTACGAGTGCAGCATGAGTACGGCGGCAGTGGATGTTACATGACGTGCGTGGCGGAAGTGATGCACGCTTACTGCATGTAAGGGGTGCCATATCCTGCTGGTGCAGCATCAGCTGCTGATGCTGTCGCAGGTTGGGAGATGCGTGAGACAATTCATGGGCGTATGCTTTTGGCTTGGCAGTAAGGCAGCTGTCTGTTTTGCGTAGCATAAGAGGTAGTTAAACCCTTTAGAGGACTATGCCGGCACCGCGGAAGTGGTGTTTGTGAGGGCAGGATGAATGCGGTGCTTGGGTTATGGGCGTTGCGGGACGCCCGTTGTGTCATCATGGTCGCTGCATCTTTCCCTTAGGCAGGGCTATGCAGGCTGGCAGGCAATAGGCAGGGCAGTGAGCTGTTCCGTAACAAACATATTCACATTTTTTGCTTGAGCTGCATTTGACAGGATTGCGTCAGGCGGCTTGCATGGCCTGCTCCCTATTTATCCCTCCAACCTGTTAGGAGGGGACTCATGGCCCCGTATTTTATAGGCAAGGCGTGTTCACCACTCTTATGCATTCCATTATCTACAAGCCTAATTGCATCAGTAATTGCAGAAGGGGGGTTTACACCAGCAGGTACGGCACCGTATGTGTGCAGCACCAGTTCTGAGAGGTCGCACACAGAAAAAGTCTACAGCACATCATGCAGCACATGCAGGGGCTCCGGTACACACTGCCTGGCTGATACTATAACAGTCGCAGCAGCATACCCTACCGTAGCCATTTTGTAGCCAGAGAGAGGTTGCCTCAGGTTACCCGGTAGTTCAGCAACACGGTATGCAGAAACTTACGACAGAACAGGAGTATCATCATCATATCACGCTATCCGGTGAACCCTCCGATGCTTTCCTTTCCCCCTACCGTATGCCATGCATCTTCTCACATTTGCTACGGCCGACGACCAGCACCGTACAACCCCTTCTCATAAATGTACGACAACACTCCATTGGGCACAAGGTACCGTACCGGCCGCCCCGCCGCCAACTCCTGCCGTACTTTCGAAGAGCTGACCGTGTTGCCGACCTTGTCGTACACCACTACGATCCGGTCCCGGTTGTCGTACAGTACGTTGCCGGGCTTGTTCAGCAGGTCCTCCAGATCCGCGCCCTCCCGGTCAACGCACACGACTCCATGCTCCCGGAGGATGACGTCAGGGTCCCGCCACACCCCTGGGCTAGCCATTGACGCCAACACATCCCCTCCACACAGCAGCATGGCTCGGACACCTGACTCCTGCCCCCCTTGCTGCTGCCCATCTTGCTGCCCTGGCGCGTCTTGACGCGGCGAGTGTGCTGGCGCGGCTGCGGCTGGCGCCCCCGACGGACCCATGGGTCCTCCCTGCTGCCCCTGCTGCAGCCAATCTCGCAGCTCCGACTCTACCCGGCGTAACACCGCCAGGGTCCGAGTGTAGCCCGGCTGTCGGGCTTCCCAGTCGTACACCATGACCAGATCCGCTTCCGGATTGGATCTGGGCTTAAAGTTCAAAGTGCTGCCGTCATGACTGCCCTTTTCGCCCTCTGAAGCGGCAGCGGCGGCCGCCGCAGCAGCGGCGGCGACTGGCGACGTTTCGGATTCCGCCGCCGCCAGCCGACACATTGTAACTCGATCGGCGGCGGGTGCGAGACCTGACTTGCCGTATGCATCGGCTACGGGCGACAGATAGGCTCCCCAGACATCGTAGCCGCGCTGTCAAAGAGGATGAAAGAGCGGGATGGGCTGCATTCAAAACATCGTTCACTACAGAGAGAGAGCAGCGCTTGGGCGGCGGAGCCAGCTCTTATCGTGAATGCAGTGATTGCTTCAGGCTGTTCTCTCGCCCTCTGCTCCTCCGCCTCCTCTATAGCAATCTTCTCATTAGCTTCAAGTGCATCTCCTCACCCCCTCCCTCCCTCACCCGTTCCGTCCCTTCCTCACCCGCATCAGCTCCTCCGCTGCTAGATCCACCATGCGCAGATGCAGTACAGTGGGCGGGTTGAAGCTGCCACAGCTCACGAGAACCACGGGTCGGTGCGGCGCCGCTGAGCGCGCCTTGCAGCTGAGCTTGTAGGTGGGCAGGCTGTCAGCTGAGGTGGCGTGGGCTGAGGAGGAGGCGGCGGAGGGAGAAGAAGCTGGTGTAGAGGTGGGGGGGAGCGCAGAGGCGGCGAAGGATGACGAAGTGGCTGCCGCACCTGCGGTCAAGGCCAAGGAACGACAGGGCGACAGGCGGTTGGAGGCGGCTGGTTGGAGAAGATGACAAAGTAAGCAAGTAGAGCGGTTGGGGAGGGCCTCCATGCTGCAAAATGTGCTGAGCTCCCGCTTTTCCCAAAGCAGGCGTCGCAGGGCGATACTTGCTGCTGAGATCGCGCAGCGGTGGTTGGCGCGCAGCGGTTAACCCAACATGCAATACCTGATGCGGGTGGTGTGTGGCGTGAAAGACTTGGCTAGGGCCTTATAAAGCGTTCCTCTAAGGTGGGGCGTTTACAGCAACCCATGGCCCACATGAAGGGGAAAGTACCGGCCCTAACAAGGCGCGCCTGGCATTTGGGAGATGGCAGATGAGGAACCCTAGTCCTGGGCTAACCCGCAGCCACAGGCCCACTAGTGTCGAAGGCAACACGATGTCAAGAAGCGGGAACAAGTGGGAATCCACACACCGCCCACCAAAACGGTTCCCTTTCCTGGATAGGGGGCGAGCTCACCTGCAAGCGGTGGTGTCCGTGCGCTTTCTGCTTCAGCTCTGTTTGCTTCCGCGACAACGCCCTCGCTCCAGAGTGTCATAGACGCCGCGGTTGCGGCTGCAGCCGTGCCGGCAGCTGCAGCGGCGGCAGCAGCTCTCGACAGTCCACGACCGCGAGTATGAGCCATTAGGCATCGAAATGCCCCATTTACAAAATTCATTGTGTCCTAAACTTGCAGAGATAACTCAAGTGGAAAAGCGAAGGGAGCGTTCGTGAATTTCGCCCGGATGTTGTTCGAGAGTCAGTGGTCAGTAAGCCTTTTGGCAATATACCTTCGCGTAACTGCACCTAGGAAACCTTGCTTTGTCGTTGGTGCTTGTTGGTTTAAAGACAGGTTCTTGCTTGTAACAAACAGTTTCTGATGGCGAATGCGCTCGCGCCTCCTATCTTTACCTAAGGTTGGACGACGCGTTGTGCCTTAATACTGCTAGTAAAAACTGCCACTTAACTTCAGTTTAAGATTATGGTTCCATTGCGTGTCCCAGGGGTCGTACTACGCACGTGCAGGTGACGCCATGCGCTTCCATGCTTGCCCACACTCTCAGGCAGCCGTCAAACGCGAAACATCTTCCGGGTAAGCCGACTCGGGAAAGGTGCACCATTGTGCAGGGTGGTGTACACAAGAGGGGCTCTCAAAAAATATTTACAAGCCCAGGCGCGTTGGCAATCCAGATGCCACCGTGCATACTACCTCGCACGCCTGAGGCCTACTGACCCGGCTCGCTCCTTCAACGCCGGAAGCCATTCTCCACCGTACTTGACGTAACGTCACTGCTGAAGAACCCGTGTGTAACCTCCGTGTGTGTACGGTTATCATGGTCTTCACGTCCTAATGTACTAGCTACGACTAACCTGTCGCTATACAGGCACATTCCTAGCCGCCTAACCCCTAAGATCTGTACACTACAGTTGCTATACGGTGCGTGTGCTATATCCAAGCATTGACTAAGTCGCCTAATTAATCTAATCTATCCATAACTTCTTAGGTAAACAAACGCATGCTGAACACGTCACAGAGCTCTTGTCGGGACTAACCCCACCAGGTGAGGCCACCATACAGACGTGTGCCCAATCCCCACGTCCGAGAGGCCAACTCGCGAAGACTCACAAACCACAAACCGCAAAAGCCAACCAACATCCATGGATCACATTGCCGTTCACAGTCACGAAGCACCCCAGCTTCTATAGAAACAGCACGAGGAGGAGCAGAAATGCCGTACCACACGAGGGATGAAGCCATTGTCCCTACATGCTGGCATCACGTGACACCGCCGTGTTAGAGCGGGCCAACGCACAGCACCGGCACTGCAACAACAGTTCGCACGAGCCACCTTACACGACGAGCAAGCAGGCGTGCTAGATCGCTGCTCGACCTTTGACCCTCAGTCGGCACGCACTAGGATACAGACAGAGCAAAATTAGCTAAAATGCACGGGCTAACCATTTATACCGTACAAGCCGGGTACCTACTATACTTCTACCGTGCAGAAGACCCGGCTGCGAAACGTGCATAGTCATAACTAACTTAACGGGAGGTCGCATGTAGGAAAACACAAACACATGGATCACGACCTTCTTGAAGCGAGAAACTAAAGAAAAAGCAAGAACAAGAAGCAGAGGTGCCTCCTGCTCATTAGCCCAGTCCACAGGCGCAGTTACGGTATTCCGTGTCTGCAGAAGCAGCTGTGCATACACACACACACACACACACGTACGTAATACACGCACCCATCCGCACGCCTACCCTGCTCCCGTGCTTTGCACTCATACGCGCAAAGCGTAAAGCGTACGCCAAGGCCCCAGCCCGCACAGCACAAACCGCCGCTCAAATACATGATACATATCGTTCCAGAGGCAACCACAAGACTTATATACCCCTTATATACCCATCCCGCCCCGTCCACAACTCCAACAACCTTCCTCGCTTCCTTGCCGCCCATGCCATCATCACGCACGAAACCAAAGGCATGCATGCACTCCGCTTCCGCACTGCCCATCCTCTGCATGTTCCTACCAGCCAACACCGCCCACACTCGGTGGAAACAACCCGCCCATGTAGCATGCGCGCTCACATCCCGCCCAGGCACCTTCACATACACACACGCCGTCCCTGCATCAGAGGTCCCTACAAGAGCTACCTTTTGCCGAATCCCTACTTTCGAGCTTCTCCATGCTCGCAGCATACGCCTCCCTGCATGACAAGGCATTGCCCCACTCCCCACTCTCACGCTCGCACCTCCACCAACCAAACCTGCTGTCGTTTCTTTCCGAGCAACGAGCCATCACCTGCCAGACCCTCCGGCGCACCAAAGGCAGCTCAGTAGGCCGCCTCCACTACGGCCACGTGGCTTCTCCTTGACCTGCACCGCAGCACCACCTTCATGCTGCTTCTGCCCTGCCTGCAAACATGTCTTATTTGACAGTTTCATTGGTCCCTGTTCCGGGTGCTTCGACGGGTGGTGCTCCTGAGACGCCATCATGCTCTTCTCCGAGGGCTCTGATGAGGACAGGGGCTCGCCGACCATGCCCATGTGCGGCGTCGTTGTCGTGATGGTTGCTACTGCGGTGGCTGCTGCTGCTGCTTCCTCGGCGACGCCAACATGTACTCCTGCCGCCATAGAAAGCCCTGTGGCCGCTGCTGTTACTGTTGTTGCGTCGTTCCTGACTGTCGGGACGGTGGAGTCCACTGGAAACCCTGCCTTTGAGGTTGTTGCCGCTGTCGCATCCCCAGCAGAAGCAGGAGCAGCGGGGGCAGCTCCTGTTGTGCCGGTGGTGGTGGTTGTCGTGCAACCCCCCTCGCTGACAGCCTGTCTGCGGGGCGTCTGCGGCTCGGGACGCGAGCCACGCGGCGTCAACCGCAAAAAGAAATTAGGCTTCTTCTCTCCTGCGGCTGCGGCACCCGTAGCAGCAGTACCACTAGCCGCACTAGCAGACGTAGCGACAGCATCCTTGGATACAGCAGCATCGGCAGCATCCTTGCCATCACTGGCAGCGGGCCGTTCCTTGGCGTTTGCAGCTGTATCCGCGGCGGCGGCAGCGGCCTTGCTCTCGGCGGCGCAGCTTCGTACGACATCGCGACGGCGGTCCGCTGCGTCCTTCAGCAGCTGAGCAACAGCCTCATGACCCTTGCGGCGAGCCAAATCATATGCCGTACGACCTGCGAGGCCACGCGCAAAAGTCAACTCAGAAACAGTCGCGATGCATAGCGGTAGACGTAAATTCAGGCGGGGGAAATGTAGACATGTGAGGACTGTACAGTAATGCCACTGCCACACACCTGCGCCATCCCGCACGCCCACAAACGCGCCGTAATGCAGCAGCAATTGCACCACACCAAACGATCCCGCCTCCGCCGCATAATGCAGTGCCGTACGGCCACCCGAGGCGCCGCCTCCGCCGCTATCAAGGCTTCCTGTTGCGTCAGCGGCGCCGCTCGAGGCGGCCTCGCAAGCAGCGGCCGGGCTGCGGATACCGAGCAGCGGGTGTGATTGGTGGTGCCGGTGATGCGTGGGGCCCTCAGTCGCGTTCACGTCGGCGCCGTGCTCCTGCGCAGAAAGTGGTTTCATCGAGTTTGCTGAGTTGCTCATACACCGTGAGACGGGGCAGGGCAAATACCGGCCCCAGCGTCACATGTATCCGCTCCTAACCCTTGCCGTACACTTACCACAAGGTATGCCACTCGGGCTACATTGCCTTGCAGCGCAGCAGCCACCAGCGCTCGCACCCGGCAGGACGTCTGCAGCAGGCCCGGTGCCACAGCTGACGCAGAGGCCGGGGACGCAGACACCGGTGCCCCGGCGGCACCGCCGCCAGGTGCAGGACTGGTGCTTAGTGCCGTATCCCCCATTGACTTGAATCGTACGACAGCCGCCGTGAAGCTGTTTTCGCTGCCAATGGAGCTGCCGCGACGGTGGCGGCGGACCAATGTGGCGGCGACGGACCCCGCTGGCGGCGGCAAAGGCAGCGTCCTGCGGCCGATTGGAGAGGATGCACTGGCAGCGGAAGAGTCCATGCTAGCGGCTGCTGCCCTAGGGCTGGCGGAGGCAGCTGCGGCCGCCGCCACAGCGGCAGCTGTGGAAATCGTCGGCTGAGCCACCAGCATGTCGTGCAGTTGCCGTACTCCGTACTGAACAGCAAGCAGGAGTCGCTGATACTCGCATGGCGACATGACGTGCACCGGCACGGCCTCATCGAGCAGACGACGAATCGTGGTGGCCGCTGCCGTCGCCGCAGCCGAGGCATGCCGCCTGAATAGCCCGCCTCCAAAACCACCTCCGCCGCTGCCATTGCTGTTGCTGCCGTACGGCGCAAGGTCCGTAGCGCCGCCGCCGTTGCTCGTGGCGTGGCGCCCGATGCCCGGAAAGTACGTGGCATGGTTGGACAGGATGTGGAACGCCAGTGGCCCATCATGTTGCTCCGCTGCCGCAACCACCTCAGCGAAATGCTCATTAGCAATCACTGCAAAAGGCAGGCCCTTGTCCAAGCATTTGCGAACAGTTGACGCGGTGGCAGCCACTAACGAAGGCGAGGAGGGCAACCACGCTGGCTGCTGCTGTTGCTTGCATGCCCCTGGCCCTGGAGAGCCTGCAACGGAACCTGCGGCGGCTGCAAGCGCCGTCGTACGACCGTCCGAAGCCGTACGAGGTAGTAACGCAGACGCCACGACTGGTTGTTGGAGGCCCGGCAACGGTAACGGAACGTACGAAGGTGCAAGCGTCGAACGGTTGCAATCCGGGGCCGGAGCTAGGATCGGGACCGCATCAGCCGCGTCACCAGAGGAGGCTGCTGTAAGAGGCGGGTTGCTGCCTCCATTGCCGCCGGCGGCACCGCTACCGCGTTCGCTGGCGGAGGGGCCTCCTAGACTGCTAACAGTGCGCATGCTACTACCGGCACTGCTGATAACACCACTGTTGCCGCCAGCAAGCCCAGCGGTTGGGATCCCTGGAAGCGGCAGTAAGGTTCGCTTGGCCGCAGAGTCCATGGCCCTCTGGTAATCCGAGGTAAAACCGCCACCACCACCACCAACACCAACACCACCGCAGCCGGCGCCAGCACCGCAGCCGGGTTGACCCATATCGGAAATGTCAAAGCCACTGCAACTGGTGTGCTGGCGGCTACTAGGGCTGCGGATGACGCTGCCTTGGCTGTCGGACCGTACCACCATGTCATGTTCATCATCCTCTTGTACGGCATTAGCGTCCTGCTGCTGCCCCTTGTCCTCTTCCACCTCATCATCACCATGAACGCCAACCCTGTCATCCTCATCATCACCTGCGTTAGCATGTGCAAGGCGGCTGCTGCCAGCGTGGCTGTCCCCAGCGACAGCGCCGGAGGTGGAGCCGGCGCTCGAACGGTTCGGAGATACCCTTGTTGTGGTGAGGAGCCCGCCTGCTGGGGTGCAGCGCCCAATGCACACCATATCCCCTTCAGACAGCACGTCAGGCGCAGCAGACAGGTATCCTCCGGCCTCCCCGCCCTTCGTGTCGTCACAGCTGACGTTGGCAAGCTCCACAGGGGCGCCTCGGCGGTCGTTTCCACTGCCAACGCAACCAGACTTCGCCGCCGCCGGCAAGTCCTCCTGCAATAGCCATGAGACGTGACGTGACAATGTGCACAAACGCGAAACAAGGACATAATATCACCGACATGATAGTACCAAACATACAAATACATACAAAAAAATCAGCAGGTGCTGCGCAGGCCAAGTTGAGAACAAGTATGTCATCATAGGGCCGCCGTTGGTCATGCTAGGCACCATACCTGCAGCACCAGCAACCTCGCAGCACCGCCGCCGCCGCTCTTCCCACCAACACTGGACCAGCGCGACCGCGTCTGCTGCTGCAACGGCAGCTGCTGTTCCTGCCAAGAACTCTCGCTGGCCGCACGCAAACTGGATTGCGGCTCGCCAGAGGGCTGAAGCGAAAAGAGGCTGTCCGTGTGGGGAATGGAACCGCTGGCACCAACCAACGGGACGCCACATGCCAACGCAGCTGCTGTGCCGCCAACCTCACCGCTGCCGCCGCCAACTGCCGTTGCCGCGTCAGCAGCATCCCCGCCACCAGCACAAGCAGCGGCAGTGCAAGGACCGTCTACCCCTGCCTCAGAGGCAACCAAGGGCCCCAGTACCGGCTTTACGACAGTCGCGGTTGCTGGAGCCGCAGTAGCAACAACAGCAGCAGCACCACGATAGAGCGCATTGTTGCACGGCGATGCCGAGGCGGCTGGCGGCCTCATGCAATCAACGGCGTAGGACACAGCACCCTGGAAAGGCGACAGCGGCCTTGGCACGCCCTCGACGTCATCACCCTCGCCTTCGCAGCCGGCTTGTGAGGGTGAGGCACAGGGCGAAGAGGAGGGCGTCTGAGGTCCCGGCGGCGAGCGGAAGAAGTGCTGCAGGTCTACCAAGATGGGGGGCCTGCGCGGTTGTTGTTGCTGCTGCTGCTGTTGTTCCTTCACTTGCACCTCCTGCAGCCCCTGCTCCTCAGGTGACTGAGACTTGGTCAACGGCAGCTGAGGGTGCTGCTGTCCCGACTTCGCCGCCATCGCCGGTTTGTCCGCCGCTGCTACTGTTGCCGTAGCCGTTGACCCAGCGACCTCCGTCGCAGAACTTCTGTCTGGTTCAAAGCGGCTGTCAGCGTAGGTCGCATGACTTAAACGATGCGGCGACTTTATGCCCGACGGTTCGTGTTGCCCGCGGTGCTGGGCCGGAGCCCGTCTCCGGTTCCTCGGTCCCTCCATGCCTTGGCCTTCAACGTCCGCAGCCAGCAAGGGGACTGCTGGAGCCGCCTCGATTGCCGCCATCGGTACAGGTAGTTCCGCAGGACACTCGGGAGGCAGCTCTGCCGCTGCCGTTCTCGAAATGCTGGTGCTGGTGTTAGTCCCGCAGTCCTGGTGTACGACATCTCGTCCCGTGGGAAAGGAGGAGCAGCTGTCGTCTTGGGTGGGGAAGAGGCCACTGGCACGGGCGGAGTACCTACCGGGTGCTGCGGGGCAGCTGCTGCGACCGTCGCTTTCGAAGCACTCGCCGTCCACGTGATAGCGCATGCTGCTGCCGTTACCGGTTGTTTTCTGGAGCACTGCGTCGCGGATGGCAACGAACTGACGGTATAGGTCGTCGGGAGAGAGCGCCTGTGGTGAGAGGGTTGACGCGGATTAGCTGGGGAACTATCCGTCATGCATGATGGTAAGGACGGGGAAGGACCGTCAGTGCTAGGCTTACCCATGTCACCGCATATCACAGAAGCATGCGGTTGACATGGGTCGCAGACATACCGCGAACCTACGGGCCCTAGTTGATGTGATAACAACTAGGCACCTCCCTAGATCCTTGCCACTGCTTTCTCCCATATACCCTTTCATCCCTCGACCTTTGCCTCCCCAATCGCGCCCTACCTCCAAGCCACTGGCTGCGTGGTGGGTCGCCATCTGGGTCGGCCAGGCGCCCGCAGCCCAACTTGAGCGCCGCCGCCGTGCCTTTGGAATCGCCGCTAGACCGTCAGGAGGCATGCCGGAACCGTCAAGGGAATCTTCGCTTTCATTGGAGCCCTGACGCTGCTGCGGCTGAAGAGGCGGTACGGCAACAAACGAAGGTCCTTGTGTAGTTTTGCTGCAAGGAAAACCTGCGAACTGTGCTTCGTTCGAGGTTCCCGGCGCGCTGACTTGGCGCTGCTGTCGGACAGGCGCACCGCCATTGAGGCTTGCTTCCCGTGAATTCAAAGCGACCTGCTGACCTACGCCTCGGCTGCTGCTGCAACCAGCGGCTGATAATTCCATATTAAGGCTGGCTTCGGCAAGGCTGAGGCCTGACGTGTTATCTTCCGAGCGTCCTAGAGGTAGACGGTATGCAACATGCGGCATTCTGACCACCACTTCGCCGCGTTAGTGACAACAGCTCTATTAGCCTTCCTTCCAGTATAAAGGGCACAATATTGCCCTGCAAAGCCGAAGATGCTTGGTGAAGCCCAGTTTGGGGACTCGGGGAGGCGGGAGGACGTCGCCCGTTGCGCAAGAACCGCCCTTCTTATTAAGTTAAGACGGCGCCTGCCTTCACGACTATGAAGCCACAGCGCCGCTGCGCAAACGTTTGCCTGGAGGAAGTATGCGTCAAGTCGGCGAGTTGACCTTAACGCAGACAACAACAAGCCCAGCTAGGTTCTTGCATAAGGGCAACGCCAGCACACGCATAGGCCATTTCCATCAAGTTTACAAGGGCTGTCGTTCAGTTGCCAGTATTAGGCAGGATACCGCCATGCTGTAGCACCACCTCCTTGCCTGCCGCTGCGGTAGCAAGCCCTTACTGTAATGCCCTACCCGTAGTGCCGAAGGTGTAAGGAGTTAGCAGTTTTGTCGAAGTTGTCGCAGGAGGAGTATGAGATGAAGGTTGCAACAATTGAAAACAATCTTTCTTTCTACAGGCTTGTTTCAATGTCATTTATACGGTTATAGTCAAGCGTGTTTCACAGATAAAAATTGCAACTTAATCAGGAGAGCTGTCATGACCGTAGGTGGAAGAGTAAAGGGCTGCTCGTCCAGCCCTGCCGTACTGCGGCTTAATCGACAGCCAGCTGCTCAGCATCAGAAGCAAATTGGAGCTTGTAGCTAGGCGTAAGGGTTGATGCAGCTTACCGCGCTGCTGTCGGGTCCTGTGGCCATAGCAGCCAAATATCTTTCCTTGCACAAGGCCAGGCTGCCACCTTGTGCGCTGCTCAATTATAGCACACTGGCACCTTCTCGTACCCATGTAGTAATCTACGCCTTAGCTAGACGGTGGCTGCTTTCGGTAACAGCCCCGACTACCATGTTACCACGCGCGATGCAGCAAACAGTGCCCTCAAGCACCTCCCACACTCCCTCAACACACCAGCCCCCGTCCTCCTGGCCACCGTTGTGTCCCAACCACCGTCGCTGCACCTTGTACTGCGGCGGCTTCCGTGCCCATGGCACCGGGATGGCTTCCCTGTACGGCAGGACAATGTTGTCAACTTCCTCCACCGCCACCTCAGCCCTCCTTCTCCCCTTTACTACCTCCATAATTGCAAGCAACAGCCTTCAACGCCGTAATACCGTCAGAAGCCTAAGCAGTGACAGCACCAACAAACGTAGCGGCCATGGCCATGGAGCAGCGCTACATGAAGCAACCAGTGGAGGCTCGGGTACCCTTACACGCGCTGCCAGCGACGGCGATGGCAATAACAGCGTCGTAGCTATCAGTAGCAGCAGTACCCGCAGTAGCAGCGGCAGCAGCAGTGGTGGTGGCGGTGCTGCGGGCGGTGGTCTGCAGGGTGTGGACTACAGCACGCTGGCCGCTAGCTGCTGGGAGCTGAGGGAGGGCTGGGTGCCGGCCAAGGTGGAGCAGGTGGGGCATGGAGAGGGGAGGTGGGGGTGGAAAAGGAGAAGACAAGGAGAAGAGGGGAGGTGGGGGGAAAGAAGAAGACGAGCCAAGAAGAAGGGAGGTGGGGGTGGTGAAGGGACAGGCGGGCGGGGTGTGGGAGGCGGGGTGGGGAAGGAGGGGAGGTGGAGCAGGAAGACGGGAGGCATGGAGGGGAGGTGGGAAGAAGGGACATGGGCACCAACATCCCCAACTGCCGCTTTCTCCGCCCTCCTTCCTCCTTTTCCTGACCACATGACTGTCCCCTCCCCTCCCACGCCCACCCGGACGTCATGCCCCATGGCTCCTGCACTCGCTCTCCCGCTCCCCCTCCCTCCCTGACCCCCCCCTCCCCCAGGAGCTAGTCGTCTTGCTTGCATTCTCATTGGCTATTCTTTTTTCCTGCCGCCTCCTATCCCCACTGCTTTAACTTGTGGTTTCCTATGGTTTGGTATGGTCTATGACCCCCCTTGCTCTCCACCGCCTTACCAGGTGGTGATGCCCGACAAGACCAGCCTCTGCCTGCGCCTGCGCACCCCCTCCTCCTCCGGCTGGCTGCGGGTGTGCTGGCACCCGGTGGCAGGCAGGCTGGCCATGATGACCCACGGGTCGGTGCCGGAGCGCGGAAACGCCTCGGAGCTCTACAGCCTTGGAGAGCAGGTGGGGGGTCAAAGACCATACCATACCATAGGAAACCATTGGTTAGGGCGAAGCGATGGGTGGGGGAGGGAGGGGGCGATGCTGCATGTTGCACACACACCCGCAGCCACCAACCCGCTCTCCCCTTCCCCCTCCCTGCCGCACCCCCCTCCCCCCCAGGTCCACTCCGCGCTGGCTGGTCGCGTGCTGGTGGGCGTGTCGCTGCCAGCCGCCTGGGAGCGAGTGGCGGCGCTGCGGTTCGGGGAGCGGCCGGGGGAGCCGCCCTCGCACCACCTGTACTGCGAGGTGATGGCAAGGTGAGGGGGGGTGGGGTGAAATAGGGATACATTTTCCTCATTTGACTGGATTCTAGGATTGCGTATAGTCAAACTTGAGGGGGGGAAGGGGTCCAAAGCTTTATGGTCCGTAACCACAGGTTAGGGCAAAGCATTGGGAATAGAATGGTGCACCAGCACCTTCGCACCACCCCACACCCCCCCACCCCACCCCTTTGCTGCTTTTTATTTTCCTACCTACACCGGTATCCTACAGTCAGGGTCACAGCATGCCACGCGGCTCAGTTTTCCGGTATCTAACCCCCCACCCCTCTCATGGGGATAGTGTCTCCGAATGCGCTCACTGCATGCGTCAGGATATGGGATTGGGACTCGTTGCTTCACTTCGAAACATTGTCCACCCCTCTCATGGGGTCTGTGTGCACACCCACGCAGGTACAGCAACGTCATCCTGACGGACGCATCCGACACCGTGCTGGCGGCGGCTTACCAGGTGTGTGTGTGTGTGTGTGCGGGGGTCGGGGTGTGGGGTGGCCCCCTGGAGGCGTGGGGGCTAACAAGCGTGCATGCATGCATGGATGCTTCCTTTCCCTCCGTTCTCACACCCCACCTCCCCTCATCTTCCCCCTCTCACCCCTCCCGCCCGGTTTGCCCTAACCTGTGGTCATGGTATATCTCTCCCCCTCCCCCCTCCCCCCGCCCCCTGTCAGGTGGGTGGCATGATGTCCAGTCACCGGCAGGTGCAGGTGGGCCGCACCTACTGCCTGCCGCCGCAGCTGTTCGGGGTGCCGCCGGACCACTTCGCAGCAGCCATCTCCGCCCCTGCCTCTGACGTCACCGCCGCCTCCCCTGCCTCTGCAAACACCACTGCGTCTGCGGCCCCCAGCGGACACGGGGGCGATCATGGCGTCGTCATGGAGGCATGGCGGCAGACGCTGGTGCGTGCGGCGGCCCTGGCGGCGCAACAGCAGCAGCAGCAGCAGCAGCAGCGGCAAGCAGGCGAGGAGAAGCGCCGGCGGGCTGCGAAATCAGGGGGCAGCAGCAGCAGCAGCAAGAGCGGCAACGGCGACGGCAGCGGAGGGGCCAGTGATGCCCTTGCTGCTGCTGCTACGGATGCTGCTGTCACCGCCGCCCCAGTCTCCGCCGCCCCTGCAGTTGTCGCGGGGGAGGGTAGGCTGGTGGACGGCTTCATTCGCGCCTTCCACGGAGTCAGCCCCGCTCTGGTGGAGGAGCTCTGTCGTACCGCCTGCGCCTCCCTTGCCGCAACCGCTGCTACTACTAGCAGCAGCAGTAGTAGTAGTAGTAGTAGCGATTCTAGTCACGGCAGCAGCAGCAGCAGCAATACAGCGTCATCACACTCGCCGCAATCCTCTTCACCCTCCTCTTCCTCCTCCTCGCCACCCAGCATCTCCCCCGACTGCTGCCCAGCCTCCCTGGGCGAGGAGGCCTGGGCCGCGTTGTACGGGGCGTGGCTGGGGTGGCAGGCGCGGCTGAGGAGCGGCGGGTTCGAGGCCACGTCAGATCCGGACACTGGCAGGTGGGGGGGGGAGGCATGGGGTGTGGGGGCCGGGGGGGGGGGGAAGAAAGAGTACCCAAGCGGTGGGAGGGAGGCATGGGGTGTGTGACTGTGTGTGGGGGGTGGGGTGGGGTGGGGGCGGCTAACGGAGGTGCGTGGGGAACACTGGTTGGCAGGGATGAGGTGGTAGTGAATTCTGTTCGGCTCCCTCCCAGCCGCCACACTCTGCCATGCGTTCATCACCCCGACCAGCCCTGCCACCTCCTGCTCTCCGCCTGTCCCTCCTCCCATGGCGCAGACCATCACACGGTCAGCAAGTTGTTTCCTCCCCTCCCCCTCTCTGACCCCCTCCCAGGTACTCCGTGTTTGGCTCCCTCCCCCGCCGCCACGCCTCCGTGCACGCACTGCTTGAGGACTACTACGGGCCGCTGGCGGCGGCGGAGGCGCATGCGCAGCTGTACGGCAAGCTGGCGGCGGCGGTGGCTGCGGCGTTGAAGAAGGCACGAGGGAAGGTAGGCTGAGGATGCGGGTGACCCGTGGGTCGGAGGAGGGCATGGTCCTTATGTTCCGGTGTATCCTCTTGTCCTCCTCTCCGCGCCCCGCAATCAATCCATCCTCCTCCTGCCTCCTCTTCCTTCTTCTCATCCGCTTTCCTAACCCATGCGCCTTACTACGCCCCTCCTCCTCCCCTGCACCCCAGGTTGGTGCCTTCCAGCGGCAGCTCTCCGAGTCGGGGCGCTGCGAGGAGGTGCGGAGGCAGGCGGACCTCATCACCGCCAACCTGTACCGGTGAGGCGGAAAGGGAGGGGACGGGGAGGGAGGGGGAGAGGGAAGCTGTAGCTGGGTCTTAGGAGGAGGGACAGGCAACAGCCGGTAAGGGACTTCGCGTACGGCAAACGAGGGGGAGCAATAAGCGCCTTCCTGCTCCTCTTCCTACCCCCCTTCCCCTACTCTCATTTTCCCTACCTTGCTGCCCACTTCCATCCCTCCCCCTCCTCCCCTTCCCTCTCTTCCTCCCCTCTCTCTCCCCCTCTCGTTAGTTGCCTCGTCAGTTTCCTTACTTTTTCCCTCTCCTCCCCCCCCTCCCCTCCCCCCCCTTCCTGCCCCCGCCCCCTAGCATCCCCCCCGGCTCCCCCACCGCTGAGGTGGAGGACTGGGAGACCGGCCAGCCGCTCACCCTGCAGCTCGACCCCACCAAGCCGCCCGTGGCCACTGCGGAGGCGCTGTACCGCAAGTGGGGGGGGAGGAGGGGGGAGGGGAAGGGGGAAAATATAAAGATAAGGAGGGAAGGGGGGGGTATGAGTGTCGCGCCTTAAGGACGTTGCCAACATTTTTCAAACGAACAAACAGACAGACGAACGCACGGACGCACAAGCTTTCGAACGCCTGTCCTCCAACCACCGCCTCCATTTCGTTGCGGGGAGGGTTAGGGTTAGGGCAGGGAGGGTTGCGTTGCTGTGTATGCAACCTGCACTGCTTGCGGTGGACCAAGATGGGCACCAAGATTTGGTTGCTGTTCTTCATGCCAACTGCCGTACTGCCGTACAAATACGACACCAGTACGATACCCACACAGTTGAACCAACCCAACGACCAACAGGGCTCGCAAGTTGAAGCGCGCGGTGGATGCCGTACAGCCGCTGCTGGAGGAGGCGCAGGGGGAGGTGTCGTACTTGGAGGAGATTGAGGTAGGGCTGTACGGCATATAACAAACGTGTAATAGCATGACGGACAGCGTGCGCTGCTGTTTATAATACCCTTCTTGTGTTGATAGCGGTCTGTGCTATCGTTTCGAGGCAGGGTGCTTCTATGCAGGAGCGCTAGCGCAAACCCCACCCCACTAGCCTGCCGTACACCCCCACCTTCTGACCTTCTAGGACTCCCTGCAGTTGGGAAGTTTGGTGCTGGTGGTGCTGCATTCGCGCAATTCCTTTGGTTTACAGGAATATAATCCAAAGCCCGAGCAATACCAATCCTACCGTTTGGACTCTGGTTACGGGGTTAGTTAGGGAGGGCTGCTGACTGATGGCTGATGGCCGCTCCTCGCCGTCCTCCCCGTGTTTCTGCTCCCACTCCCTCTCAGGTGGGGCTGGCGGGTCTGAAGCGCTGGAGTGGGGACGCTGCCGACATGACCGCACTGCGGGAAATCCAGGTGGGGATGGGGGTGAGGGTTGGGGGGTGAGGGTGGGGGGCGGGCAACAGTACATCCTATCCCCTTTCCTTCGCCCTAACATGTGGCTTCCTATGGTATGGTATGCTATATGGTCTTTGACCCCCCTCCCTCCCTCCGTATGTGTGACACCGGCTCCCCCCCCCCCCGGCTCCCCCCCTGGCTCCCCCCCGGCTCCCCCCCGGCTCCCTCCCACCCCGCTTAGGATGAGCTGGTGTCCGGCAAGTACATGAAGCCCCCGCCGGACGCCGCACTGGCACACAAGACCGCCGCCCGCGCCTCCAAGGCGGCGGCCCGAGCGGCAGGGAAGAGCGCCAAGGGCGGCAAGGGGGGTGCAGGCGGTGCGGCTGGGGTGCTGGACAGCGCCTCCGCGTCCTCTGCTCGGCGGTTCACGAGCCCGGGGGGCTTCACGGTGTTGGTCGGGCGCAACAACAAGCAGAACGATGTGATCAGCTCGCAGGTAGGTCGGCGTGTGTGTGTGTTACGAAACTGGTAGACGTTTGTGGGGAGGTTTTTGGATTGGCACACCCACCCTTTCTACCGGTACGTCAACCCTCACTGTGGTTCAACCCCTCCCTCCATTCCAATCCAGGACCTTCCCCCCACCTAGCCGCTCCGCCCCCATTTCTAACCCAAAAACCCTCACCCTACCCAGCCCTACCTCCTCCTCCTGACCTCCGCTTCTTCAACCCGTACGGTCCTCCCCTGTCCCTCCCCTGTCCCTCCCCTGTCCCTCCCCTGTCCCTCCCCTGTCCCTCCCCTGTCCCTCCCCTGTCCCTCCCCTGTCCCTCCCCTGTCCCTCCCTTGTCCCTCCCCTGTCCCTCCCCTGTCCCTCCCCTGTCCCTCCCCTGTCCCTCCCCTGTCCCTCCCCTGTCCCTCCCCTGTCCCTCCCCTGTCCCTCCCTTGTTCCTCCACCTGCCCGCAGATCGCAGCCGACGATGACCTCTGGTTCCACGTGCGCGGCCTGCCGGGCTCCCACACCCTCCTCCGAGTCACCTCTGGCTCCTCCGCCTCCTCCTCCTCCTCCTCCTCCTCCTCCCGACCTCAAGCTGGGCCCTCAGAAGACGACATTCAGTTCGCTGCCGACCTAGCTGCGTTCTACAGCCGCGCGAAGGACAGCCTGAAAGTGGATGTGGTGATGACCCGTGGGTCGTGGGTGCGCAAACCGCGGGGTGCCAAGCCGGGAGCGGTGGCGGTGACGAAGGAGCTGAGGAATGTGGTAGGGCGGCCGGGGCGGAGTGTGGCTGCGGCAGAGGGGGCGGAGGAGGCGGGGAGAGAGACGGCGGGGGCGAAGGCGAGGGGTGCGGAAGGGGGGGAGGTGGAGGAGAAGAAGATGACGAAGGGCGCGGGAAAGGGTGCGGGGAAGCGTTGAGGGAGGAGATGTGTGGGTTAAGAAAACTGGCCGCGAGGCGAAACGTACTGTGATTGCCGAAAGATGAAGTCCTCCCACCGAAAACGCCACAGGTGAAGTGAAGTCCGTGAGATGTGTGTGTGGGGGGGGGGAAACTGGGTTGCAAGGGCTGAGAGGTGCATGATTTATGGTTATGTACGGATAATGGGCCTAAACGTTTATGGGATTTACATGGAGCAGGAGCGTGCCCATGCGTGCTGCGGCAGAGTGAGTGTTCCCGGTACGATGTGGGAAACCCCCCAGGGGCCTTTCCAGGTGTTGGGGCTCGCTGGGACGACATCGTCATGCTTCACACCGCACACAACAATCAATGTGTTATGCAGGTAGCAAATCCTAAAATGGATTGTACGACGGGGGCAAAGGTATACACTAGACGACATGAATGCGATTCAGGGTCACCTGTGCATAGGGCCCTATCTGTCTCACCGGTACAGCAACAGACCGGTACACAGCAGGTAAACATCAACAACAGCTGCTGCATCACGAAACGTTCCTACTCGCGACCAGTCTTACCACAAGTCAACCCCAGAGAGGCCCCGTGTTACTATTGCCAGCGTAAGCCGCGACAGTCCCGGTCGCTCATTACTTTCAATGTGCCCGAAGAAAAGAAACCCAAACAGCGCGCCATTTGAGGACAAACAAATATTGTCTCCATCCAGCGTTGCGAAAGCAGTTGCGCTAACAAGCAACTTTACTAGCAACGAGCATGCGCGCAAATGAAGAAGAGAGCAAAAGCCAACGCAACGGGCCATGACCAGCAAGGAACCGCAAAGCCAGCAAACGCCAGCGCGCTCGTTACGTAAGCACCACAGTCGACCAGCTGTTGCAGGTGTGTGTTGACAACGGGCAATGGCAGGTTACAGCGACATAAACCCCTGCAAAACCCCAGCCCAGCACGCCCCATCACCCCATCTGCCACCTCCTTCCTCACCCCTTTCCCTTGCTTCCTTACCCCAACACCCCTTCATGCCTCACCCGCTCGTCCTATCGCACAGCCCCGCAAACCCCAGCTTCCCCGCCCTCAGCTCCCCCACCGCCCGCATAAGCCCGAACGACCCCACACTCAGCGCCCCCGCAGCCATCACCCCCGCCAGCGCTAACACCACCAGGCTGGGCCGCCCGCTGTGCCGTACGGCACGAGCTACGGCATGCGTCCCCGCCAGGCCCGCCACCAGGCTGGCGCCGCCGAAGAAGCCGGCGTAGGGGGCGTTGAGGCGGTGCAGCAGTGCGAACTGGGTGAGTGCGGAGGAGGAGGAGAAGAGCACCATGGCGCCGCTGGTGGCGGCGGTGACCTGTATGACAGGGAGGAGCAGGAGGGAGGGGCAGGAGGGAGGGAGCGTTGGTGACAGCGGATCGTGGGGTGATTTAGCAGTGATCCGGCTGATCATGCGGCTGCTGCGGTAGTGGTTGCTTGTGGATGCCCAACCCGCCGCCGGTGTGGCCTCCTCAGCCTCAGCCCCCGGTCTCCAGTGAGAGCTCTCGTCGGGTTGCACAAGGTTTGCATGGACCCATGGCAACGGGCTCGGATTACCTCCCTCCCTTCCTCCCTGTTTCGCATACAGGTAGCATCACCAACCACTTCCCAGCACCGTACACAACCGTGACAGCCCCAGTCAAGTCAGCCTCCCCAGCGCTGCCCCCCTGCACCCCCGCACCTGAGGGTGCACCCCCAGATGCAGCATCAGCGGACCCATCACCATGCCGCCACCCAGCCCCAGCAAGCCGCCCACAATGCCCGCCAGGAATGTCGTACTCATGGTCGCCAGCGGCGCCCGCAGCACCAGCAACGCAGCCGCCTCAACCACCTCGTCCGCGGCACTGCCGACGGCAGCCGGCGGCGCCGACGGTGCGTCGCCGTTGGAAGCGCTACCGTTGGCATCAGTTGCAGATTTGCGTCCAAGGCATTGAGCGTTAGAAATAGGGATCGTGGTGTCGTCTTCCGCCACCGGTGCCTTATCGACAACACCGTCGTCATTGCCGCCGCCGTTTGCAGCGCCCTTGGCGCGCTGTTCCGCCGCCGCCAGCGCCACTGCCACGACGCTGATGCCCAGCATGGCCGCGATCTGTACGACAAATAGGGCCCACCATGCCGTACTGCACCGCGGATGAGATCCCCGCAGGATCTGAAGCATCAGGTACAGGGCCCATGAAGCCAGCAATGCAGCGGCGTAACGCCTCGGAATGCGACGGAACGACACTGCAGTACGATGAGCCCAGGCGCGCAGCCCAGACGCTGCGCCGTCAGTGCCCGGGGCGGCTGCGCCGCCGACACCGTATCCGTACGGCTGGGGCCCAATGTCGAGAGTGGTGTGGGGAGCCGGTGACGGCGACGGCGACTGCGGCACCGCTGCCTCGCGCGGCTCAGTCGGCGGAGTGTCGGTGTCACGAGGTGGCGGCGTCGGCGTCAGCAGCGGCGGCGGCCGAGAACACCGTCGCGGCGTTAGGATGGCGGACGCCTCGCTCGAGGGTATCTTGTCGTCGCCGCCGCCAAGTGTGCCGTACAAGCCGCCGCCGCCCGCGGCACCGCCGCCACCTCCTAGCTGGGTTGCGCCATCGGGCCCTGCCGGCGCCTCCCCGCTTCCCGCCTGCATCGCCGCTGCCGCCTCCGCCGCTGCCGCAGCTGCTGCCGCCGCTGCCTTGAACTTATCCGCTGCTATTGCCTGTGTTAGTGAGGAGGCCTTGGGAGAAGGCGGCACCGCAGCGCTTGCGGATGCCTGGAAGGGAGACGGCCGCGTCGTCGTCGGCTGCGGCAACGGTGGCGGAGCATGGTACGACGAGCCGCGACGCACCGCCGCTGACGTCCTGGCGGCGTCAGCTTCATCCCCCTCCTCCAAAAGCGTTGTCAGCGGCGGCGGCGGCAGATACGTCTCCTCCGCCCCTCCGCTGACCATGCCGCTTGCCAAACCCGTGCCACCACTACCGGCAGCCGCCAAAGCCCCCGCGCCGCCGCCGCCGCCGCCGCCGACGACGACGACGTCAGCACCGATGCCGTACTGAGCAAGTGGGTCCGGCACCGCACCCGACTCATCATGCCCTGCATGTCCATCTTGTGACCCCAGCAGAGGTCGCTCAAGATCCGGATCATCCGGATTTGGTGTACCGGGTCGTACGAACGACAACCTCCGGGCAGCCGCGCGCGGCAGCGGCGGTTGCGGCGGCGGCGGCTCAGCCAGCGATGACGACGGCGGCGGCGCAGGTGGAGCCGACGGCGGCGCCAACACCGCCGTCCAACGGCGGCTGGGCAGTGGCGGCCGACCTTGCGCCGACGCCGTACTGCTCCCGTCGACGGGAGCGGTTGTCGTACGATGAGGCAGCGCCGTAGGGGGAAAGCGCCGCCGCCACTTGGATCTGCGTTCGATCCAACTATCCCCCGGCGCGCCCGCTGCAGCGCCGCCGGGCCCCACTCCCGCAGCCCCGTCATACGACGGCCGCCGACCCATGGGTCGGTCACCCGTCGCTGCGAGGCCTGCGGACGTTGACAGCCGCTGCTGATTCCATCCCTGCCAGAAGCCAGTGGTGGTTCTGGAGGCGGTGGTGGGGGATCCGGCGGCGAAGGGAGATAGCGTACGGGAGTGCCGTCGGCTGGTGGGACTGTGCAGCTGCAGAGCCTGCTCCTCTTCATCTTCCGCGGCTGTGGATTGGAAGTCGATGACACCCTACAACGGTAAGCAACGACCAGGAAGGGCAGCAGCATGTGCTTAGAAACATAGCCCCGAGGAGGGACGTACGGGTACTGCGATTGCCGGCGGTGATTGCTGGCACGTGTGGCAGCGATGGGAATGTGCAGTGGCGAGGCCAGTCCCAACCTGGAGTTAGATCCCCAGCTGCACATTGCCGTTGTTGCTACACGTGATGGCATACACTGCGGTGCCCGCAGCATCGTCTTCCTCTAGTGCCCTAGAGTATACAACTGTACAAACGTCGGAACTTTCCAGCCATCTACCAGCTCATTGAAAGGCTAGGAACAGCGTGTACCAAAGCTACGTCTGTGAATACTGTACGGAATGTACGACGTGTCGCTCATTAATTAGGGATGTCGTACATGCTAGTACGGCAGCACCTACCAGCTCATTGAAGGCTCGCCAGGACGACATGTGCGACATCGACGGCGGCGGCCGAGGAGGCGACGCAGGGAGCTGCTGTTGCTGGTGCTGCGGGGCGGCGGCGGACGCCGTCGGCGCTGACGGCGCCGTCGGCAAATAGTCGCCGCCGCCGCCGCCGGGGACGGCGATCGGCAGGCTGACGGTGGTGCCCCGGGGAACCCTTCGGCCGGCGGCGGCGGGGGAAGTGGCGGCGGGGGCGGCTTCAGCGGTGACCACAGCGGCGGCCGGCGGCGGCAGGCCTTCCATGCATTCCCATGACGCCTCGTCACGAAACCACTGCCGCGGCGTCGCCGCCGCCGCCGCTTGCGGCGTCGTACCGTGATCACCGGCACTGCCGTACGGCGCCATACCGGTTGTGCCGTACAACCCCTCTAGCGACCCCAGTGACACGGCTTCCTCCGGTCGCAGGCCTAGTCGCGGCCGCTGACTGCTGAGGTCCTGCAACGGCAGCGTCGCCTCCCGGCTTTCGCCACTGACGCCGCCGCCACTGATTCGCGCTGAGGCCGCCGCGACCCCCGGTATCCGCCGCCACCTAGGCGACGTCAGGTGATGCGCCGGGTGCGCCGAGTCGCGGTGTCTGTCCCCCCCGAAGAGTAAGCCCACGCCCTCGCGTCCGCCGCCGCCGCCGTCGCCGCTGCCGAGAGCGCCGTCGCTGCCTGCGCTGCCACCGGCGCCCTCGAGCAGCCCCGCTTCCGTGTCAAGCGGACCACTCGCCGCTAACGTGATCGCCTCTGCCGCCGCCTCCGCTGCTGCCGCCTCGCTCTTACGCTGGGACTCTATTCGCCAGAGGGCTAGACCCTGCAATGGAGGGAAGAAGGAAAAGCAGTTAGGACAGGGGGCGCGGAGGGTTGCGCACCGTTAGGACGGATACGTTCGTTGTACCGTATTCCAGCGACCCCTCCCAACCCTGGAAAGGCCCCTGTAAGGCGATTCCTGCCCCTGTCCACCCCGCGTCCCCAGCGCCCCCCGCCCCCGGGTGAGAGGCAGCCGCCCGGCGGCCGTACCTTCCCCGCCGCCTGCGCCGTCAGCAGCAGCAGCAGGAACAGCAGCAGCATGGTGAGCAGCCAGGAGGGAAGCATCACGTTGAGCAGCACGCCTGGGGGCGGGGGGGATTACATACCGGTAATAAATGCAAACAACTAGAGTCCCCATCCCAGAGCCCGACTCATGCAGTGATTCGGAGGGGGGGCGAGGTGCCGTGAGGGCGGCGGCGCCAAAGACCATACTGAACCATAGGAAAACTCAGGTTAGGGCAAAGCAATGGGGATAGGAGACGGCAGAGGAGGAGTAGGTGTGCCGTAAGAAAAGGAGTAGGTGGAGGGCTAAAAGGGGTATATCGGTTCGCAGGGCCATGTGGGGCCACAAGCACTAGAGACGGGTAGCAATGCGTTGAGGGGCCGGGCAGGAGTGATCAGGGAATGGAGGTGAAGAGGAAGCAAGGGAATGGAGGTGGGGATGGATATCAGGGCCGGAGGCGAGGGAGCACGACACACGGGGAGCCTTCTTCCCCTCTGCTAGGACTTACTACGCCCCCTAAGCCCCGGGGCCCCGCACTCACCCATTCCCACCCCCACCAGCAGCACCGGTGTGAGCATCACCATGAGCCCAAAGTCCACCAGCGGCATCCCTGGAGCAGCCGGATGCTGGCGGGGCAGGTTGGCGACCAGGGCCGCGAGGGAGCCGGCGGTGATGCATGCTTGGGAGAGCGCGGTGCTGGGCTTGAGGGCTGTGTACGGCAGGAATGGGAGAGGGGAGGTATCGCAACGTTGGGAAAGTGAAGGTAAGAATATCTGGGGTATATGGAATTAAAGGTCGAGGCAAACAGCTATTGTTTAGGCAGGGGCGAGGTACGCGCCATTAGGAATGTTGCAATTGAGCTTTGTTTGGTAAGCTTCAGGGTTTGCAGCACGGGATATAAACTCAATAGCTTTAAACAAAGTGTACGTAATCGCGTAACCTGCACGTAAGCCGCGAGTAACTCCATTTGCAACATCACAGACGCTTTAGCAACTCTCATAAACCGGTGCATACAGGACATGTCGACAATTGTGTTTTCCGAGTCAGGCGCTATACCCTGACCGTAGATACCGGTATGTGAACAGTTAAGGATGCTGACAGAGATGCCTCGGAAGGTATGGCCACGTCAGAGATTTCTTACCGAATCCTACGAGTGCGTTGAATAAGGGGATATAGATAGCGCCTCCTCCCACTCCCGCGGCTGTCGCCACTGCACCAACCTAATGCATAGGCGATGAAAGGGCTCACGTTTCGCTGCAAGTGTGCAATGCCTCATTGCCAAAGAGCCGCCATAGATCTGTAAAGCAAACCTACCAGGACGGCGATAATAAGTGCTAGGATTGTGCGGAAGTCAGCATGGAATGGCGAATCGGCGTCTAGCTGCCCCCCTGCCATTTTTACCAAACGGGCAACCCTAACGGCTAACAAACAATGATGTAGCTATTGTGTACAGTAGCTCAAGATTTTACTCTGGGCGGCGGCAGGCCGAGCAGGCCAATAAGGCCGTTAGTCAACCGCCAACCTTGCTTCGCTCCTTCGCAAGCTGCGTCACCCGAACAGCAGCAGTACGGCCTAGCCGCTGTCGAGGAATGTGCCCTTTTCCCTTACTTTAATCCTGTTTTCCTGTATTCGTGCGGTCCATGAGCCTCCTGGCTCGTCTGGGCCTTACGAGCCATAGAACTTGTAACAACTCACTTTTTCCCCTTTTAGTAAAATCCTATCTGCTGAGATCCTAGAGAGGTTCCCAAACAGTGTCACAATCTACAACCCTGAAGTCCTGAAACCATACGAGCATGCCCCGCAAGTGCCTCGCTGCTTTACCATTGAACATTGTTTTCATTGTTTAAGGTGGAACCCTGACGTTACTTACACTACGCTGTAGTTTAGGCAGACGGCAGTTGGCCTATACTATTTGTCTAAAGAGCGAAAGAATCGGCAGCATGTGCTGTGAGAGGCACTCCATTGCTAGGCCTTGCTCCTAGACCGACAGAATCCCAACACGCGCAGGTCCATGTAGCACAGGGACCCCGCAACACACCGCCCAATACACCTGCCAAAGCCATCTCTAGCCACCAGCCTCAACTTACCAAAGCGAGCCGCATACACATACATGCTCATAGATAGATGCGTGTAGATAGATGCAGGTACGAATCATTTCCCCCCAGCGAACCCTGACCATAATCACATTCACATGATGCACTTTGGCACTCATACGTAAACCAGTCACGTGCACCTAAGTACCGGGCCTGCTGCGTGCAATCCAGCCCTCCGCTAGCCAATGTTGAGCTGATTCCGCAGCCAGCCAGCCTATACGCACGCACACGCCACGCTTGCGAGTTCACACCCACGTCATTGCACGCAGCAGCAAGCTTGCAATTGCAAACTGAAGGCCCATCCTGAGGCACACAGAGGCGGCACCCAGGACATTCGAAGCAGCACTGCTACCGGACGGGGGCGGCGGCGCGGACTTGGGTGGGGGCGGCGACACGGGCTTGGGCGGGGGCGGTGATGCGACCGGCGCCGGGGAGGGCTGGGGGACCGCAGCACCGCTAATGGCAATCAAGGTAGAAGCGTATGTATTGGGACACATGATGGTGCAGTTCTTGCAGTGGGTAGGCGAGGTGCTGTTGGCAGGGATGAAGTTCTGGGGCCACACGAGGGAGGTGTAGGGGTCGGCGCAAACAACCTCCGACTTATTGCAGCTGGCATCTCCCGGTTGCAGCTTGGTCATGTTCATGCAGCTCATCCAGCAGTAGACCTGGTCGGCACCGCAGGAGCTCTCGTCAACCAGCACACGGCGTGTGGGCGAGCAGCCAACCGTGGAGACCTCATGGCCCCGCTCCTCGTGGAACAGCTCGTACGTGTGCTGGCGGTACTCGGCAAAGGTCATGCGCCGAGAGGAAGAGGCGAGGGCGTCCCGGCTGCCGTCCAGGACTTGCAGGCGGGCGGCGTGAGGCGGCATGAACATGCGGCCGAACCAGGCCCGCACTCCACCACCCATATCGCTGGACAGCACCTCATGCATGGGACTGTACGGCTGCGGCCGGTCCGATGACGGCGGGCGCATCCAGCGTGTAAGGCCCTCGCCGTTCATCACCAGCAGCGCCCCATCAGGCAACACCGGCTCCACAACGCGCCCGTCTGGCAGCTGTACGACAAGGTCGTGGGAGTAGCGGCGGGGGGATGATGGCGAGGCAGAGGCAGCGGCGGCGGCGGCCACACGCTCGAAGAGCTCGGCGGGGCTCATGACCAGGAAGAGGCCGATGTCGGAGTGCATGGCAAGAGTGTGCTCGGCCGTGGGTGCCGCGGCTGGCTCGAATAGATGGAAATGTTCAAGGCTTTCGGCGTAGCGAACTGCATCCGTAAAGCACTGGGCAGGCGTGGCGCATGCTGCGTCGCCGTAGAGCAGCTTGTCCAGCAGGGCCGCGTATGCGCTGCCAGTTGCTGCGACCACAGCACGCAGCTGGTTGGCAGCGACGGCGAAGTCGGGGCAGTGCTGCACGGCGTCCGCTGGCAGCGGCTGTGGGACGCTGGCGTTGGTGGCGGCGGCGATGGTGTTGCGCTTTGCGCCGTCATCCATGGTTACCTGCAGGGGTGCAAGGATTGAGGACATGTCAGTTGACGTGTTGGGGACGTTGGGGGATTGACAGCTCCAGCATCTACAGTCAAAAGTGTTCACATGCAGCATGCAACATGTCGCTGAATTTTGGTGGTGCGGTCCTGGATGCTGCGACGAGGCAAAGCGGAGCATGCTTCAACATTACTCCTGCCAGATTGTCCGGCTCGCAGTGCTTGGAGTGAGAATGTTTGTTCTCTCAGCAGGAGATATGACGATGACTTGACAAACTCAAGAACTTGCCTGTCGAAGGTCGATATCACCCCTCAAGGCGCACGAGACGAAGGTAGACAGCGCATCGTGAGCCACGTTGGGAGCATCGAAGCCTGTGACCGCAAACATGCCGAGGCTGGACACAGCGTCGCCAACACTTTGCAACGTAGCCGCATTGGGTGCCTACAGCCAATGCAAACAGACAAGCAGGAGGGTTACAACATGTATTTAGGTGCTGAGAGATAAAATGTCTGCCTGTCCGACACAATAAAATGGGTGGAAGTTTATTGGCCCATGCCACTGTGACGGGCGACCCTTAAACACGAGAAAGATTCTCTATCAATGTGATTTGCATCAGGTTAGAAGCGGATGGTGGGAAATCGGCGAAAAGATGGCCGGTACACTATACGTTTTCCTGACCGTCGGGTCCGATAGCCAACCGTTCAGGGCCGCATTTTCATCAGCATCACCACACTATGCTTACGCTGCTGTAGAACTTCCACCATACAAGCCCGCAGAACCTCCCGTAGACAGGCTGGGTCAATCAACTTAACGGATCGCTGTGCAGGCGTCCTAGGAACTCAGATCTAAGCAATTGGGATACTTCGAATGCCTTAACGATAATCGCCCAGCGTAAGGTATCCTGTCGCCCGCTGCCGGTTACCCCGCTACCCTGTAATTGCTGCCGTCCTATAGTAGCATACCTTGAGGCTGGAGAGTGTAAACGCAGGCAGTTGTAGCGGAGAGTACGCGACAGCGGGAGAGAGCCAGCTCGTCGCCACCGCGACGACGAGTAGGCCCAGCATGAGCCGCGCCATTGCGCTGCGTGCTAGACTTGTCAGTTAATAACAAATGCCAGGACTATTGTTAGTGTCACACGACTTGCTGGCGCAGGAAAAAGAAGGAGGAGTAGAAGGCCGTACTTTACGTAAAGCGGTTATATTGCCTAATCGTTTTCCTAATTGGCCGGACATGTGAAGTTGCAGGTACAATTACCGGTACTATGCAAGTTGTGTATGTGGAATGTACCAGGGATAGACCGGGGGACGTAAACTCTGAGTTCCTTGGCCGGCTGCTTTCCCGTTCCCACTAGCGCATCCTGGGTCTTAGGACGGCAGTCTAGGTACAGAAGGAAAACACCTAGGGAAGTAAACGTTCCTATGTTTCTTTTTGCCCATGCCTGTGCTATTGGTGCTGCTTCCGTTTCAATTTCACAAAGACTTTGCAGGGATCCAATGGCCCCTATGTGACTCTTATCTCCACCGGTAAGCTATTCATACATTTGTGGCAAGGATTTAAGCGTGCGGGACGCCTTTGCTACGCACATTCTATGCATCGCTAAGGGGGATTGGGAACAACGTCATGCAAACGTGTACAAATGGATACAGGAAGATTACTTGTTTCAATTAAACAATGTCTTAGTTGCTAGCTCAGCTGGGCAACCGGCTAGCCGGTGCAGACCGGGCATGCTGAACATCAATGGCGTATAAAGGCACAACCTTACATCCCTAGGTTGTGATCGCATCTAATGGTCACTAAGCCACCTTTCCTAGGGTTGTTCCAAACTAGCGTTGTCCCAAAGATGTTAAGTTCCCACCGCACAACATCGAACCGAGTATCCTGCCGTATCCCGGTCAAATTGTCAATTTACAATCTAATAGTTTTTGGGTGGAGTCCCCGCCGCGACACGGCTTGGATCGGGCGGTGGATAGACAGACGGACGGATAAAAGCTACTGCTTTGTAGACGACACCTGCAGCCAGGGGCGCTTTGCCGCCCATGCCGTCAATCCTTCGTCGTACTCTGTGAGCGCTTCCAGCCTCTCCCAGGCGCAGGACCGCGCGTCGTCATCTATCTATGCACACTCGGCGTCACTGTCCAACACGTTTCCTTCGACCCATGGGTCGCGACATGGGCCTCTCAATACCTCCCAAGCTCGGCAACCGCGGCTAAAGAAAACTGGAGCAAGCCGAGCGCGGATCCGCGCGTCCCTGTGTAATCGCCCGAACGCCCTGGCTGCTCGCCCTGACACGCATGTTTGCTTACCATCCGAAGTTCTTACAGGTTGGGACAGCTAAAACGCTGCGCAGAGTACGACATCCCGCAGCTCCAGCAGCGCCGTCAGTTCCCACATGTACGGACAGCGGCCCAGCAATCCAGACAACGCGCGCGTGTCTGATGCGACCTTTTGGCATACAGAAAGGTTCAACGATTGCAACATGAACTCCTATTGGGAGGTAGGGGCTGTCCTTCTGGCAGCAGCTAATCGCCCCGCACCCTGACAGGTCAAGATGCTACAGGCAGTCCGCAAAACCTCCTCTGCCGTACTGTCCACTGCAGAGTAGCTGGGTTTGGCTCTGACGTCCCACTTGGCACAACTGTGTCCATGTATCCATGCGCCGTGCGGCTGCTACAGGGAGAGAAAGGAAAAACTCTTGGCAAGTTGGAAGGCATATGTTTGTGGTTGGGTGAAAGCTTCTCGAAGTACAGATTACTTGTTATTGGGTGCCGAGGTCGCGCAGTGCGCAGATCCTCAGCCTTTCAAAAATTAAGCCCTGCCGGACACCCGAAGGGCCGACCACGGAAGGCCCTCGCGGAGTGCAAGGCGAAGTCCAACCGTGTAACCGAGGCCAACTTGACCACCTCGAGAAACGGGCCAGGTAAGTATGACTATCCTTGAAAGGATTCATAGAGTAATCCTACGTTCTTCACGCAACCCTGGTCAAAGGGGCGATGGTGGGTCGGGTCTGGCAGTTTGGCGTCTATGGTCAGCTTACGCTAGGAGTTCGCTCCGTTGGTGGCGGCGATGGTGTTCACAAGGGCGGCTGGTGCGGTGGTTCCGCCGAGGGATGGCGCGGTGTAAAGTGTTGCAGTGGCGAAGGAAGGTCTGCGAAACGCTTGAGCTCGGCCTGGCCGAGAACGGACGAGCTTTCATGGATGAGCTGTTGTCACGGATACGTTGGGGGGCCAATCACCGTATAACCATGTCGCTACCCATTCCTCCAGAGGATATTGGCGCTGAGACCTGTCAAACTTTACGCAGTTTACATTTTAAGGCGCCCTGCAGCGGTGTGTGGGAAACACCTGACTTGCATCCTTTGAGCGACCCGTGGGTCACATGGAGGTAAATCATGATGATGAGGAAGGGGTTGGAAATGTCTCGGCTGACGTTTGGGATGCCTTCAGTGATGTGGCATGGGACCTCGTCCTAAACCACCTTTCTTGGAAGGACGTCGGCCATGCGAGGTAAGCGAGGACTTGAGCAACCGGCGGCTGCCTGTCGTGCCTGTGGGAACATGCCGAGCATGTGTGGGAGTTGCCCTCATCGCACTCCCAACATTTGATTTGGCCCCTTGCCTAAAGCCAACGGGTACCCAAGCTCAACACACTTACGTGCACGCCACCTCCCTCCTGCCCTTTGGCTCACATGTTGCAAACCATGATGATGCCTTATCACACGGTCAGTTAGATGTTTCCTCTTTATCCCTCCTGCCCTTTGTCACTTCTGAGGCCCAATTAGAATTAAATGGATTTGTTGGAATACAGGTAACACGCGCAAGAACTCAGTGTCCCGTGCCGTACTCCCAACGTTCACATTTGCAATCATGCGCACATACACAGAGCCACATGCCGTACCTGGCGCCGTGACGTGGACCGCTGCCTGCGCCGCCTGCACCTCCGTGACCCCACACCCCACCGCATGGCCCACCTGCTGGGCCGCCGCTTCGTACGACTGTCCGTACTCAAGATCACCGCTGTACGACACCAAGCAGTGTACGACACCGTCCTCCACGATAACGGCCACGACCCAGATCGCCAGGGGACCCTCACCCAGGATCTGACTACAGCCCTTGCAGCAGCCGAAGGGGAGGAGGCCCAGGCAGCGGCAGCAGGCAGCGGTATGTTGTCATCTGCCGGCTGCCTGGGCCGGCCCCGGTGTCTGCGGCTGAGCAGCAAGGTGCCGGGGGGCGCCCCGCTGGCGGTGGGGCGGTTGCAGCTGCTGGCGAGTGCCGGGGCGATGCTGACGTGCTTGCGCTTGCGGGCATGCGAGGTGCAGGCATGGAGCGGGCTTCGGGTAGGGCTGGGAGGCAGGGCTGCTGGACCGCCGAAAGGTTGGGACGTGGGGACGTTGGGTTGGGGATCAGCGGCTAGCACTGGGGAGCCTGGTCGTGTGCGTGCTTTTACCTGTGCTTCGCACCTCCTCTTTACGCGCATATAAGGCGTTGTTGCAGCCCATCTCGCTTCTCTCCACCCTCCCGACCCTCCCTCCAGGACTGTCCCCTGCTGACCCAACTGCAAGTCATACACTGCGGCTTCTCACTCGAAGCCGCCAGCAGCTTTCCAACCGACCTGGCCGCCCTGCCCCGCCTCGCATCCCTGGAACTGAGGTGCAGAGCAGCCGGCACCGCCGCTGCCACCTCCGTCGCAGCCGTTACACTACCATCCGTTGTCCCAACCGCCAACCGTCACAAGGCCTGCTCAGCCCGCTCCGTTGACCACCCACATGACAACAGCAAGTACCAACAGCCAACGCAGCGTCGTCACCAAGAGGAGCAACACGGCCAGCAGGACCAACCACAGCATCACAGCCAGCCATGTGGCCGGCATGTGCTTCACTTAGACGGACTGGGCGCTGCCGTACCGCGTCTAACAGCATTGCGGTTGGCGGCGCCCCTGAGCGCAGCGGAGCTGGGGCGGCTGCTGCTAGTGGAGCTGCCGTTGCTGGGCGAGGTGAGCGAGGTGGAGGACGTGGGAGCGAGGAGGATGCGAAATGTAGTTTAGGTCTAGTGACCCCTTGGTCAGTTCATTTAACGCTTAGATATGCAGAAGGGAAATACACCAACGCGAAAGGAACACTCAGGTCTTCCATTGCAATCATCCGGCGGTACTTACCACTTTCCTAGCTGTCTACATTTCTTGTTTCACTCCACCGTACCGGTACTTTCCTTTTGCCGTACTAATCCGCTGCATCCCCTTGCATTATTGCCGCTCCGCCACAGCTCCGACATTTGGACCTGGAGATGCAGCTGCCGCCCCCGCAGCGGCGCCACCGTGAACACCACCCACCCGTCATGCCGCCACCCCACCTCCCACCTGCAGCGACATCATCATCCACGTCAGCCTCCTCATCGTCCTGTCGCGAACTGGCATGGGTCCTCCCAGCTGTAGTGGCTGCCGTACCGCATCTGACCGCTCTACGCATCAAGGGGCACAGCAGCCTAAGTGACAGGTAGGCTGGACACCCAGGCCGGACCTTAATAACGCTCTGTCACGCCGCCCACAGTTCGATGCACGCTATGTCATCCTTATCCTGTCGAACTCTTGCTGTATTCTCTTGCACTGGGATTGCCTCAAGGCTGGTGCATACGCACCCTTCCTCACGGGTGCCTTTCTGCTAAGGGTTGGTGACAGCGGCTGACCTCCCTGCCCCCTGACCTCCCTGCCCCTGACCTCCCTGCCCCCTGACCTCCCTGCCCCCTGATGCCTCCCTGCCCCTGACCTCCCTGCCCCTGACCTCCCTGCTGCCCCCTGACTCCCTGCCCCCTGACTCCTTGCCCCCTGACCTCCCTGCCCCTGACCTCCCTGCCCCTGACCTCCCTGCTGCCCCCTGACTCCCTGCCCCCTGACTCCTTGCCCCCTGACCTCCCTGCCCCTGACCTCCCTGCCCCTGACCTCCCTGCTGCCCCCTGACTCCCTGCCCCCTGACTCCTTGCCCCCTGACTCCTTGCCCCCTGACCTCCCTGCCCCTGACCTCCCTGCTGCCCCCACATGCAGTGACCTGCGGCTCCTCCACCCGCTCCGCAACCTGAGACACCTCTCCCTAGACCTGCCGCCGCCGGCTCCGGCACCGCCAACCCCACCACCACAACAGCAGCAGCACCCACACCCGCCCCACCCTCCTCCTTCATCCCAGCCCTCCCTGGCGCCCTCTCTCCTGAGCGCAGCCGGGCTTTCAGCGCTGCTTCGGTCGGTTTCGGAGCTCCGAGACCTCTCGCTCGCGCATGTCGTGTGCTCCTCCCCTGAGGCGCTGCAGGCGCTTTCAACGGCCGCTGCCGGGCTGCGGCGCCTGCGGATGCCGGGTGTGGTGCTTCCGCCGGGCCACAACACGTTGTGTGGCGTGCTGTACGACATGGTGCGCCGTGCGCCGTACCTTACTGAGCTGGACTTGTCAGCATGCGGCATTAGCAGCAGATACAGTAGCAGGGTACGCGGTAGCGACAACAATGGCGCCGAGGCTGGTAATGACGACGGTGATGCCGGAGGCAATAATGGCGTTAATAACAGGAGCATCAATGGCAGCAGCTTTGATAACAGTAGTACTGCAGGCGCTCGGCTTCTGTCAGACTGGGGGCTCTCTCAGCTGGCTCGCAGCGCGGGGCAGGGGCTGGTGTCGCTCAGCCTCCGAGGCTGCGGCTCGGAGCTGATCAGCGATGTGGGGGTGGGCTGTCTGGCGCCCCTCATGCGGCGAATGCAGCGACTGGACCTTTCCTTCCTGGAGGGGTACGGCAGGGTGTGGTGGGCTGTGGGGGGCAGCAGGGCGGTTGGGCTGCTGGCTCGCTGCGATTTCGAACTGCATGATGCATGTGGAAGCTGCGTGTCGTGGGCCTCGTGGCGACTGATGCTTTTGCTGTTGTGGCAATGCATGGCAGTATTGCGTGGCTAAGCATGTGTTTCGTTGTGCATCATACCGGCTTGCGACCCGCAATCGGGTTGCAACCCACATCGCTCGGAGTGCCAGGAAGCGCCTGTTGCAACAGCGGCTGGTTTGCTTGCCCTCGTGCTCATCTGTCCTCTCTTTCTCCCGAGTGTCATCATCCGTGCCGCCCGCCGCTGTCACGCAACACAGGCTGACGGATGAGGGTCTGTCGACGCTGCTGCGAGGTGGCGCCCCCGCGCTGCAGTCCATGGCCCTGAGCTACTGCCCCCGGATCACCGACGCAGGTACGGCACTAGTGGGTGTGTTGCACTCCCAGGTTACTACCGGTACGTGCGGTGCATGTACTGATGCAGGATGCAGTGGCATGTTGCTGAAGGCCACCCTGTTCTCATTTGCAACTAATTGACCGTTACAGTGACCTCGCAGACTTTAAACTTGAAATGGGTCACAGACGACGGGAGGGTATGGCAGCATGCATGCCTAAAACATGATCCCCCCAACTGTCCCCTCGCCCCATGTGCGTCAATACCGTGTCCTCTTCTCAAATTGTTGCCTTGGTCCCCCCAGGTGTTCGCATCGTCCTGGCCGCCTGCCCCCGCCTCCAACACCTCGATCTAGACTACTGCACCGGTCTGTCCGGTCAGGTGGTTGCCGTACTTGGGGATGCAGCACGCCGGCAGCACCTGAGGCGGGTGTCGCTGGAGGGGTGTCCCATGGGTCGGTCTGCAGCGGCTGATGGCCTGACGGCGGCACGACCCCGGAGGAGCGCTCTTGCGGAGCGCTGGTGGCTGGCGCATGGGGGTGTTAAGCTCCCTTCCTCCGGGTCCTTTGGGCCCCAAGTGCATTAACACTCGCCACAAGATACCGGTAGACATGAATGGCAGGTTGTGCGGTAGCCCTTGGGGTGGCTGACACATGGGGGTGTCCAGCTCTCCTCCGGGACATTTCGACCATGTTTGGCAGGTGGTGCGGGCGTCCTTGCACCGCGAGTGAAGGAACGGTGGCAGTAGGGACGGCGGCAGTAGGGACGGCGGCAGTAGGGACGGTGGCAGTAGGGACGGTGGCAGTAGGGGAGGCTAGAGTACCGGTAGTGGCGTTGCTCTGGGAATGTGTGATAAGGGTGCTGTATGCAGTGCGCCATGTCGCAGGGTGGAGGAAGCGCAGTGGGGTTGAGAGACGTACGGATGTGGGCTGGCGGGTTTTCCAGACGTTTGGGCTTGCTTGTGGATGCGGGGTCGGGGCCGGGGGCACCCTTTGCTTGTGTTTGGAACGCTTGTAAGCAAAGGCGTGTTTACACACGTGGGAAGATGTGGGTAGGGTTCATGCCCATGTACTCCAGACTTACCGTAACAAGCGACGGCTGTGATGGCTGATGAGGGCAGAGGCTTCCGTGCTCTCCGGCACGGTGATGGTAAGGTACCTGTGACATAGGCATACATGACGGGAGGATGGTGTGGGGGCTACTGGGTTCGGCGTTGTAGGTATAGGGGTTCCTGCGGGGGTTGGGACATGCGGGGGCATGCGTGCCGAGGTATGACTTTGGGGAACTGGCTGGCAGGCGGGAGTGCGGGCGAGCGGAGGTCTTCAATTTCTCGTGGGTTAGCAGCAGGAGAGGGGAGGCAGCGGGGTTCGCGGCAGGAGAGGGGAGGCAGCGGGGTTAGCGGCAGGAGAGGGGTTGGTGGCGGGGACATATACGGCCTAGTATGAAGCCCTAGCAGGGTCAGTGAGTGCTTACGTCTTCTTCAGTGATGTAACCTGTAGCAGCACATGTCCGCGAGGCGGGTGGCTTAGGGAACGGGATGGGGCCCATGGGCTATGGGAGCAATTTAAAGGGCCTCAAATTTCCGCTGCGCCTGAAGCTTCCGATAATCTATTTTGAATCGCCGTCGTGCTGCGCTTAAAGGTACAAAGGCCTTTCAGACAAGGCCCTTCCACAATATTGCCCTTGGTGATACAAAAGCCTTTTGCTTTGCAACCTAATAGCCGTCTACTCCGTTGCCCAATGTTAGCATAAACATTGCGCCTGTGTAATTGAGCAACGCCGTAAGGATAAGTTGAAGTGACGACACCTTTCCATGCGTGGACACCTTTCCATGCTGTACCCAGAAATGCGAGAAGGTCCAGCCTTTTTGCAACGAAGGGCACAGTACAATCACCTGTCTTTCAGCAGTAAAGCAGCGGCGAAGGTTAGCACGGATGCCACCAAAACGTGTAAATGTCTGGCTGTTCGACTCCTGCTCCGAAGACGGCGTGTGTCATCCTCGCGCCTTCCGTGCGCCAAGCACGCATAGTGGGGTGTCTCCCTTTTACACCACGCATACATAAGAGCATTCAGGTTAATTATACTGAAACTGTTTCTTCCTTTGCCTGGAACCTTAGCCTTGATGCTGAGTAACTTGTGAGACTGTGATACGCAAAGGACGTTCAGCGAACACTGTAGCTTTGCCTACTGATAACGTTCGTTTTTACAGTAATTTTGAGGAGATATCTCACTATAGGCCTTTTACTGGCAATGTCTTCGATTGCCCAGCGACCGGTCTTGCCACGCGGTCAGTTTTCGTCCGCAAGGGCGGCGAAACGTAACGTAGTATGCAGCCTGCTTGATGGAGGCGCAGGTATGCTAGTTGCTTTCCTGCACGTCTGGGATGCGCATTATTAACGGTTGGCAATCCTAAATGTATGCTTTGGGACTCAGTGTGCGGCCTTGAGAGACATATACATCTGCCGTGTTTTGATAGCTCCTTGTAATTCCGCTGACTCAGGTTCGAGGGTTACGTTGGTGACCCGAGGTGCAACTTCCGCGGTCATTGCTCCACAGTGTGCGCGTTCCGGCACGACAACCATCCTTTGCTCTGCGCTTCGCAAGGAGCGTAAGAAACTAGCGAAGGTGCTTAAGTCGCACCGAAAGGTGCTGGAAAAGCGGTTATCAGCGCTGCAGACAACGGAGTTAGCATCGCCAGTGCTGTCGGAGCTCTTGACAGAGCTCCGCAGCCTCACCTCTCAACTTGAGAACCCACGCAACGCTGCTCCGCTCTACGCCGACTCCGACAGCTCCGACAGTTCAGACTCAGATGACGGCGATGGAGCAGTTTGCGCAACCCGCTCCGCCGCAACCCTAGCACGTCAACTGCCCTCCACGCCGCGTGCATCAGCAGCGAACATCGAAGCTGGGCTGCAGTCCTCGACTTCCGCCAACATCTCCACCAACAACAGCAGTATCCCAAACACCACGACCATGGTGGTTTCGGGGCTGTCAGGCCAGGTGGAGGTCGCGATGCCGGCTCCGCTCGAGGGCTGGGACTGGAGCGAGGAGGACTTCCGGGACGCCAAGTTTGACGGCGCTGGCGGGCGGGTGCTGGTATGCACAGGAAGCAAGTGAGTGAAGCGCGAGTGTCGTACACTCTACTATGGGGTGTCGTACAGTCCACTATGGGGCATGGGGCTGGGAAACACAGATAGCGGGTTGCGGGATTGATGGTAGTCGAGCCGGCAGGTGGTGATGATGGTGCCGCATGCGATGCAGCCGGTGGGAATGACGGGTAGACAACAATAGGTTATAAAATGTTGTCTGCCCACCACCGTAGTGCCTGCATTTCCCGCAAACTGTGTCCGCTTTGGATGGCTTGACCGTTAGGGCGACTGCATTTACAGCGTAGCCCCCGTCTCCTCAGTCCACCTGTTGCAAGGTGTCCACTTGTAACGCGTCCTCTGTCCGGCAGCCGTCATCCTAACCACCGCGATTTTCCTAACCCTCCCTCCCCCCCCCTGCTACCCGCCCTGCACCCCGTGCCGCCTCCCCCAGGTGCCAGCGCAAGGGTGCCTCGGAGGTCCTTCGCGCCGTGTCAGCCCTGGCGTACGGCAACCCCAACGTCGATGTCGTACCATGCAAGTGCGTCGGCAAGTGCTCCGAGGGGGCTGCCGTACGGGTCCGCAGCAGCAGCAACAGTACGGCAGCAGCAGGAGCAGGGGGCGCTGCAGCAGGACGGCCCTCCTGTGCGACCTACACGGAGGTCCGCCCGGGGAATTTGCGGGGGGTGTTTGAGGAGCACTTCGGTGCGGGAGCGGCTGCTAAGACACCTGCTGCTGCGGCGGCTGCGGCGGCTGCTCCGAAGCCAGGCGAGGCAGCTGCGCCTTGCTGCGCCGCGTGTAGTGATGCGTGAAGGGGGGTAGCTGTAGATGCCATGCCTCTGGGCCTCAAATGCAGGGGTCTTTTGAGAAGGCGTTATGTTGCGTGCGAGTTGGTATTGGTCATTGACAGGAGAAGGTTGTGAAGGAGCTGTGCACAGATGAGAGGGCGACAGGGATCTTCTCTTTGCTGGATACTATTTGTGTCTTGATCCCGATGGAACTAATGCCTCCCAAGGAATGAATGGGCCCAGATGGTGCTGTGCCGTACCTCCCCGATGCTCTGTACATGATGTGTTTTTGTTCCGCCGTACTTTTTGCCCAGTGTACTGCTGGTTGCTTTTGCGTGTCCGAGTGTGCCGATAAATTCATTACATGTTTTGATTTGGCTCTGCTTGATTCCCTAGCGCCCTAGCGCCACCAGATCGACTAATTCCTTTTGATTGGACCTTTCATCAAATGGCCAGTAGGACCCTTAGGCTAGGCCTTAGTCAGGATGCAGTTGCTGAGAGATATGGTTGGTTAAGTACGACAAGATAGAATGCCGATTCGAGATGGAATGCATACCAGTGGTTATTGTTGAGGCAGGTTTTCACGTGCCGCACACGGGTCTGGTAGTAGCGTTGTGCATGTGACGGTTGGAGGTTTGAAACATCCAGGACAGAAACCATGAGCCCATGATGGCTCAGCATGCCGGGAGGCCAACGTTGCCAACGGCGCAGATACTGTGTAAGCTCAGGTCCGCGTCTTGGCCCTTCTTGTTGGGATGGACATCCGTACGATGGTTTAAATATACCTGCATTCTACGCAGCATGAAACCTAACGTGACCCGATACCGGTAACCGGCATGTGCCGCACGGGACATAGCACACAGGTGTATCGGTGGATCATGGACACAGCATGAATAGCATACAGCATGCACATCGCTCATTACTTCTAATGTCGTAAGACATGTCGTTTGCTATCTTGCACGGGCTTAACAGTCAACGCTTTGGCGAGCTGTGATAAGCCGGCAAGGTTGCTTCGCACTCAGAAACGTTTTTCGCACTTCATACTCCTAGAATTGCAGTAGGAAACAGGCTCCAGAACTGACTGACGCGAAGCTTGAGTCTTCGCTGCCGCTTGGTCGTTATACAACGCCGTTGATCGTCGCCATGTCGCGTGCCAGCGCAATAGACAACGATGCAGCATACCCAAGCAAAAACCAAAGGGTTCACGCATTGCTTTCCTGGGCAGTTGGGGAGATAGACTGCAGATCTCGCTCCTCTGCGGGAAAACGCTCGGCGGTTGGCCGAGATAGAAACCATGATATCTTGTCCAATGCACGAACAATCTATTGGGTTAGGTTTAATACCTGATTGCTTTCAGCTTTTTGCTAGGAGTCTCCAAGCTGCTCGTTATCCTCCGGCATAGCGTCAATTGCCTGCTGCCTTACACCTACCTTGCTAGTCCTAGGGTCTGCAGGGATGCGTTTATGCTCCTGCTCTACCCTGCCAGGACCTGGCAGCACGGGGCAGCTTTGTGCAACCTCAATGGTGCTGAACAGGCATTGCAAGCCGGGTGAGGCAGGGTTCTTGGACCAGTCCTCTATGTAGTAGTATCTTATGTTGTTTCATAGTTGCTTTTTTCATGCATCCTTCTTAGACTTTCTGAGCAACCTAGAGGGCTCGCTTGCACCGTGCGGCTTGCGAATCCCGTTCGTAGCAGAGCACTCACGCCTGGGAATAAGCTCATGGTTTACGTCTTGCAATCCGCTTGCTCTCGCAACAGTGCAGCTGCTTGGTCGGAGGCGATGGGACCGGTGCATCAACAGTCGCGGGGCTGGCTGCGTGCGGAAAGCGGCCAGCGGGCGCGAAGGGGAGACGCCCATTGAGCGGCGCTTGCGAGAAAGCGCAGAGGTGGGGCAGCAGTGAGGTTAGCCGGCTGGGCTCGGCGACTCACGGGAGTGTAGCGTGCGTAGGTAGAAACCTCACACGGACAGCACTCACGACTTGCCATCACCCGGTTCCAGCGCTTGCATTGGGCATCCTAGAACCCTCGTCAAGGTACAAACTTCACAACGCACCTCAAGGCAGTCCAGGTGCTGCCGACCCTCTCACTCCCAATCCTGCCTCTTAACCTAAACCCAAACTGCCGTCCGCAATGACATAAGCACATAACTAGGCCACCCATGTTCCCATACGGCTCACGACACACACCTGGCCGCCTGGTTAGTTGGTCCCCCTTACCCCGCCTGCTGCCCACCCCACCCCACTACCACCTGCCCCCTCCCCCCGCCTGCTGCTCTCTTCCCCCGCCTGCTGCCCCCTCCCCCGCCTGCTCTGCTCCCGCCAGGTGGAGTCCCGTGTGAGGAACATCGACAGCGAGGACGACCTGCTGCAGCTGCTGGACGACGCGGGAGACAAGCTGGTGGTGCTGGAGGTGCGGGCGGGCGGGCGTGGGCGGCAGTACCGGTAGCCGCAGCTGCAGTTGCCAGGTCCAGCAGAAGACAGGTGTCCCGCATCCTACCTTCCTCTGCTGCTGTGCCATACAAGTCTACACGAGACCCGGTGCTGTTGCTGCTATCATATCCCCTCCGCCGGCGCATTATCTAGTTTTTTTATTGATTCCACAACCATGCTGGAGCACCAGCACACATCAGATACCGCCACTACCGCCAATGCTCGTGGCATGTCGGCATAAAAAGGTTACCGGACCGTTGCGTCACCAGCACTGTTTACCGTTACTGCTTCTCCCTAACCCCAGCTTCCTCCCACCCGCTTACTCTTCTCCCTCCCTCCCCACCCACTTCCTCCCTCCCGCCCGCTCCCCCCCCCCAAATGCGCTCACTGCATGAGTCGAGGATATGGGATTGGGTCTCGTTGTTTCACTCTTTTAATTTCCCACGCCCCCCAGGTCCAGTCCGAGGTGTTGTGCGAGCTGGGTCTGGACGAGCCGGAGCCCGAGCTGCACTGGAAGCTGGACGAGCAGCGGCAGCACGAGCAGCGCATGGCCAAGTGCCAGGCGGTGAAGCACGTCATACAGCGCACGGCGCGGGAGAGCCCGGATGTGGTGTTTGCGGCATTCGAGGTGAGCTGCTCTGGGGGGGCTTTGAACAGAGGAGGAGGAGGGAGAAGGGATGTATGGGGATAGGTAATACCGGTCTGCTACTAGACCGCGATAAAGAAGCACTTGCCACTGAGGGATAGGGAGGGGTGGGCTGTACAACCTAACAATGCCTGACAGCCCGCACCCCCTCACACACCTCACCCACCCGCCCCCAGACCGACGGCACCCCTGCCCGCGAGGCACTGGTTCGCAAGCTGGGCGTGGAGGTGCTGCCCACGCTGCAGTTCTACAAGGGCGGGCGGCTGCTGTGGGAGCACAAGGGCGCGGCGGCCATGGAGGCGGGCGTGGGGGAGGGTGAGAAGACTAGAAGGGGCTGCCCGGGGGCTGGGGCCAGCAGCCGTATTCAATGTGGTGGGGAGGCGCAGCTGGGAAGGTGGTGGAGGCGACAAGGGAGATGGGGAGGGAGACCAGGGCGTGTGTTAAGGAAAAGTGGCAACTCCTCCACCCCTGCTCCCTCTTCTTGCCTCCCGTGACCACCCGCCCCCTCAACCGCCCCTCCGCCCCAGGCGTCATGTACTACGGCGACAGTGCCGCGGGCGGGCTGGCCCCCATCAGCAGCTACGTGGCCGAGATCAGCTCCCGACAGCAGCTGGCCGACTTCCTGGCGGCGGAGACCGACCCAGCGGTGCTGCAGGTGGGGGGGGGGAGTAAGTTGCAGGTGGGGGGGGGAGTAAGTTGCAGGTGGGGGGGGAGTAAGTTGCAGGTGGGGTGGGGGGGAGTAAGTTGCAGGTGGGGGGGGGAGTAAGTTGCAGGTGGGGGGGGGAGTAAGTTGCAGGTGGGGGGGGAGTAAGTTGCAGGTGGGCTGAGGCTGACCCGCATGGGCTGATTGTGGGTGGGTTCATGCATGGGGTGTTTGGGGGCCGTGCCGTGGGGTCAGGAAGGCTAGCTGGGCACCGGCAGGTGATGCTTTACTCTCTGGCCGGGTGTCGGTTCAAAGGGTGCAACGTTCCTTTCTTCCCGACCTCCGTCGCTTGCGTTGGGCTCCGTCACACAAGCGCTATTTCCGCGCTCACCTTCCCTAATCCTCCTCTCCCTTCCACGCCGTAACCCCTCCCAACCATGAATGGCGGCGTCTTGTCTTGCGGAACGTCAGGTGCTCAACGTGGCCTTGACGAGCGCGGGTCCGTGCATCAGGGTGTTTCCGGCGGTAAGGCAGGAGGAATAGGCGTGCCGTACCTCCATACAACCAGTCGCAACCTCCCAACCAACTGCCGTATCCAGGCTAGGTTTTCTGCTGAAGGGCTGAACCATGGGCCCCCACTGGTTCCAAGGCAGATCGGTTAACGGCTTACGCTTTCCAGAGCACTGCCACAACTCGTTGACACACGCAATCACAGTACGCTCTACTCGCGGCCAGTTTTCTTAACACACGCAAAAGTACCCCCGTGCCCCCTCCCCCCCCCCCAGGTGGTCGCCCTGAGCCGCTCCTTCAAGGGCTTCGCGTCCTTCGGTCGGCTGCTGGGCGATGCGAGCGAGGAGACGGAGGGGCTGCTGCGGGAGCTGAACATCGTCGAGGTGCCCACCTTTGTGTTCTTCAGGTGGGTGTTCCTCACGACCATACACCACACCATAGGAAACCACAGTTGGGGGGTACTGGTGGGAGGGCTGTTTTCCTGGAGTCAAGTAGTGCCCTCATTCGTGTTCCTTAGTTTAAGGAAAGAATTTAGAGGCCAGGGTGTGAACGATACCGTCAACCTCCCAACCGTCCAAACCGTTCTTCCCCCGCTGTGTCTCTCTCGCTTCCCACCCGCCTCTCCCCCCGCCAGGGCCGGCAAGGAGGTGGGTCGCCACGTGGGGTCGGACCGCGGCGACCTCATCGGTCAGATCCTGCAGCAGCAGGCGGCAGTGGGACTGTCGCCGCCGCCGCCACCCGTCACGGCGGGCAGGAGCGCGCGGCCGCGCACCCGGGGAGCCTCAGCAGCTGGCCGACGCAAGTAAAGGGGGGCCTTAGGAGGCGAGGAGACTACAGGCAGGAGATGCAGGTAGAAGGGAAGTTTCAGGAGACAGGAAGACTACAGGCGTGAGAGTGTACATGGTATGGAAAGCAGGAAGCAGGGTGGTGTGTTGGGTGCGTTGTTTGGATGTTGTCTGCGCTACCTTTACGCCTAAATGCATGTTGGGGCTTGGTTTGTGGGTGTTGGGAAGGGGTGCACGGTTGATTGGCGACGCATGTCTGGAATATTGAGATGGCAGAACAGAAGGTGAAGAGCATAGCAGCGCTTACTACATAGGATATCGAGGCATGAACAGAAGGCGAAGAGCATAGCAGCGCTTGGCATGAACTTCATGCAACGTACAGCAACATCATACAAATGAGGTGTTGAGGAATCCAAAGGATGTATACCGGGCATCCCATGCATACATACTACGTGCATCCTGCAAGTCCCAGTTTTACATTGCAGGGCGGTCGGTATAACGGGCGAGTGAGCGTTTTTGGAGATATAAAGAGCGTGGTGTTGTCGAGTCGGTAACAATAGCGAGTGCCTAAGCTGGCCGGTTGTTAGGGTTGTTGTAGTACGATGCTCAGTCGGTCCTCGGTGCGTGTTGTACGGCACTGATAGATGACTGTTACCTAACATCATATTATCCGTTGGGATATGCATGCAGGGGAGTCAACAGCCCACAAACTGCACTTCAGCTGCATCATCTCAATAAAAATGGAAGAAACACTTGTTTTGCGTATAGTGGTGTCGAGCATACGCCAATTTGTGGTAGAGACGGTAGTGCTGAGGGGTGCTACGGAGCGGCACACGGTGTTTGCTTCAGTCGCCGCCCTGGCTGGACCTTACATGCTGGATATGTGCGTGGAGAGATCGCCAAGGAGGGCGCCCGCGGACGTGTAAGGAGGCTAGGAGTCTCCGAGTCTCCCAGCAGCGGCTTCCTACCCTCTCCCAGCTGTCCTTTCCCCTTCACCCTCTCCCCAGACACCACCACCACCTAACCGCCGCCAAAGCTCATGCTCTTCACCACATTTCCCTCACACCTCCCACCATCACCACCACCGCCAGCACACGCAGCCCAGCCCGACCCCTCTCGCTCGCGATCGCACCCACGTGTCCCCCCTCCCTCACTGCCCCGCTGCTGCTCCCACCGCCTGCATCAGGCTCTTAGACAGCGACAACCGAGCGAACGCCGCCACCCTCTCGCAGCCCAGCCGGCACAGCTGCATGGCGTCCAGCAGCTGGTCGCAGCTGAAGTCGCCCACACAGCGGCTGCCCAGCACCGCCGGGGCCACCGCAGCGGGGGGCGCCTCCTGCTGCTGGGGCTGCTGGGGCTCGGAGGAGGTAGCGGGTTGGGTGAGGTCGAAGTGGTGTGGGAAGGTGAAGCAGAAGCGCGCCTGGGCCGCCTGGGGGAGGGGCATGCGGGCGATGCATGGTAACTTGGGATGAGGGTTAGGAGAGGAGAGGACAGAAGATGCGGAATGGTTGGAGGGAAAGAAGACGAGGGACCAGGGGACCATACCACCTACTCCGTTCCCTAAGCATAACCTACCGTTCCCGCCTCGCCTCCGCAACCTTTGTTTGCATGGATCTCAGCTCACATGCCTCCTCCCACTCGCCACATCCCACCACCCCCACGCCAACACCCCCCCACCCCCACCTGCTCCTCCGCGGCATCCGGGTCCAGCAGCAGCTGCTGCTCCTGGCTGCTCAGCGCGCAACCAACGGAGGCTGTGTACGGAAGGGAGGGAAAGGGGAGGGAAAGGGCAGCAAACGACCCATGGGACGCGCGTGCCGGTAGATAGGACCACAGAGGCGACCAACACTCATCCTTCTCCCCACTCTTGATCAGAAATAAAAAGCGCTGACGCATACCTTGATACTGTCCCCCAGGCCCGCCAACACCCTCCACGGCTTTGAGCAGCAGTTACACCCCAATCTCGGCTTCCCGTCGCTGACCTACTCCCTATAGCCCAGCCAATCCCGCCCCCACTTACCGTACATGGTGCTCATGGGCACTCCCGCGTCCACCAGCGCCGCACACGCCGCGTTGAGCGCACACACCAGCACCGAGCCGTCCTCCTGCAGCACCTGCGGAAAGGCAGGACGCAGGAGGCAGGTGGTGCCAGGTTATGACGGGGTGCGGGATGAGGGGGCAAGGTCATCATAAGGTCGAGGCGGCACCGGCATGTGCATAGGCAATGGAACGAGCTTCGGTTATATGTGTTGCAACAGGTTCATTAGGGTGAACTTCGCATTGCCGGTGTACCAATTACACCTTAGTTACGCACCTGTAGGATAACCATGATGGACGTCCGCGGGTGCATGCCGAGGGGTATTACGCCTTCTAGGATGCCACGAATCTCCAACTCTATTGACCGGTCTTCATGGCCTGTACGGCACGGGTGTGTACGACACGCATTAGTCAAAGGCTATACGGTGAGAACAACAGTAATGTGACCAACCAGCTGTGCCAGTACTCTGCGAACTACTCCACCTAAAGGCAAGCACCTTGCATTTCAAGTGCTGCACTATGGAGCAACAGGGAGCAGCACTGGTTGCCTAAAGCATGGATACCATGCCCCATCCTAGCTTCAGCAGTGGTGCCCTGCACTGCCTGAAAACACATACCACCCCTGCTCACTTTGTAACCCTGCGCGGGGCTTATACACAACCTCAACCACCGCTCGCTCCGCATCCTCCTTTTGTATCTTTGCTTGCCGAGGGCCGTACACGGCCGCTAGCACGCTGCTTCCTTCCTGAGTCCACTTCGCCGAGCCATCGGCGCGGTCAAGCACGCTGCGCTCACAGACAAGGCTCCTGCGCGGATTGATTTGATTTAGCGCCTATAGGTATGACATGGTTTAATATGTATACTAGGACACACCTGAGCTGTGCCGGCTGGCGCCCTCGCGAGCGGGAAGAGCCTGGACCTGGACCGGCAACGTCAATATCCATAGTCGTTAACGTATTCGAAGTCTCAAGTGGTAAAATGTTTCAAGTTCAGTCAAGGCTTTTCGCTATCAGCGACGTTTCGGCCGACAAACGGCACACCGAACGACATCGGCCGTACGTTCAAGGCCTCTGCGCTCAGTGCTTCAGTTCCTGAACAGAAGTACTGTATTGCTTGAGGGCATCCACGTATGCGCAAGCTGCTGCATGCTAGTGACTTTGATAAGCTTGCCTTTGCTTTGAGCCCTCCCATCAGGGCTGTTAAAAAGCCCTGATCATGTTATGTTGATGTCCATCGTCGATGGTGGCGCATTTGGCGAAAATGGGGATTGTGACAATCGTTCGCCGGCATGGCATGTGGAGACTCCACCTTTTGCTATCGCTCGTATCGCTCTCTTTTGCCTAAATGCATGTAAGCCATCTCTCGACAAACCCAGCTACCATGCGAACCATTAACAGGAGGTTACCAGTCGCTCGTTATCAAGCCTGGCCATGCGCTGCCCTGACCTCACTAAAGCCGTCGAGCACTATGCCCTATCATCGCAATGCGCATAGTGACGTGCAAGTTCTTGCTGTACTTCAATGACTCGAGGGCGCATGAGACATTTGGGTTTGAGGAACCGAGCACGGACCCATCCTAACAGTGCCATTAGGTGCCTTGCGCAGTTCGAGTATTACCCCCTGACGCTCGCCTGTGTGAAGCCTTCCCAAGTGTAGGAAGACGCCCAAATATGCATAACCAACGTGCATCACTATATCGTACCCAAACCCCCATGTACGACAACCTTTCTCGTCACCTCATCACAGCCTCTGCTTGGACTGCTGTACGTCGCCCACCTCTATCACCACGAAAGTGCTCAAAAATAACGCTGGACCCTGCTTCCTCTGCACTTCAAGCTGCTGCTGGCCGTCAGCACCCGCAGCAGGGCCAGGGGCCGTGTACCTGCGCCCCTCTGCCGTCGCCAGTTGCTCCACAAGTGGGCTGCGGAGGAACTGCTGCGCGGACTCCTCCTGTGGGGTTGGGCAACAGGTGATGCAGGCAAACGACATGGGCTCCAAAGTCTGTACGAAGCACTGCTGCGAAGCATGCCCACCGAATCCCCATGGGAAGAATGACACCCCTTAGGCTATGGCCGCGAAATTGAATGGGCTGAAAGGGGACGGGGCAGTGTGGATAATGTAGGGAGGGTAGGGAGGGGGCTTACGCAGTACGACACGCAACGATGCACATGACGCAGCACAACGACCTCTGTCTGAAAGCAAACAGAGAACCCACATGCGGGAATCTCGCCATCCACACGAAACGCGGCTCCAAACTTGTCACATCTTCGCCGCAAGACACCTGTAGGGCAAAGCAGCAACAGCAACAGCAACCATGCAGTACCGGTAATTCCGGTATAATGCCTGGGCTAGCATGCCGGAAACTAAATCGCTGTGTTCAGTTAGTAGCTACATTCCTCAATTGGGCCTCCCTAAGCATCCCACCTGCTTAACACCCTACACTGCTACATTGCTGCATTTCAACACAGCAACGGTCATTGCTTACCTGCACGCTTCCTGCCGCCAGGGCCTGCTCTTGCAACCGCCCAACTAACTCCACCAGCATCTCGGGCTGCAGAGCTGCAGGGCCGACTGCTTGACCTGTTGCTACTGCTGGTCCCGCTCCAGCTGCTTCTGACGTCGCCGCCTCAGCAGCTCCTACCGTCCGCTCCGCTTCCTTAGCTGCTGTTTGCTCCGCCGCTGCTGCTGGTTCCAAGAACAGCAATAGGTCTACCCCGGCCTCGAAGGCAGGACCGCGCTTGAACAGAGCTTCCATGTCGTTTGGGACCAGCACCTGAGCGCAATGTGCCAGCAAGGCCGAAGGAAATACGGTACTTGAGGAGCTTATGCCCGTAACCGCGCGCACAAATAGGGCTTCTGAGGTCGCATGCTAACCAGGAGGCTGGCTCTCCATACCCATGCCTCCCTCTCGTTCCTTCAGATGACTAATAATATGTTTGTAGCTGCTTTCCGGCCAGGTGCCGTACCTTCCACAAGGCCAGCGTCACGGTTCCACTGCCCAGCAGCCGAGACTTTGCGTCCGAGAAGGCTGGGCCCGCCACAAAGCGTTCCGCCTGGGCTTGCGAGGAGAAGCGGTAGTACACGGCGGCACGTGGAGCGGAGGCGCTCCTATCACGTGACGCGGATTGTACGACAGGCCCAGCGCTGGCGCAGCAGGCGCCTGGGGTACGGTATTGGAGGCTCCACAGCGTGTCCAAAAGCTGATGGGAGTGCGGATGATGGAATGTGGCGAGAGCACATGAAGGAAGGGTACTTCGTTGAGGCCTAGGGGCACAGGGCGGGCTTAGGGGCATAGGGATAAGGTACCTTATCCAGTACTTGTTGTCGCCGCAGGCCCCACCCACCTCCTGCTGCTCCTCTGTGCCTTGGGACTTGTCGGTGGCGTTATGAACCAATACCAGCGTTTCCCATACTGGTACAGTTTGGGCGCGAGCCGCGGCATTCAGGGGCCGAGCACGTGGTCTTTCCCGCAAGTGATTAGGTGTACGCGGCCAAGCAGCGCTAGTAGTTGGCAACAGGCGCAGAGCGTGTGATCTATGACTTATCAGTGAAGCGGTACAAGCCATTTGCTATAATGTCCCGAGCGCAAGGATGTTGGGATGGAGGATGGGTACAGAGAGGAGTTCGTTTCCAAGCGACTAGTTTAACATTATCAATCGTAAACACAAACAACAATAAGACGAACATGTAATGCACGAACATTGGACAGGTTGCCACCCATGCGGGAAAGCTTGAGTCAACGTCGTGACAAAATGGTGGGATGCTTTTTGCAGACAATGTTCTTGGGTGTGTAAACACAATAGACATATAGTTAATCATTATTATAAACAAGCGATTATCTAACAAATTACAAGCATTCAAGGACTTGCCTAACTTCACTTCATTACAGCGAGGCCATATGCTATAGCTTCCACTTATTTTCAAGGGCTTAAAGGCCCAGAATGGACGGGCCCGAGGAGGCCGTTGGCAAAGTAAGGACGTCATTTAAGGCCGCGGTGACCGTTTCGATCTCTCACAGCTTTGCGATACACGCAGAGCCAACAGCTCACTGCGGACGCCACTTGCATAGCTTGGGTGAGGTCGAAGCTTCAGCTGGTAAGTGGGCGCATGTCGAAGTGCAAAGGTATGAAGTAATAGCCACGGCAAGCCTCGCTGCACTCTATAATCCCTTACAGCTTCGACCAGAGGGACATGGAGATGCTGAGGATAGCGCGGAGTGGCTGGCGGGCTTGTGGCACAATGACGTGCACACACCGCTGGTGTCCATGTTCCTTATGAGCGTGAAGGCGACGCGGTTGTTTGCGGTGCTGGAGAGCGGCCCGGATTATGGACATGGGACAAAGCTGGTTCTGACGCTCGATGTGCCGAAGAACTATGAGCAGGTGTGTGCCGGCGAGGCATTGGTGGGGGTTTGGGATGCTAGGCCGGGCACCCGTGAAGGGGTTATCCCAGGGAGAAGGGCTGGAGGTGAGCCTGTCCCGAGCACGCGGGCATGCGGGTACCGCCTTCATTCGTGGCTGCCTTGTGGCACTCCTGCGTCCTCACCGGTTAGCACACGTTGGCGTCCTTCCGTTGCCGGGCTCTCATTTGGGCTGGGAGGTAGTCGTACGTCTGCCGGGTACCGTACCTATTAATACTACGCTACCGCCTCTGGGTACCGCTTTCCAGGACGAGATGTGCTGCTCACTGAAACACTGTTCTCCCGTGCGCCTCAATGCCCATGTGGCGGTTAGCTCCCTACATGAAATCATAAACCCAATTCGCGCGTCCTTCGCCTTACAACTCCCGCGCGGCCATGCTCCTGGCTATCCTTCGGGCGCACGTCCTGCTCGCAGATGGTTTACTTTGTGCGTGATCCCAGCAAGTTCGTGACGCGCGATAATGTGAGCAGCGTCATCTTCTTCGGCCTCATGCGCGGCGGCGACCCGCTGCACTCGCTGCTGAAGATCATGCATGGGCTGTACGTGCCGGTTGTGGTGGCCAACACCACCTGGCCGGAGACCGTCAAGTCGGACTTCACGGCGCAGCTGCACAAGTTCATGGCCAACCTGACGGAGACAGTGTACGAGGTGAAGGGCAAGACCATCCTGTACATCCCGCAGGTGGGGAGGAGGGCAGGGGAGGAGGGGAAGAGAATCGAAGCAGACGAAAGGCCGCATGAGATAGGGGGCGGGTTGGTCGTCTGGGAGTTCATGACTATCAAGGCTCAACGCATGGACATACGGAAAAGGGCGTATACTTTTGCTCCGCATCCTTTCCTAGCCGCCATTGGAAGCCTCGGAAGCGCTTCCGTTCATAAAGTTCAAACCGGTCCCTGCAAACCGCAGGAGGACCTGCGCGACCCCAAGGCGGCCGCCAAGCAGAAGGACCTCGTGCAGCGGCTGGAGTCCACCATCATCCACTGGACACGACAGGTGCTGGGGAGGAGGAGAGGGATACAGAGGAGGCGACTAGGAACAGGGAGGGAGCCATCTGGGTCATGCCGGCGTTCTTTCCGCCATGGGTTGTCCGGCCTGGTCGCGGATCCTGGCGTCACGCTAACCCACATTGCAACGCCGGCGCACACGCAACCCTCATGCACGGCGGCCTTCCAAAAGCAGACCCAGATCGTACTCCCTCCACGCGCGCCTCCAGCTCACCCCCTGCCCTGATCCCTCCCGCCCCTCCTCCTGCCTCCTCACAGGTCAAGGAGCTGCTAAACCAGCAGGACGCCGTGGACGCCTCCGAGCAGGCCGGTCCCCTGGCGGAAATCGAATTCTGGCGCGAACGCTCGGTGGATCTCTCCGGCATCCGCGCGCAGCTGGACGACAGCGCCGTCTCCGCCATCGTTTCCGTACTGGAGTACGCAAAGAGCTCCTACCTGGCGCCCTTTCTCTCGCTCCGAAACCTCATCCACAGGGAGGCCGTGGCAGCGGAGGATAACCTGAAGTTCCTGCTGTGCCTGGAGGAACCCTGTAAGCAGCTGGCGACGGCGCACCCGCAGACCATCCCCGGGCTGCTGCCGCCCATCCTGAACTGCATCCGCATGGTGTGGAACCTCTCGCGCTTCTACAACACGCCGGAGCGGCTGACAGTGCTGCTGCGGAAGCTCTCGAATGAGATCATCAACCGCTGCTGCTCCGTGATCTCGCTGGCGGATGTGTTCTCGGGCGATGTGGATAACGTCATGACGGCGCTGCGGCAGAGCATGGAGGCTGGTGGGTTGGGGTTGAGGGCCATGTGAACTTGGATGGAGGCTAACGTGCAAGCACGACACGCTGGCGCCTGGATAGGGGCACCTGCGCAAAAAGGGGATTGGGTCGTCGGGGGCTGGTATGGAAGACAATGGACAAACGGGTAATAAGGGCGTCTGTAGCGTTAGGAAGGAAAAGAGCATGGGACAGGGGCCAGCGTAGGGCGTCCCGTTTGGCGAGGAAAGCAAAGAGGGCCGCTGTGATGGGGAACTGGGGAAAGCAGATGGCCAGTTCGAACTTGCCACGCCGTTGCAATGTAGTAAATGGATGTGCCTGCAAGTGCCTTTCCGGCCTGGCCAATGGTTCATGGCCCAACTACCTTGACGCCTTCCATCTCCAGATCCGCCACCCATTGCCCCATTCCGTGCCTTGCATGTTGCTGTTGCGCAGGTGAGCGGTGGAAGGAGCTGTACAAGCGCACGGCGGCGGCGGTGGCGGTGCGCTCCCCGCGCCCCTGGGACTTCGACATCTCCTCCATCTTTGCGCACATTGACGCCTTCCTGCAGCGCTGCAATGACCTGCTGGAGGTACGTGCTTTACGTCGCCGGGGTTTAGCCATTAGAAGTCGTCCCTCCAGCCGGATTAGGCATGTAATGGGAAGGCTGGGTAAGGGGGCATATGCGAGAGGTGGTTGCTGAAATGGGTTGCCCCGCAGCAGCATTTCGCGTTGCGACCCACATGCCAATGTCTCGCCAAGTGCCTCCTCTCTGCCCGCTTCCGTTCACTCTACCCCCCCCCTCCGCATGCAGGTGTGCGAGGCGCAGCTGCAGTTCGCGCCGCGCACTCCGCTGCCGGTGTTTGGCGGCACGTACGGTCCGGAGGTGAAGAAGAGCATCCTGGACATCCAGGAGTCCTTCCAGGGGCTGGTGCGCGGCCTGAAGAGCCTCACGTACGACATTCTGGACGTGAAGGCCACACGGTAAGGGGGCGCGGCTGATGCCTTGGGAGCGGACGAAGCGTGCTGCCGTCCCCGGTGTAAAGGGGTAGGCATGTGTCCCGCTAAGCCCATGCATTGGACTGGCGTGGTCCAAACTGAGGGCGCTGCCGGTGAAGGGCGGCTTTAGCGCGTGATGACACGTCTTGTGTATGTGAAACATTTGGGTTATGAACCGGTCTGGCTCCCGTTCTCCCTCGTCCTTAGGTGGCACGACGACTTCAACGCCTTCAAGGGCGGCGTGAAGGATTTGGAGGTGATGATGGCCAACGTCATCCAGCGCGCCTTCGACACGCAGCCCTGCCTGCTGGCGCGCGGAGAGCTGCTTGAGGGGTTCCAGGTGGGAGGGAGGAGGGGAAGCATGTAGCATGGCTGCATGAACAGGTGAAAAGCTTTCCAGAGCATACCGGCTGCCTTCCAAGCCAGCAGAGACTGAGGAGAGCATTCCGAGCTTACAGTGCTGCCGAAGGCTACCACGTAGGAGTCACAGGCGTGCTGGCTTTGCCCAACTTTTAACACCTTCCCTCGGTCGTACCCGTGTGCTACTGCAGGCGATGGCCAAGCGCGACTTCATCCGGCGCTTCGTGGAGAAAAAGACGGTGGAGTTCTTCGGGCTGTTCATGGCGGAAATCAACACCGTCAAGAAGCTCTTCGACGCAGTGAAGCGCTCGCAGCCCAAGAGCCCCATCCTGCCGCGCTATGCGGGGCTGGCCAAGTACGCCATGAACCTCATGCGGCGGCTGGAGCAGAGCCACAAGGTGGTGGAGTCGGTGCGGCACACGCTGCCGCAGGTGAGGGATTGGTGGCCTGTTGATATTTCCCTTAAACCCCAGATGGCTACTTGGCCGCTATCCTGAAGCAGCATGCCACCTTGCCCCCCCTTGCATTGTTGTCTCCAGTTGCTTATTCCAGTCCGATAGGGTGACATCCAGTCCGATAGGGTGACATCCAGTCCGATAGGGTGACATCCAGTCCGATAGGGTGACATACGTCTTAATGCATTTGTCTGAATCCCTCTCTCCCTCTTTCCCCCGCCCCTTAGGTCGCGGAGTCCGCCGAGGTGCTGCAGCAGTACGAGCTGGCGCACCAGGCCATCGAGCAGTACATCAGCAACACGCACAACGAGTGGTTCGGAACCATCGAGAGCTCCATCGCCAAGGAGCTGCAGGCATGCCTGCTGGTGCAGGACAAGGCGTCAGGTGGGTGGTGTGCTGCGGGAGCGGCGACTTGGCGGGTTGTATGTGGGTTGCGGAGGTGCGTTCGCTTCGAGCAGTCCTGCAGTGATACCTTCGTCGACCCCTTGCATTTGGTCCCCCTCCTGCTAACTCAATGACGCCAGTTCACTTCCAGTTAGCACGCAACCGTCCTGGTGCCGGTACTATATAACCCTTGAGGCAACACGTCTGAGATGCACTGCCCGCCGTTCTCCTCGCCTGCAGGCGGCCTGCTGTCCATGAACTTCCACAAGGACCTGCTGTCGATGGGCCAGGAGGTGCACTTCTGGGAGCGCATGCGGCTGGCGGTGCCGCTGGTGGCCATGGAGATCAACGCACAGCGCGAAAAGTATCGCGTGCTGCGAGACAACATTCTCATGGTCGTGCGGGATTACAACAAGGTGCGGTAACCTCCTAAATGTCCTAATGCGCTTGTTTATTATGCATGGAGCTATGTTACCTGGTATGTGCAAAGGCGTGCTGGATGACTAGTATTTCGCCTCTTGCAAGGCGGTAGGGTATAGGGTGCGGAGTCATGACGTTACTTGTCCTGTCGGTTCGAACCCTCCGCCCTGCCTTGCCATCCCCAGATCCTGACGGCGCTGGACAAGGAGGAGCGCAAGCTGTTCCACGACCGCATCCGCTACCTGGACCGCCGCATCATGCCCGGTGTCACCAAGCTGCAGTGGACTGCCGACAAGCACGCGCTGGAGTTCTACTACCGGGAAGCCCGCAAGTAAGAAGAGGAGGGTCGTGGTGGGGGATCTGCGGAGTGCGGCACAGCGCAGTTCCGTCGGCCATAGGACAGCTCAATCTGAACCTTTATAAACGCTTTGCGGCTGATGAAACTGGATTGGTCCGCAGTCGCAATCCCATCACCGTGTCGGGCTGACCCTATGCGGAATGCCTACCAGCGCCTCCTTTCCCTTCCAAATCTGGCTGCTGCCGTACATGTTAAAACCGCTACCGCCATACCACCACTGCCCCAACCTGCTCCATAGGTTCTGCCGCGATGCGGACATGGCGGTGGGCGACTACAAGGCAGCCAATGCGCGGCTGGACGCCATCTGCCGCAGCATCAGCGAGCTGGTGCTGGTGGACGTGGAGAAGAAGAAGATCTACCAGCACACAGAATTCGCCACGCTGCAGCAGCAGCACCATGTCAAGGTGGGTGGATGGCTGGTGCCGTTGTCGGTTTGGGACGTCAGGGAGGAGGTGGTAGGAGGGAAGCACTGCGGCGCTTTGCACATGCGGTTTGTTAACCGGCAGTGATGGGTGTACCCGTTTGGATTGGCGGCCCGTCTCCACATGCATGCACCGCATGCTCCTTCCTGCTCACGGGGTTCGACATGCCCTTCCTTTCCCTGCACTGCTGGCAATACCACGCCACATCCACCATTCCAACACGCACAGCATTTACGCGGTCTGACCCATTCACCCCTACAACGGACGTCCCCATGCCTGCCGCAGATCAAGAACCGGCTGGTGTCCGCGGTGGACGAGATCCGGGAGATCATGGCGGGCATCCACCGGGTGTTTGAGCAGGACAGCGAGGAGGTACAGCGAGAGTGGGTGCGCTTCACGCAGAAGGTGGATCGCAAACTGGAGGACGCGCTGCGCCACGTCATCAAGAAGTCCCTGCAGGTGCGTCTACGGGAAATCGTGATACTAAAGTGGGCTATCAACGGCGTTACGGCTGAACAGCTCGGGGGTTGGCTGTACCGTTGGCTGCATGTGTACAGAGGCCTGATATGGGTCGGTTGCCTCTCCATCCGTATGTGTCTTTGTAATTCACCGTGGCCGCGGTACCGGTATATTTCCACAGGAGCTCAGCCGGCTGCTGAACGGCGATAACAAGACGGAGGTGATGCCCATCTTCCACGTCACCATGGTCCTGGAGCGCACCAACAAGGTGGAGCTCAAGCCCACCATCCAGGCGCTCTTTGACACCATCAACTCCGTGGCGCGAAACCTGATCATCGTGCTGCAGTCCGTGCCGCGCGTTGCCCTGCAACTGACGGACAAGCAGCGCAGGGACATGGAGGTAAGCGGGAAACCGGTGGTGCCTCCGCCATGCGATGCGAAAGGGCCGGGACGCGCTCATGTGTCAGGGCATGGGCTGCATTGGCCCATGGGTCAGAGACATCTAGGAAGGGAAAATTATATAAGAAATGCAAACAACTAAAGTCCCAATCCCATATCCCGACTCATGCTGTGAGTGCATTCGGAGACATCTAGGAATGGGGGGAGAGTGTGGGAGCAGCACTAACCTCTTGGCTCCTACGTACTATTGCGCGAGGCACATGCATGGGCGGTGGATGCCCCCAATGATTGATGTATCGCAGGATTGATAGAGCTGAGTATGTACTGTGGTATATGGTTTGCAGGAGGCCGGCCTGGCGCTGCCTAAGCCGCTGCCAACGCTGTACGAGACCATCAGCGCAGATGAGGACGCCGTGCTGCGGACCATCATGCAAATCACCTCAGGTAAGGCTTGGTTTATTTCCGCGTAGCCTTCAAGAATTGCAAGCCGGTTTAATCGTTGCCTGCAGCTTGCCTGGCTTCCCAACGCCCTGCCCTCGTTTGAGCAATTCCCATCCCTTTATTCCCCGTCCAGGCATCACGTCCATCATCGACAAGGTTCAGTCCTTCCTCACGTACTGGGAGAAGAAGTACCGGCACGTATGGGAGGCGGACCGTGACGCTTACATTCGCCGCTACGAGAAGGCGCAGAAGCCGCTGTCGTCCTTTGAGGCTGACATCTCGCGATATCTGCAGGTATGTGGAGGGTCTGCTGAACTCCCCGGGTTTCGTCTTGACATCGTGAAGTAGATAACCACGCGCAGCCAGCTGTTACCTCCCTTGCCCTTGAAAGCCCTCAAGATGCCGAGACGGCCCTGCCTTGGCAACCCGTGCTAATTTGCTTCCGAAAATATCCCCCATGACAACCGTCACCTTACCTGCGCCCTTTGCAGTGCATTGATGAGATCCGCGGCGAGGACGGCGCTACCAACATGCGCTTCCTGCGCATCGACTGCGGCCCGCTGAAGCAAACGCTGGTGGGCCACTGCGAGGCCTGGGTGTCCAAGTTCACCGGACTGCTGGGCCAGCTGGCTTTCACGGAGCTGCGGGCCCTGCATGCGTACTTCAAGTGAGTGTCGCGGAGCGCCTTTACATCCATAACGCTGGTATCAGGCTAGACATTGCTGTATCCTGCACTGTCCTAACTATCCACCTTCTGTGCCTCCCTGCACCACTCTCAACACCACCTTGTACTCACCCCCACACCACTGCACCACCCGCACCCGCAGGGAGTTCCGCGAGGCTCTGTGCACGGTGCCCAACTCGCTGGAGCAGCTGGCAGACCTGGTGGGACTGCACCGCCGCCTGGCGGACGAGCGGCGTCGTACGGAGGCGCGCTTCGAGCCGTTGCGGGATAAATATAAGCTGCTGGAGCGGTACGAGGTGGGCGCCAAGGAGGAGGAGGCGGCGCTGCTGGAGGGACTGGAGCCGGCTTGGACGGCATTCCAGGTAAGGGCGGGCTGCTTTGTTGTGTGCAGTGGAAGGGTGGGGTGAGGGCTAAAAAGAGCTGTTGCTAAGGGCGGGCAAATGGTTATGGGTAGGCGAAGGCTTGACATGGCGATCCTCCCAAGTTTGGTATGGTTGATGGTTGGAGAAGAAGGGGCAGGTGGTGAAGCTTCGCATGCACCGAGGAACTCCTTCAATCGAAGAAAGCTCGAAGGGTTATAGTATACAACTTGGTGCTGCCCACCTCCTGCCTAGGCGCTGCTGGATGAGACGGCCGGTAAGCTGGAGCGCTACAAGGATAACTTCCGCGAGAAAGTCAAGAGCCTGCTGGACACCTTCCTCAAGGACGTGGCGTTGCTGTGCGACGACTTCTCCCGGGAGGCGCCGTACAGCTCCGACGTGGCCACTTCTGAGGCGTTGTCGTACATATCCGCCTCCAAGCATTCCGTGGAGGATACGCGGAAGCGGGTGAGCGATTGGCTAACAAGTGTTATGAAACGTCGTCGGGATACGACACTGTGAATGGTGTTCGCTATTCTCTTACCTGCACTGCATCGCACTTGGCGACGTCTCTGGCCCAATGACGCCTGTAAATATTTCAACCCCGCCTTTTAACCTCGCCCTCAATCGCCCTTGTTTACCGGTATCCCCAGGCCATGGAAATCAAGAGCGGCATGGACATCTTCAACATCCCGCAGCCGCAGTACAAGGACCTGGCGGCCATGGAGAAGGACCTGGACTTGCTGGATCGCATCTGGGGCCTCAAGGCGGAGTGGGAGCACCTGTACGGCGGCTGGAAGGATGGATCCTTCACGGACATCAAGGCAAGTTGCCGCTTACCCGCCTTCGCTGGCTAGCGCCTTGGTACTGTCCTCCACAGAATGCGCAATGTGCGTGCCGTTGCATGCGAGCGTCACCGCCTCGCTGCCTCTTTTCCTTCAAGCGCGGCCTTTCTTTTTCCTAATCGGCGCATGGCCCTGATGCTGGCACTCTCCCTGCTTCCAGGTGGACGAGATGGAGGAGGCAGCCATTCGCATCGGCAAGAGCGTGGCCAAGCTGGGTCGCGACATCCGCCACTGGACGGTGTGGAGCGCGCTGAAGGACACGCTGGACGCCTTCAAGCGCACCATGCCGCTCATCACCGACCTTCGCAACCCCGCCATGCGGCCTCGCCACTGGCAGGACTTGCAGGTGTGCTGCTGACTGGGTGGAGCGTGGCGAGACAAGGGAGTGTTGGGTGCCTGCTTAGGTCTGCTGGGTGCCTCGGTGTGCGTCATCAAGGCTATCTCGCTGCTATGACTTATGCTCCTATCTGTTGTTTGCTTACTAACTACCTGTCGTGGTTCCGTTGGCACATAACAGACCCACATCGGCGTCAAGTTCGACCCGCACTCGCGCAACTTCACGCTGGACAGCGTAGTGGCGCTGCGGTTGGACCAGCATGTGGAGTTCGTGGCAGAGCTGAGCGTTAACGCCACTAAGGTGGGTCGTTAACTCCTCGTATTGGGGATGACAACCAACAACAAGGCCCCACAGTAGGACATAGCCCCAATGCCATGGTCGATCTAGGCAAGGCTTCTCTTGCATGCACACCGTGTACGGCCCTGGTGGGAAGAGGGGAATCCTTGCTAGTTGCGAACAATGTTTCCCCATGCCGACCCGTGGGTCACAGGAACTTGCCATTGAGAACAACATCAAGACGATTGCTGTCACTTGGTCCGGCCTTTTGCTGGACATGGCGGAGTACAAGTCGACCTTCAAGCTGCGCAGCACGGAGGAGATCTTCTCTTCGCTGGAGGAGAACACCGTCACGCTGTCCACCATGAAAGCCTCCAAGTACTTTGTGGTGTTCGAGAAGGACATTGCTTACTGGGAGCGCACGCTCAGCCATATCTCGGAGACCATTGAAATCATCCTCCAGGTGCGGCTGTGCCGGCGGGTTTACCGGGCCTACTTCAGCCGTTTTCCCCATGTGCTGCATGGTTTTGCATGTAAAAGGACTTCGTCTTTGTGTCTTGCTACGCATGAGCTGCATGACTTATTTCCCTTCCCGCATCGCACCGGTGTCTGCAGGTGCAACGCAACTGGATGTACCTGGAGAACATCTTCATCGGATCGGAGGACATCCGGAAGCAGCTGCCGCAGGAGAGCCAGATGTTCGACAGCGTGCACAGCACCTTCATGCGCCTCATGAAGCAGCTGTACGGCACCGGCAACTGCCTGAAGGCCTGCACGGCACCGGGCCTGCTGGAGTCCTTCCAGGTGGGTGGGTGGGAAAAAGCCTAGACGAACCCAGCCTAGTCTAACCTTCGCGTATCCAAACAGAAAGCTATCTTCAAGGAGTGCATGTAAACCATGATTATAGAAACGGCAGGAGCACGCGGCACATGTCGTGTTCTGTAAGAACCGGGCTTTACGGCTGGCGTGGAACAGTTGAAGCATGCACCCAGCATGTTGCATCTCCCGGTTGCTGGCATACTCATTCGTGCCCGCCTTCACTGCCGTACAGGACATGAACAACAAGTTGGAGCGCATTCAGAAGTCGCTGGACAACTACCTGGAGAACAAGCGACAGCAGTTCCCGCGCTTCTACTTCCTGTCCTCGGACGACCTGCTGGAAATCCTTGGGCAGGCGAAGGATCCGCTCAACGTGCAGCCGCACCTGAAGAAGTGCTTTGAGGGTGCGTAATATGTGTAGAAGCCACGTGGTAGTGTCATTCGTATAGGACAGTTTATATGGGTTACCGTCACCATGTGACATGCTGCCAAGGGGAGGCCTAGCAGCGTGTTTTACTGGGCTCCCTGCCCCATCGCAAACGCCTGAACCCTGTGCACCCCTTCCGCCCTTCCGCCAACCCCGCCGTTAACAGGTATCAAGAAGCTGGACATGCACCTGCCCGGTGACGACCGCAAGCAGACCGTCAGCGTGGGCATTACCTCCCCTGACGGCGAGTACCTGCCCTTCGCCAACCCGGTGGTGACGGAGGGGCGGCCCGAGGAGTGGCTCAACCGAGTGGAGGACGCCATGTTCCTCACCACCAAGAAGCACCTGTACAAGGTGCTTGAGGACTCCAAGGGTGAGGCTGCTTGCGCGTGCGGCGCATGAACCCCAGCGTGTAGCGAGTGGCATCACATCAGCATGCATCATTAACGTGACTATGGGGCTTTGGTACAGCCAGTACTGTTCGCTTTCAGTGTACCTCTCGCTGACCTGCCGTAGTGTATGCTCTTGTCCTGCCCCTTCGGTTGGTTGCAAAACCGACAATTCTGCTCTTGTCGTGACGTTCGGAACCCACCTTTTTCCTTGTCGTCCCTCGCCCCGCAGTCCAAAAGAAGGAGAAGTGGGTGAAGGACAACCAGGGCCAGATGATCATCACCGCGGGGCAGATTGTGTGGACGCACGAGTGCGAGAAGGCGCTGTCGGACCCTGACAGCGCGCGCAAGAACTTGAAGCTGCTCAAGAAGAAGTGGATCAGCTACCTGAACAAGCTCACCACCGTCACACGCTCCAAGCTGAACAAGATTGAGCGCAACAAGGTATGTGGACGAAAGGGGTATGGGGAGTGCGTCTTGCAACCAAAAAAGAAGTGGATTGCGCTGTCGGCGTGGCCATTTGCCGAAAGGATAACTCCTATGCCCTGGACACTGCTTGCATGACGGCCCCTGCCATTCTAGTTGCGTCTCAAGGCAGCCTTCTTGCGAAGGTGATGCAGAGTCCACACCCGTGTGCTTGACGCGTGTGCCGTACCTGCTTCTCCCTCAGGTTGTGGCCCTGATCACCATTGAGGTTCACGCGCGCGATGTGATCGAAAAGCTGGGCAAGGCCAACTGCACGTCCGGCAACGACTTCGAGTGGGTCAGCCAGCTGCGGTTCTACTGGGACCGGGAGAAGAACGACTGCATTGTCAAGCAGGTGGGGTGGAGGGGAGGGAGCCGCAGTTCAGGCAGGCTTGACCAGCGATGCACGCTCACCCAGCCCAAAGCATGGCGAGTGCGGTGCCGAATTTACAGTGGTGACTGCCAGCATGACGTTCGTCAAACCACCACCGCAACGCCCCACCACGACGCCTCCGCCCTTGCGCGCAGGTGCTGTCGGTGTTCTACTATGGCTACGAGTACCAGGGCAACAACGGCCGCCTGGTCATCACGCCGCTCACAGATCGTTGCTACATGACACTGGGTAGGTGGTTGTGGGAGTGTAAAAGCGTGACGCTGCTATGGAAACAAGGGGGACGCATACCCGAGGAATGCATGTTTGCATGACCGAAAGCGTGGCCTCATGGGACATGGTCTACGCTCCGGTCGGCCTTTCTCATATTCCACCCAGCTACCCGCTGCTCCTGTTCCACCACAACTTGCCTCGATGCACCCTAGCAATCCATGGCTTGGCAGCCCAAACCCTAGGTGCAACTATACCCACGCAACCCATCACCCCCCACCAGGTGCGGCCATGTTCACTCGCCGCGGTGGTAACCCGCTGGGTCCCGCGGGTACCGGCAAGACGGAGACCGTCAAGGACTTCGGCAAGGCGCTGGCCCGCTACGTGATCGTGTTCAACTGCTCCGACGGTGTGGACTACAAGATGACGGGCAAGATGTTCAGTGGGCTGGCGCAGACGGGCGCATGGGCCTGCTTGGATGAGTTCAACCGCATTGAGGTGGAGGTGCTGTCGGTGGTGGCGACGCAGATCGCCTCCGTCATGCAGGTGGGTGGGCGCGGGACAGTAAGGGTGCAGCACACTGGGGCGGTGTAGCACACTGGAATGCGACATGCTAAGCTAGCGTGTGAACTGCCGCACGACTTGGCTGCCAACATCGCCCTCGGCCTATGCTTTTTGCTGCAGGCGATTAAGGAGTCGAAGAAGCGCTTCCTGTTCCTGGGCCAGGAGATTCGGCTGAACCCCTCGTGCGGCATCTTCGTGACAATGAACCCCGGCTACGCGGGCCGCTCCGAGCTGCCCGACAACCTGAAGGTGGGGAAGTTCACAGACGTTCACACGTACGGCCTGCCCCGAAGACAGAGCTAGGTTGCGTACCTCACAATACCTTTTGGGGTTCCACTTTGTCTGAGCCCTTAACACTCCTACCCCATAGACCCCCCGTCCACCTGCCCTGTCTGCATGCGACCTGTCCCTAACTGTCCCCGCAACTCTCCCTCGCCCTCTCTCCTGCACAGGCCATGCTGCGCCCCGTGTCCATGATGGTCCCCGACTTCACACTAATCGCTGAGATCATGATGTTCAGCGAGGGCTTCTCCTCCGCCAAGGTGCTGGCCAAGAAGATGATTGCCATCATGGAGCTCTCGCAGCAGCAGCTGTCAAAGCAGGACCATTATGATTACGGCCTGAGGTGGGTTAGCAGGGGCTAGGCTGGCCTTGTGTAGGGCTGAGAGGTGTGTTGCATTACCGGTAACATGTCAGTAGGGTGCATCTCTCTTGGTGATGCGTGTGTGGCAGGGGTGAGTCATCCGTTGACGCCTTTTCCTCCCTCCAGGTCTTTCGTGATCCCCATCGCCCGCGCCGCCGGCTCGCTGAAGCGCCTGGATCCCGAGGGCAGCGAGGAGGTCATCCTGTACCGCACCATGCTGGACCTCATCAAGCCCAAGCTGGTCTACCTGGACCTGCCGCTCTTCATGGCGCTGCTGTCCGACCTCTTCCCCGGCGTGGAGCTGCCGCCGCCAGACGGCGGCTCGCTGCGCCGCGCCATCGAAACGGAGCTGCGGGAGGCCAACCTGCAGATCGTACCGGAGTTCGTGACCAAGATCATCCAGGTGTTCGATTGCAAGGTGGCACGCCACGGCAACATGCTGGTGGGGCGCACCGGCTCAGGCAAGAGCGAGGCCTGGAAGTGTCTGCAGCGCGCGCTGGGCCGCCTGCGCAAGGAGGAGCCCGAGGACGAGCGCTTCCAGAAGGTTGGGAGGGGCTGGGCGTATGTCTGTGGCTACTGATTGAAGGAATAACCGTTGCAGTGGCTCCCATGAAGGGAACACGGGAGGGACCCGCCTGTCGGTCTGGCCTTCGCATGTTCATGTTGGCTGCGGCAACCCTATGCTGCATTGTAACCCGTGTTGTTGCCTAGCCCAATCATAGAGCCTTGACTTTTGGCTCTACTTTCCCTGAACATCCTTCTACCTCTGCTTTCCCCTGTTCTACCCCTAGGTCCACGTCTACACCATCAACCCGCTGGCGCTGTCCAACGACGAGCTGTACGGCTGCTTCGAGGCCGCCACTCACGAGTGGCAGGACGGCGTGCTGGCGCGCATCATGCGCACGCTGTGCAAGGACGAGAGCTCCGACCAGAAGTGGATTCTGTTCGATGGCCCCGTGGACACGCTGTGGATTGAGTCCATGAACACCACTCTGGACGACAACAAGCTGCTCACGCTGCTCTCGGGTAAGGACATGTGCCGTTACTGGCACACCCCATACGACACAAGTCCTAATACCGTAGTAGTGTCACACGGGTTGGTCTCGGTAGCTTGTTTTGTTGCCAACGCTTCCATGCTAATTTGTACCATGTCCCCCCCGTCCCTCCCGTTACTCCCGTCCCTCGCATCATTCTCCCTAGGTGAGCGCATCGCCATGACACCCGCCGTGTCGCTGCTGTTCGAGGTGGAGGACCTCTCCCAGGCCTCCCCCGCCACCGTGTCCCGCGCGGGCATGATCTACCTCAACGTGGAGGATCTGGGCTGGCGGCCCTTCATCACCAGCTGGCTGGCGGCCAAGGCGGCGGCGGCGGGTGCGGATGCGGGCATCATCGACACGGTGTCCAAGCTGGTTGACAAGTATATGGAGGCAGCGTTGGAGCACAAGCGGCTGCACTGCAGGTGGGATGGGATACAGGTACACCAGGTTGCAGGGCTGGGCTGAAACGGAATGAAAGCAAGGCTGGACGTGATGCCGGTTGGGACTTGATGTAAAACCTCCCCCTCCTCAGCGGAAACTAGCACATAGTAACAAACGTCAAAGACAAGCGCACTAACGCATTACTGTACCTGCGTTCCCCTCTGTGGCAACAGGGAACTCGTCCCCACGGACCGCCTCTCCTGCGTGCGTGCCTTCACACGCCTCTTCGACGCGCTGGCGGTCCCAGAGAACGGTGTGGGCACCATGCCTGTAGACGAGTCCGCCGCACCGCCTCCGGGTGCCAAGGGCGCCGCGCCCAACGCGGCCGCCCCGGTGGCTCCCCCCGTGGACGACTCGGGCAGCAGCAGCGGCGGCAACAGCCTGGTGGAGATGTGGTTCCTGTTCTGCCTCATCTGGGGCATTGGAGGGCCGCTGGACGAGGACGGACGCAAGAAGTTCGACGCCTTCATGCGGGAGATGGACACCCGGTACCCCAGTGCCGACACCGTCTTTGAGTACTTTGTGGACCCCAAGACCAAGGCGTGGCTGGCCTGGGAGACCAAGCTCACGGGCGCCTTCAAGCCCTCCCTGGATCAGCCCTTCTTCAAGATCCTGGTGCCCACGGTGGATACCGTGCGCAACCGCTTCGTGGGCAATGCGCTGGTGCGCGTGTCGCAGCACACGCTGATCGTGGGCAACGTGGGCGTGGGCAAGACCATGATCGTGGGCTCGCTGCTGGAGGGGCTGCCCTCGGACCGCATGAGCCACGTTACCATCAACTTCTCTGCGCAGACCTCGTCGAACAGCCTGCAGGTGGGGGGGAGGAAGGGGGCGAATGCGGTGGCGATTGTATATATGTAATAGTGTTATAATAATAGTGCTATGTGAGAGGGTTACCCGCGGGGGTGAGGGGTAGGTGAGATGCCAATCTGCATGTGTTTAACGCAGCGCCACCACGCTTGTCCATGTCTCCATGTGTGCAGGACACCATCGAAGGCAAGCTGGAGAAGCGCACCAAGGGTGTGTTCGCGCCCGCCGGCGGTAAGCGCCTGGTGTGCTTCATCGATGACCTCAACATGCCCGCCAAGTCCAAGTTCGGCTTCATCCCGCCCCTGGAGCTGCTCAAGCTCTGGGTCGACAACGGCTTCTGGTGCGTTATGGTTGTCGTGTTGTTTGCCGTCACCGATGCAGCCATCTTTTCATTCTTTTGGCTTGGGCATGCTGCGCTTTGTAAGGAGACTCCTAAGCTACGGCTCGCTTAACCCCGCCTGTTTCCGGTTACGGGATGGTGTTTTGCCGCTTATCTTTACGGTATCCTCCACGCGTGTCCTTGCCAATTGATGTTTCCCCGCAGGTACGACCGTCAAAAGTGCGAGGTGAAGCACATCAAGGATATGCAGCTGCTGGCGGCCATGGCACCGCCTGGAGGTATGAGTCAGGGAGGGAGGGGTGGCTGACTGGTGGGCTTGCTGTTTGCCGCCGGGCACAGAGGCTCGGATAGACACCTACGTCATTCTTGGCCATACATACTTCCCTGCACTGTCTCACACTGTCCTCATGCCCTAGCAACGTACCTAATTTACCGATATACAACGGCTAGACATGTCCAACACACGTTCCTTGCTTCTCCCCCTTCCCCCCAACCAGGCGGTCGCAACGCCTTCAGCCAGCGCATCCAGGCCTGTTTCGCCACCCTCAACGTCACCGCGCCCAACGACAACCAGCTCAAGCGCATCTTCGGCACCATCCTCAACGCCAAGCTGGTCGACTTTGACGACGAGGTCAAGCCGCTGTCGGAACCCATCACCCTCGCCACCATCAGCATCTACCGCGCCGTCTCCAAGGAGCTCCTGCCCACCCCCTCCAAGAGCCACTACCTGTTCAACACGCGCGACCTGGCCAAGATCATCCAGGGCATGATGCAGGCCACCAAGGCCTTCTACAACAGCAAGGAGGAGGTGCTGCAGCTGTGGTGCCATGAGTGCATGCGCATCATCTCGGACCGCATGTGGGACCACGCGGACAAGGAGTGGCTGATTCGGCAGCTGGATGAGAAGCTGGGTGCCACGTTTAGCACCTCGTTCAACACGCTGTTTGAGGCGTATGGCGAGGCGGTGCCGCCGTTTGTGACCTTCATGCGGCAGGTAGGTTTGAGGGGTGGAGAGGCAACGGGGCTTAGGGATTGGCGTCTTGCTTGGACGTCATGCCTGGACACCAGCATGGCACATGTGTGCCTTCTTGACACCCACATGCCACGCGCCGCCAATTCTTGGAAGGTTGAACCGACCCAAACCCCTTCACATACAGACGCACCAGTTCAGCCAATGCATGCATGCCAAGATTGCCAACACACGGGCGCACAACACATGGGCATGCAGGGCATACGCCAGAGTTGTCGGATGTTGCACGTCCTGGGGAATAGAACCATACCGGTAGTAATACTTAAACCAGGCCGAAGCAAGCCGCCCCCGCTCCCTCGCCCCTTCCTTCCCGTGCATGCACGTTGCTTACCTCCTTCCTCCCCCCCTCGCCTCCTTCCCCCTCCACCCTCCACACAGAACGTCGACACCCCGGTATACGAACCGGTTCGTGACGTGGTGGCGCTGAAGGACCTGCTCACCGAGCGGCTAGAGGACTACGCGCTGGAGCCCGGGCAGACCGCCATGGACCTGGTGCTCTTCCGCGACGCGCTGCACCACGTGTGCCGCATCCACCGCATCCTGGGCCAGCCGCGCGGCAACGCGCTGCTGGTGGGTGTGGGCGGCAGCGGGCGTAAGAGCCTGGCGCGACTGGCCGCCTTTGTGGCGGAGCTCAAGTGTTTCACCATTGAGATCACCAAGAACTACCGCCAGGTGGGGGCGGGTGGGGTGCGGTGGTAAGGAGTGGGAGCGGTAGGGTTGCGGGGTGAAGGTAAGCGGCATATGCCTGAAAGCCGGTTTGTGGCGCTTCCCACATGTACGGTCACGGGATTTTACCGAGTGTCCGTGTCTGTATTCCGGTTGCGGTGTCCCCAACCATTTAACCCGCCCCCCCTCCACCCCCCTCAGACCGAGTTCCGTGAGGATCTGAAGGGGCTGTGCCGGCAGGCGGGCTGCGCCAACAAGCCCACCGTGTTCCTCTTCGACGAGACGCAGGTACGGCGAAATACGTGACGACAATGGCCTAGAAGTGGGAATGACATAGCAAATGCGTCGTCCCTAGCCTCGCAGTGCCCCGGCCCCTTCACTTCCACCTCTGCCGCCTACCCTCCTTATTCCTAATCCCCTCCATCCCAGATCGTTTACGAAACCTTCCTGGAAGACGTCAACAACATCCTCACCAGCGGCGAAGTGCCCAACCTCTTCCCCAAGGACGAGCTGGGCGGCGTGCTGGATGAGCTGCGCCCGGCCGCCAAGGCCGTGGGTGCCGGCGAGACCTCGGACGCGCTGTACGCCTTCCTGCTGGAGCGCGTGCGCACCAACCTGCACGTGGTGCTGTGCCTGAGCCCCGTGGGGGAGACCTTCCGTGAGCGCTGCCGCATGTTCCCGGGGCTGGTCAACTGCACCACCATCGACTGGTTCACGGAGTGGCCTGCGGATGCGTTGTTCGAGGTGGCGCAGAAGCAGCTGGGAGAGGTGGACCTGGGCAGCACGGAGGTCAAGACGGCGGTGTGCAAGGTAGGGCGGAGGGGAGGTGGCTGAGAGGAAGCGGAAGGGAGAGGGTTGCCTCTACCCAGGAAACCGTGCACGTACGGCATGGCTTACCCTTGCTTTGGAAATGTGAAGCAAGCCTCCGTCAGCCTCCCTCCGGCTGCGTAGCCTCTTTGCCAGCATCTTCCCATGCTTCACCAACACACCTTTCTCCTCCCACCTTCCAGGTGTTCGTGACGGCGCACCAGTCCGTGGAGGCCACCAGTGCCAAGATGTTCCAGGCGCTCAAGCGGCGCAACTACGTGACGCCCACCAACTACCTGGAGACGGTGCGCGGCTACAAGGACCTGCTGGCGGAGAAGCGAGCGGAGCTGGGCGAGAAGGCGGCCAAGCTGCAGGGAGGGCTGCAGAAGCTGGATGAGACGTCGGTGCAGGTGCGGAGGCGGATGGGATGGTGGGGGGTGAAACGGCGGTTGCATGGGGTTCGTTTATTGTCTTTTTGGCACAACGTGTCCCGGCTAAGCTTCGCGAGTGTTACGTTTTGCAGGTCGCTGCCATGAAGAAGGTGGCGGAGGAGAAGAAGGTGGTGGTGGCCCAGGCCAAGGCGGACTGCGAGGAGCTGCTGGTGGAGATCGTGCAGGACAAGCGCGTGGCGGACGAGCAGGAGAAGCAGGTGAGGGGAGTGGGAGTGGGAGCTTGAGGTGGACTGGCAGTCGGCTCTTAAGCCATCACCATGCGTTGCGACGTTAAGAGTAAGTCTTAGGGGAGTGCTACACAAGAGAGACCAAGTGCGTCCTGTGCAGCATACCATGTGTCGAGCCCAAGGGAGGCAGAGAGCCCCCGTATCGTTGAGGAAAGTGTTGGGCTCCCGAGTCCTACCCTCCCTCCTCTCTCCTTAACCTTCCCATTCACCCTTCCCTGACCTTCCCCCGCCATCGCTTCCACTTAACGCCAGGTCAACGCGGAGGCTCAGAAGATCGGCAAGGAGGCGGAGGAGGCCAACGCCATCGCGGCCCAGGTGCAGGTGGAGCTGGACAAGGCCCTGCCGGCGCTGCGTGAGGCGGAGGCGGCGCTGGACGTGCTGACCAAGAAGGACATGAGCGAGCTCAAGGCGTACGCCAAGCCTCCGCAGCTGGTGGAGTTCACACTGAATGCGGTGCTCACAGGTGGGGGGGGAGTGCCGTCGGCTGTCGCAAAGCTGCGCTAATGTCGAAGGCAATACGATATGCAAGCGCTTGCTCATGCATGTTGCTGAAAGAGAAGAAACCTTTACATGCACGGCTCAACTCTTACCCGGCCGCTTGGTTCTCATGCGTGGTTGCATGCAGTGCTGCGCCGGCCGCCCAACTGGGAGGAGGCCAAGAAGAGGCTGGCAGACGCCAACTTCATGCAGAGCCTGAAGGAGTTTGACAAGGACAAGCTGGATGACTCCCTGCTCAAGAAGGTGAGCGGTAGGGAGCGGCAGCTGCAGCAGCAAGGACGGGAGGGTGTATGAAAGCACGGGCAAGCCAGAGCTAGCGATGCTAAATAGAGACGAGGTAATCCCAACTCTATCCTAGCCCCCAACCAGGCGCTTAGCTCGCTTCCTCGACCCTTTTCCGCCACCCATGGCCCACCTCTCCCGCAGATCGGCAAGTTCACCGCCAGCCCCGAGTTCACCTACGACAACGTGAACAAGGTGTCAGCGGCCGCCAGCGGCATGTGCAAGTGGGTGCACGCCATGGAGACGTACGGCTACGTGGCCAAGGACGTGGCGCCCAAGCGCGCCAAGCTCAAGGCGGCGCAGGACAACCTGGCCAAGAAGCAGGCGGCGCTGGCGCTGGCTCAGGAGCAGCTGGCGGTGGTGCTGGCTAAGGTGCAAGCGCTGAAAAACAGGTGGGATTATGATCGGGCTTATGTTATTCAAGCAAGGAGGCGAGAAGCCCCCCTCATCGCCCATGGCTTCCCACATCTTTGAATTTCATAAATTCGTCTTTGCAACTCCAACCCCGACCAGGTACGACGAGTCCATCAGTCGCAAGCAGGCTCTGGAGGAGGAGCTGGCGGACCTGGAGGGCAAGCTGGAGCGCGCGGAGAAGCTGGTGACGGGTTTGGCAGGCGAGCGCACCCGCTGGGAGGCCAGCATCAGCGAGTACGAGCAGTCGCTGTCGTACCTGCCGGGCGATGTGGTGGTGGCGGCGGCCTTCATGAGCTACGCCGGACCCTTCCCGTCGGAGTACCGCGATGAGCTGGTCAAGCACACCTGGCTGCCGCAGGTAAGGGGACGGAGAAGGGGAAATTGGGCTGAGGCCCGGTGACCCATGGGTCACCCGGGTCCTTGCAGTACGTTTTGGCTCCAACCATGGGCTTATGCTGCTGAATCCAACAACCAGTAAAAGAACTCTACCCACCCGCCCGGTCCCCGCAGGTCAAGGCCCTGAGCATCCCCGCCTCGGAGCACTTTGACTTTGCGCTGTTCCTGGCCAACCCCGCGCTGGTGCGCGACTGGAACATCCAGGGTCTGCCCTCCGACTCCTTCTCCACGGAGAACGGAGTCATGGTCACACGCGGCCGGCGCTGGCCACTCATGATTGATCCGCAGGTGGGTGGGGCACAATTGGGGGGCTGTAGGAGGCATGCGGGTGGCTGTGAAAGGGTCTGTGATGGTGGTGACGGGCTTGGGAAACGCCCTGCCGGTCGGGGGAAAGGAACGTTGTGGGGTACTTTCTACGGAGGTTGAGGAGGCAGTGCCAGAAGGGAGAGGGTGAGAAACGCGTGGAATTCAGTCCAAACGGCTTATGCGTGCACACTTAACACAAATTTCCTTCTGCAGGGCCAAGCCAACAAGTGGATTAAGAACATGGAGGGCCGCAGCGGGCGGCTCAAGGTGCTCAACCTGCAGATGTCGGACATGGCGCGCCAGGTGGAGAACGCCATCCAGTTTGGGCAGTCGGTGCTCATGCAGGACATACTGCAGGTGGGGGAAGAGGGGGAGAGGGAGGCGGGGGCGGGCGGGCGGTGGATAGCAGCAGCGCCGCCTTCTCCGGGTATTGCGGAATGCTGCCGAAAACAACTGGGACGATGCTGGTGGGGTGGAAGATGGCAGAGAAAGGGGAGAGGCACACGGCTCTTTTGCAATACTGGAAGACTGGGAGGAGAAATGTAAGGACCACGGCTCTCCTTCTTGCTCCTCTCACCTCCGCCCATTCTCTCCCCTTACCTCGTATGCAGGAGATCGACCCCATTCTGGAGCCCGTGCTGGCCAAGGCCTTCATCAAGCGCGGCAACCAGACGTTGATCAAGCTGGGCGACAAGGAGGTCGACTACAACTTTGACTTCCGCCTCTACCTCACCACCAAGCTGGCCAACCCGCTGTACACGCCCGAGATCTCCACCAAGGTCATGATTGTCAACTTTGCGGTGAAGGAGCAGGGGCTGGAGGCGCAGCTGCTGGCAACCGTGGTGAAGAACGAGCGGCCCGACCTGGACAAGCAGAAGAACGACCTGGTAAGTGGTTGGGAGACGGCGAAGGGCCGAGGGGCCGAGGAGATTACCGGTAATAGGGAAACGGAGCTTTGGGGAAGAGCATGGGGCACGGCCTGGACCTCTCTCCTCCTCTTCGCACTAATACCCATGAAGCCCACGGTTTTGCACACCGCTCCATACTTGTCACGCAAACCTGTCGTACAACCTCAAACCTCTCCTTCCCCTTCCCCATTCCTGTCCGCCCACTACCACCAAACCAGGTGGTCAAGGTGGCCGCCGGCAAGCGCACCCAGGTGGAGCTGGAGGACACCATCCTGCACCTGCTGTCGTCCGCCACCGGCTCGCTGCTGGACAACGTGACCCTCATCAACACCCTGGACCAGTCCAAGACCACCTGGGAGGAGGTCAACGCCTCGCTGCTGGTAGCCGAGGAGACGCAGAAGAAGATCGAGGCCGCCAGCCAGCTCTACCGCCCCTGCTCCGTGCGTGCCTCCGTGCTCTACTTTGTGCTCAACGACCTGTCCACCATCGACCCCATGTACCAGTTCTCGCTGGACGCCTACAACGACCTGTTCCTGATCTCCATCCGCAACAGCCCCAAAAACGATAACCTAGCGGAGCGCATCAAGTCGCTCAACGACTTCCACACCTACGGCGTGTACAAGTACACCGCGCGCGGGCTGTTTGAGCGGCACAAGCTGCTGCTGTCGCTGCAGATGTGCGTGCGCATCCTGCAGACGGCCAACCAGGTGAACGTGGAGGAGTGGCAGTTCTTCCTGCGCGGCGGCACGGTGCTGGACCGCTCGCAGCAGGCCGCCAACCCGGCGCACGAGTGGATCAGCGAGGAGGCGTGGGACAACATCACGGAGCTGGATGCGCTGCCGAACTTCAAGGTGTGCGGGCAGTGGGTGTGTTGCGAAGGGTTGGGGCAAGGTGCTCGCAAAGGGCTGCGGGGGCGGTCTTTGGTGGGAACTATGTGCCGATATTCGACCGTTGGTTAAATTTTGCACGCCTTCAGATTGCCTTACGGGCCTCACAGTGACGACTGTAACCCCCTTGCACATGCCTATCCCGCGCACCCCATGCACCCCACCCCTTCAGGGCATCATCTCCTCCTTCGAATCCAACCTGGGTGAGTGGGAGGCCTGGTTCCGCCGCGCCGAGCCCGAGGCCTCCGAGCTGCCCGCGGAGTGGGAGTCCAAGTGCAACGAGCTGCAGCGGCTCATCCTGGTGCGCTGCCTGCGCCCCGACCGCGTCATCTTCGCTGCCACCAGCTACGTGTCCAACGCGCTGGGGCGCAAGTACGTGGAGCCGCCGGTGCTGGACCTGGGGGAGACGCTCAAGGACTCCACCGCCGCCGCGCCGCTGATCTTCGTGCTGAGCGCGGGTGTGGATCCCACCGACAACCTGCGGAAGCTGGCGGCTGAGAAGGGCATGTCGGCAAAGTAAGAGGAGCGGGCCTGGGCGGGAGGGGAGGGACGGGCTGGAGTGCAGCGAGGCCGGGGATTGGAAAGGACGATGAGGGGAACCAGGGTTCAGTAGGAGACAGGCAAGTCAAGGACATCTTACCCTTCCCTCCTCACCGCCGCCTCGCGAAACCCCCCCTCCTGCTCCATCCCAGGTTCTTCACAGTGGCTCTGGGCCAGGGCCAGGCGCCCACCGCCACCCGGCTCATCGAGGACGGCCTGCGCGAGGGCAATTGGGTGTTCCTGGCCAACTGCCACCTCATGACCTCCTGGCTGCCCACGCTGGACAAGATCATCGAGGCCTTCGAGACGCGCCAGCCGCACGAGAACTTCCGCCTCTGGCTGTCCTCCAACCCCTCGCCCGCCTTCCCCATCGCCATCCTGCAGCGCGGCCTCAAGATGACGACCGAGCCGCCCAAGGGGCTGCGCGCCAACCTGCTGCGCCTGTACAACAGCATCTCCGAGGCCTCCTACTCGCAGTGCAAGACGCACATCAAGTACCAGAAGCTGCTGTTCGCGCTCACCTACTTCCACTCGGTGCTGCTGGAGAGGCGGAAGTTCCGTACGCTGGGTTTCAACATCCCGTACGACTTCAATGACACGGACTTTAGCGTGTCGGATGACCTGCTGAAGAGCTACCTGGACTCGTACGAGCAGACGCCATGGGACGCGCTCAAGTACCTCATTGCAGGTGGGGAAGGGATTGCTGTAGTAAGGAGGAGGGGAACGGGCAGGATCCTTTATTGGTTTGCTGTCGCCTTATGCCTTTACCGCAACCACTGTTAGGGACACTGTTATGGGTAGGTGCTGGCGCTGCTTGGTCTCATCCTGCTGCTGTATGCTTCCTTACAGCCTTGCCCCCATGCCTTCCTATCATTCCTTCCAACATGCACGATTGGATGCCTGCAACCAACGTCATCCCTCCGAAACCACCTCACCTCACCCCCTGCTGTCCGCCCAACTGTCCGCCTCCCGCACCCTCCTCCCCGTACCTCCCCTTCTCCCCCCCCCTCGCAGAGGCCAACTACGGCGGCCGCGTGACGGATGAGCTGGACCGCCGCGTGCTGGCCTCCTACCTCAACAAGTTCTACTGCGAGGACGCGCTGTCGGTCCCCGGCTACCTGCTCTCCCCCCTGCCCACCTACTACGTCCCGGAGAACGGCCCGCTCTCCACCTTCCGCGACTACATCCTCACGCTGCCCGCTGGAGACCGCCCCGAGGCGTTCGGCCAGCACCCGAACGCCGAGATCAGCTACCTCATCGAGGACAGCAAGGTGCTGCTGGACTCGCTGCTGAGCCTGCAGCCGCGGACGGAAGGCGGCGGCGGTGGTGGCGCCGGAGGGGCTGGCAGTCGGCGTGAGGATGTGGTCATGGCCATCGCGACGGACCTGCTAGACCAGGTGCCGCAGCCCTTCAACCTGGAGGAGGTGATGAAGGCCAAGGCGGATGACCCCTCCGCACTGCATGTGGTGCTGTTCCAGGAGGTTGAGCGTTACAACGCGCTGTTGGTTGCCGTACGACGGAGCTGCGTGGAGCTGCAGCGCGGTATCAAGGGTCTGGTGGTGATGTCGGCGGATCTGGATCTCATTTTCGACGCCTTGTACAACGCCAAGGTTCCGGCAGCTTGGCTTAAGACCTACCCCTCGCTTAAGCCGCTGGGTCCCTGGACACGTGACCTGTTGCAGCGGATAGAGCAGCTGGCTACGTGGGTGGAGGAGACGTACCCGCGCGTGTACTGGCTGTCTGGGTTCACCTACCCGACTGGCTTCCTCACCGCGGTCCTGCAGACGACGGCGCGTAAGGCGAGTGTGCCCATCGACACGCTGTCGTTCGAGTTCAGCATCATCAACCTTGATGAGCGGGACATCACTGCGCCGCCCAAGGAGGGGGTGTACATCAAGGGTCTGTACTTGGAAGGTGAGGTTGGATTGGGGAGCAGGGGAGGAAGACCGGGGCTGTCTTCCCGGTCTTCCTCCCGGGACCGGGCCCGGGCCCAGGAAAGGACAGAACACAGTAAGGGGTGTTCTTGGGTAGGCGCCTAGCTGACATGTGTGTGCATGGCTGATCTTTGCTACCGGTATGTCCTGTTTCCCCTAGACCGATTTCTCCGTGCTCCCATCCTTACCGCATACTCCCCCGCTCCTTTCCCTCTCCCTCCCCTACCCAGGCGCCGGCTGGGATTTCGAGAACGGCTGCCTGTGCGAGCCCAACCCCATGGAGCTCATCGTGCAGATGCCCATCCTGCTGTTCCGGCCCGTGGAGAACAAGAAGCGCACCGCCAAGGGCATCTACGTCTGCCCCCTCTACCTCTACCCGGTGCGTACCGGTACCCGCGAGCGCCCGTCCTTCATGATCAATGTGGACCTGCGCTCCGGGACCGCCGACCCCGACCACTGGATCATGCGGGGGACGGCGCTGCTGCTGTCGCTGGCGACGTGAGGTGGTGGGCGGGACGGGGGTTTGCGAGGGGTAGCAGGGGGAGGAGGAGAAAGGGAAACATGGTATAATGGAAGTTTTGTGTGTGTGAATAGCGGTTCTAGAGTAAGGAGTCAGTAAAGGATTGGTGCAGTGACGGGGCTGCGGTTTGGGTTTTGCATCCGCCAGGTGGGATGGATAAAGCGGCTTTCAGCTTTATTTATTGCATGGGATGCATGTTGTGGGTTAATTGTATAGGCGTGTTCATGCACGCTATGGTGTTGCTAGGTAGGATAACCTGCTTATACGCACAGAGCCAACGTGAGTAGAAGCGCTGACCTTATCCAGTAAGAGTCGCTGGACAGCTGTCGTGCGTTGAGGCTCAAGCAGAATGAACGTAGGGTTATGGCGGTGCGTAGGGCCCCTTGGTGGCGTGTACCGGATTTCGATATCGGCCATGCTGAACGAATGAAAAGGGGGTACACGCTGCGGGTCAGCGCTGCATTGAATTGGTGACCCAGAAATGAATGTTGGACTACTCGTGTTCTTGTACTTCTTGCTCGTCAGTGATCGCAGTAAGGGTGATCCGGCTAGCAAAACTAGCTATATGTACGGTGCAGCACTGCGTGATCTACCGTTCATCGTGTTTCTTTATTAGGACCCTTGCTGTGATGGACGTGCGCTGTGGCACAACTGAGGCCAGTTCTGATGCACACCTGCTGGCACAGATGCGATTGCAGCGTGAATGTTTGACCATTACATGGCATGGATGTAACACGCTGATATGGTACACAATTGTTCCGCGCTTCCATGTATCTTGGCGGCCTCACGACGCCGGCTGGTCATACTTGCTGCAATGCATCTACCCGCATCTACGAGCCTACAAAGGCACCCGCATGGGGCTTAGTGCAGTGAAACCTAGCAGGCAACTTAACACCCACCCTCAGTCCCAACACAACTCCTTAACGCGCGCTATCAGTCCCCACTTAGCTGTCCGACTCTGAAACGCTGTTGCCCATGAGCAAACCATGCGTTGTCTTCAACACACTTTTAGGTTCCAATGCAACATTAGCTACAGGCTACCAACAGCCCTCTTCCTTGATACCCCACCTCTCCAGTCCTGCCACCAGTGTCCTACCAAGCGCGGCCTCCGCCGGCGCTCTTTCCCGCCACTGACTGCACCTCCCGCTCTAGGCCCCGGTACACTGACCCGTGGGTCGGTCCCGCCCCTCCGACCCCCTCTTCCACATCCACGTCAGGCCCCGTGCCCCCCTGCAGCTCCTGACGTGCGTGCTCCCGCTCCCTTTCCCAATTGCTGCGGCTGTGGTGGTGGAGGTGCGGAGCAAGGTGCTGTCCCGCCTGCTGCCCTGCGTGGACCCCTGCATGCACCCCAGCCTGCACCGTCTTCTTCACGCCGTTGAACACCGTCCCCACGCCACCAAGCACCCCACCGCCGTTACCTCCGCCACTGATGCCGGCCGACTCTAGCCCCGCCAATCCAGGAGCCGACGCAGCCGCATGCGACGCCGGTGGTGGCGGCGGCGACGGCTCATCTGGGTCGCTTCGGTAACCGTGACGGACCCTGACGGCCTGCGATGAGCCAGGGGCAGCGGCGGCCGACTCGGGACTCGTGCGGGCGGTGTCTGAGGACAGCAGCGGCTGAACCGCCTGCACCAGGCCCTCTGCCGCCAGAACCACGGGACTGCCGCCGAGTCCGCTGCCTGCAGCACTGCCGCCGCTGCTGGTGGTGACGCTTGCGGCGTCTGTGGGACCCGCGGGAGCCTGAAGAGCGCGGGAAGGAGGGAGGGGGAAAGGTAGGCACAGGTCTCCGTTTCCAACCCGCGTGGCTCGGACAATGTAAAGGCATCGGACATCACTTTCCACTTCGTTACATGTATTTGAACCGCATCCCATGGGTGTTTTCGAGCAAGGGCCCCAAACAGGATTGAACTCGGGATCTTTTCCTTTGCCTTTTCCAGATCATCTTCTCCCGCGGAAAACTACCGGTAGACATAACCAGTAGCCAACAACCACACGCTACCATTGTCCAGTGCATGGCGCACCACCCAGCCAGTCACCTGCTCCCCCAGCAGCCGCCGTTCCGCCGCATGCTTCAGTGGACGCATCATCCAAAGCGCCGGCCGCCATAACCACCGAGTTCGCTTAGCGGCCTTTGCGCCCACCCGCGAAGCGCGTACGGCGCTGTGAGCCACCGCGGGGGCGGTTGTGGAGACCTGCTTTGCCGCGGCGCGGGTGGTCTCCGCGACAACTCGGAAGTCGTCAAGGTAGGGCCGCGGGTCTTGAAGCTGCAGAGCGGAAGAAGATAGCGCGGAAACGAGACACCGTGATTAATGTAGAGGTTGTATAAGGGGCCGGTTGATGGTAGGGAGGCTGAATATGGGCATACAGATATGTGGCTATTTAGCATAGGCCAAGAAGTAGGGCCACAAAGGAGGGTGACCCATGGGTCTCACCAGCCGGGCCCCAGGGTCGAACAGCAAGGGAAAGGAGGCAAGCACTGGCATGCATCCGCGGCACGCGGCGCTTAAATCTCAGCACATGGTAAAATAAGGTTTGTGGCTTCTGGGCCCGCGGCTCTTTTTCGGCACAGCTTGGGCGTTCCATTTCGTCAAAACGGATTAGCGCGCAATGCCTACCATTGTGCCGCAAGCAAAGGCGCAGGCGCACGGCCCGAAAAAGCATCCGCTTACTGACAGAGGCATTACTGTGAGGATGGCTTTACAAGGATTATGCTGTCCAAATGCTCGTGCGAGAGCCTTCGTCAGTGTCAGGCTTTCACGGCCAAGTTCTCAGCGTTTCCGGTAAAAGCTAAGAAAGACTTAGAATCGACAATTGTAGCGCGTTGTGAGCTGCGGTGTTGCAGCCTCGACTATTGCACGGCCAGATTGCGTCATTACCGTCTTTTGTACGGAAGCAAACATTAACCACTGTCTTTCCCTGTATAAACTAACGACTTGTTATACTTAAGCTTTAGGCAATCCCCTACCGCTTCTCCACAGGCGTTTCTGAGGGTTTGAGGCCCTTCTTGATTTGTAAGGTGGCGAACTACCTGGCAAATGCGGCAACAGGCACGTAGAAAACAAAGAAGAAACAGTAAAGGAAGGGCTGATAAAGCGAGGACGTGGCGGTCATAAGGGCGGCGGAAGCAGTAGTTGCTGCCACGCTTGCTGTATCCGTCACACCAACCGGTCCAGCCATCCACGCACGGCCGCCTGCCAACATGCAGCTAGCATCCAGCATGTGGGCCGTGTTTTATTGGGAGACCCGCATGTCTGTCTGGATTCACCTGTGCGTGCGCGCAGCAGAGCCCCCCGATGGTACATGGCTACAGTGATGATGTGTACTGCATGCATCACCACCAGGATAGGATAGGCTCAACCATCCGGCAGTTAGTCTGAGTCAGGGTCCCCTACAGCAGCAGTATACATGGTCACACGCACTGTGATGAGGGCGACATATACCTAGATCCCTGAGCCGTATTTCATAAGAAGACCCGCATGTCTGTCAGGATTCACCTGTGCGCGCAGCAGAGCCCCCCGATGGTGGCCTGTACTGCTGCTGTAGGGGACCCTGACTCGGACTAACTGCCGGATGGTTGAGCCTATCCTATCCTGGTGGTGATGCATGCAGTACACATCATCACTGTAGCCATGTACCATCAACAGCAGCAGGGACCGGCCACCATCGGGGGGCTCTGCTGCGCGCACAGGTGAATCCTGACAGACATGCGGGTCTTCTTATGAAATACGGCTCAGGGATCTAGGTATATGTCGCCCTCATCACTGTGCGTGTGACCATGTACGTATTCAGGCGCAGCTTGCTGCCTGCTAGCATGACGCTAGTGTTAAGGAAACTGGCCGCTAGTGTTGTGCAGGTGCCTCCAGGCATGTAGGGTATGAGTGGGGATCCCAAGTAACAACCTGCACACATGTTATAAGGCGTCAGGGTGTGGCATAGGAGGAGTGCCACCAGCCAGCCAGTGGCCTTGAGCATGTCACCACAATAAAGGCGCCCTCTCGTGTATGATCTTGCATGTGTCCACATCAGCCACACCAGCCAACCCCGGAAAAGGTTTCAAGGACCACAAAGGGCGCTTGAAAACATTTGCGCGACCCGCAAAACGCGGGTATGGCCCTCATCAGGATCGAACTGATGACCTTGGCGTTATTAGCACCACGCTCTAACCAACTGAGCTAGAAGGCCGTATACGTTGTTGAAAGGAGGGTGCAACAAATCCTACTTATACCTCGAATGGGTCCGGCAATGTACGGCAGGGACTCAATTTTGCGAAAATTCTTACGAGAACGTTGCACACATGTGCAGGCATGCGGCCGCAATACATGGAAGTGGCGGCCTGCATGCGGTGCGTGGTGTGGTGGTGTGCGGCAGCATCACCAGCCATGCATGCATGGGATGGGGTGCGATGATGAGGGTGAGCTTGAGCTGTATGTGTAAGCATGCATTGTGGCTGCAGACACATGCATTCCGTCGCATTCAGGAAGACAGAAACAAGCAGTAGTTGCTGCCACGCTTGCTGTATCCGTCACACCAACCGGTCCAGCCATCCACGCACGGCCGCCTGCCAACATGCAGCTAGCATCCAGCAGGTGGGCCGTGTTTTATTGGGAGACCCGCATGTCTGTCTGGATTCACCTGTGCGTGCGCGCAGCAGAGCCCCCCGATGGTACATGGCTACAGTGATGATGTGTACTGCATGCATCACCACCAGGATAGGATAGGCTCAACCATCCGGCAGTTAGTCCGAGTCAGGGTCCCCTACAGCAGCAGTACAGGCCACCATCGGGGGGCTCTGCTGCGCGCACAGGTGAATCCTGACAGACATGCGGGTCTTCTTATGAAATACGGCTCAGGGATCTAGGTATATGTCGCCCTCATCACTGTGCGTGTGACCATGTATACTGCTGCTGTAGGGGACCCTGACTCGGACTAACTGCCGGATGGTTGAGCCTATCCTATCCTGGTGGTGATGCATGCAGTACACATCATCACTGTAGCCATGTACCATCAACAGCAGCAGGGACCGGCCACCATCGGGGGGCTCTGCTGCGCGCACAGGTGAATCCTGACAGACATGCGGGTCTTCTTATGAAATACGGCTCAGGGATCTAGGTATATGTCGCCCTCATCACTGTGCGTGTGACCATGTACGTATTCAGGCGCAGCTTGCTGCCTGCTAGCATGACGCTAGTGTTAAGGAAACTGGCCGCTAGTGTTGTGCAGGTGCCTCCAGGCATGTAGGGTATGAGTGGGGATCCCAAGTAACAACCTGCACACATGTTATAAGGCGTCAGGGTGTGGCATAGGAGGAGTGCCACCAGCCAGCCAGTGGCCTTGAGCATGTCACCACAATAAAGGCGCCCTCTCGTGTATGATCTTGCATGTGTCCACATCAGCCACACCAGCCAACCCCGGAAAAGGTTTCAAGGACCACAAAGGGCGCTTGAAAACATTTGCGCGACCCGCAAAACGCGGGTATGGCCCTCATCAGGATCGAACTGATGACCTTGGCGTTATTAGCACCACGCTCTAACCAACTGAGCTAGAAGGCCGTATACGTTGTTGAAAGGAGGGTGCAACAAATCCTACTTATACCTCGAATGGGTCCGGCAATGTACGGCAGGGACTCAATTTTGCGAAAATTCTTACGAGAACGTTGCACACATGTGCAGGCATGCGG